GCCTATTGTCTATTTAGGACTTTGGCTGTTATAAAGTATGATAGGTTTTAGTAGTTGGAATAGATCTTGATTTGGTATTAAGTACCTTTTAGGTATTGGTACTATTGGTTAAGTCCGTTTATTATTATAAGTAGCTTTTTATTATATATTTTATAGTTTATTTCTATTGGTATTAATTTCTAGGAGTGAAAGGCAATAGGGTGGAATTTACTATTATTATCCTTTTATAATAATATAGCTTTAAGGGCAAAGTTAAAGGCGTTGGTTTTAATGTAAGCTATTTTGGAGGGGTTAAAATGGATAAGTATAGGAGCTATAATAAACCGGTATTTAAGTTTAAGGAAGGCTTTGTTTATAATTTTTGTTTATTTTTATTATTATTAGTCCATTTTATTTATATCCATTAATAGTTTTACGATTAATGAAAACTTTTTAATAAATTTTTAATAGAAGTTTATAAATCTGATAAATTGTTATAATTTGTATAGGGTGGTTGGTATTTCTTATTTAATAATATAGTTAATTTTATCTTAGGCTATTAAAATGCTATTAATATTAATAATATATTTGAGGAATTTAATTTTATATATATGCTATTTGTATTTTTAAGGTGTTATTGTTAGATTATATTTATTAAAGCGTTATAATACTTCTTTAATTATTTTATTATATTCCTCCTTTATTTTTATATAGATTAAAAGATTATTAAGGTATATAAATAATTCTGTATTAATAAGGTTTTAAAAGATATAGTTTATTATAGATTAAAATGTTACGGAAGTATTAATAAGTTTTATAGGTATTATTATATATTTAAAAAATTTATATTTATAATAGAATGCTATTTTCCATTTATAACCTTTTTTAATTCTGATTAAGTAGAATCCGGACTTTAGGTTAATCTTGGTAAACTATTTAGCTTTTTAAAATCTGGCCTAAAGTTCTACAATAAGGGGAATGGGATACCTTACTAGTATTATAATAATATTAAGGCTTTAATAATCTATAATAGGATGTAATGGATTATTTAGGTTTTTTTTTTTTATAAATATAAGGGGTGCCTTATATAATATAATAGATTTTTAAATATAATTAATTTTAAGTATTTTATTTAATTATAGTTTAAATGTATTTAGTTTATAATTGTTTATAGTATAAAGGGGTTCTTAAGGTAGAGTTTTTTTATTTATAAGGTTAATTGTATAATTCTAAGGTTAATAGTTGGGTAACCGTTATGCTGCTACTTTGGTTATAATTAAGAGGAACTCCTTAAATTCTTTGGGAACTTGTTCCATTATTGCTTTAATAGCTATTTAAAGTATAGTTATTATAACTTTAATAATCCCTAGGTTAAGGATAGCTTAGCTAGTATAATTCTTATAGCAATATTTAAATATAAATATGATTTTTTTAATATCCTTAAAAAAATAAATAGGCTAATGTTTTTTTATTTATTATTAGGGTAGGATAATGTTATAATTCCTATTAAGGTTATTTAATTTAAAGCTAAGCTTTATAAAGTAGTCTTCCTAATATTAGAAAATAATTTATTCCGTATAATATTATTCTACTTTTTATATATATATTATATTAAAGGTTAATATAGGTTTAGGGCGTGTTCTTTTAATAAGGGGTAGCTTTTATTATTTAGCCTTTAAAAAGGATATTATAGGAATAATGCTGCCTATATTTAAAAGTACTTTAATTAAATGTTCCTAGTTATTATATAGTAGGGTTATAGGGATGATAGGCCTATAATCTATTTTAAATTTTAAATTAGCCTTCTTTTAGGCTGGTTTAAAAAGCTTATCTTTTATTTGTTTAGTTATACTAATGTAGGAAAAGTTACCTTTTTAAAGGCTTAGGTTCCTATATAGTACTTTATAGGGCCCAACTAAAAATCTAAATCTAATTCTTTTATTTTTATATATTATATAGGATTAATTACCTTTATAATAATAACGTTAATTTTAGTTCGTTTAGCTATAAAGGGTGGTTTATTATTGTTAGGCCTTCTTTTAATAGAAGAAGTTTTTTTAGGGGTTGAAGGAAGCTCCTTTTTATTAATATCCTTTTTAATATAGTAGGTAAGGGTATAATAATTACTTTTATTATATTATTAATAGTTAATTTTGTTTTACTTTTATTTATTAATAGTAATTTAATTAATCTCCTTTAATGTAGCTATAATATTAAGCTAATAATTATTTTTAAAATTAACTTTAGGCTTATTTAGCTTTTTATTAATAGGTTTCCTTTCTTTATCCTTTTTTAAAGATTAGTTTGGGCTTAAGTTGGAGCGGTTTTTTTTGCTTTAGTTTTAATAGCCTAATTTTGATTATTCCTTTATTAAATTAAGTATGCCTTTTAAAGATAGTTTAAAGTATACTAATATATTTTTATAAATAATGCTAACTTTTTAAATTGTATTAAAAAATTTATTGTTGTTTTTAAGGATATGGCCCCGGTTATAATAGATTATTTTTATAAGTTTAAATAGTAGGCATTTGGTAATGAAGGTTTGGAATGTTAGGCTAGACTACTTTATTAAATTATTCTGGTTAAAGATCTTAATAAAGAATTAAGTAATATTATTAAAGTATTTTACCTTTATAAAGGTATTAATATTTTAATATGTTATTAAAGGATCTTTAAACTGGGCTTTTAAAGCTATTTAATAAGCTACCTAGGTATTAATAATATTAATATAATGGATTTACTTTTAATAAGATTAATATTATTATAAAGCTTTATTTATTATAAGGGAATTAATTTAATTAATATAATGCTTATTAAAGGGAAAACTTTTTATATATATAAATATATAATCCTTAACTTTAATTTACTATGGAAAAAATTTAAAGGTATCCTTTTTATTATAAATATAAGGCTTATTAAGTTAAATAGGGTTAAGTATTATAGTTATAGGATTAATACTTTTAAATATAGTTAAAAAGGTATATATTAGTTTATTAATAGGAGGGCTAAAGGGATTATTATTATTTAAATTTCTTTTAGGTTTTTTATTAGGATTTTAAAGTAGCCTTTAAGGTGGTCCTTTAGGCGGATTATAGGAAGGTTATCCCTTAAAGGGGTTATTATTATCGTTAGAGCTATTAGGGTTTCCTTTTAGGTTGCTTCCTAATAGTAGAATAATTTTGGTAAAAATTCCCGGAAAGATTTTTATAGCTATATATTATACTTAAAAGGCTTAGGTAATTAATCGGGCTTTTATTGCTTATAATGCTTTATTATTAATTTGCTATTATAGAATAGCTTTTAATAATAAATACTTTATAGCGGAATAGTTAGTAAAGCTAGTTATAATATTGTACTTTTTTAACTTATTAATAATCTGGTTTACATTAGGTATAATTTATTTATTTAATTAATTTTAAATCTTTTAAATTATTGCTTAAGTATATATTTATAGCTTATTAATTTAATTAGGGTTTATAATAGGGCGGTTTATAAATTAATTAATTTATCCCTTAATTATAATAGCTTAATTATTTATAATCCTTTAAGTCTTTTAGTAGTTAGCTTTTTATTTAATAAGTTTACTTTAAAAAGTTTAAAGGGCTTAATAATAATAATCTATTACCTTTTTAAACTAATTAATAATATTAGTTTAGGAATGGGTATTTTATATAATGCATATAATAGTTCCTTATATATTTTAAAAGAAAGTAATGCTTTTTTATATAATCTTTTATTAAAAGTATTTTATTTACTTTTAGGTTATTTATATATTTATTTTATATAAGTTAATTAAAGTATTATATATATTATAAATAGTAATATATATATTTTAAAATGCTTCCTTTTATTTGGAAGGTATTCCTTGTTTATATTTTTATAAAAATTGGGCTACTTAAAAGGTTTTACCTATATAATTATAAATATTTATAACCTATTATAGGGGGTTTTAAATTACTATATTTATATATTCCATTTTTATATCTTTAATATTTTTATAAATAGTTAGGTTATAAAGGGTAAATTTTATAGCTTTAAATGTTAGTTTAGGGGCTATAGTGGAAGGATTTCGTTATAAAGCTAATCGATTAATAGATTTAAGTAGGTCTTTTAAAAAAAATAGTCCTTTAAAAAAAAGGAATATAGTTTAATTAAAATAAGCAGGTTTAAATATAACGGGTAGTAATAGAAGGGATATAGCTTATTTAAGGGTAGAAGTTAAACTTTAATTAAAGTTAGCGGAATATTTGTTTAATACTTTTATACGTTCTAGTTTTACTTATAAGTTGTTAAAGGGCGGAATATCCTTAATTTTGGGCTTTAAGGTCTAATAAGGTAATAAAGGTAAATAGTTTAACTATTACTTATCTTTAGGATAGTTTTTGTATAATAAAAGGGATCTTAAAGAATTAAAATCTAAACTATCCTTATTAAAATAGTAGGAATTAAAATTAAAATCCTATAGTTAGAGTATATCCGTAATTTTAAAGAAGTTTAAAGCTTTAGGTTAATAAGGTTATTAGCTATTTCTTGCTCTTTAAATAAAAATATTAGGATTATAACGTATAATATTTGGGTTATTAGATATAAGGTATAAACTTTCCTAAGATACCTTTATTTAATAAAGGTAGGGCTAATATTTTATTAAAGTAATCCTATATTTATAGGGATTTAAGCTTAAAATAATATTATATATATATAGAGGGGGATTTTATTAAAGCTTATCCGTTATATAAAAGCTTAAGCTATATTAGAATATTTTAAAGGGGGATAATAGATTATTTATAATAAGGGCTTTTATAAAGGGCTTAGAACTTAATCATATTTATTAATAATCTATTAAGGGTTTCTAGGGCCTTGATTTCCCTTTCTTTTTCCTATCCTAGAATGGGAGATTTTACAACTATTTATACTTATTTAAGCCTTATACAATCTATGACTCCCTTCCTTTTATTGGGCATTCATACCTTGACTGTTAGTCTTTTTGCAGCTAACAGATTGTTCTTATCTAATCGCTTATAGCCTCACTTTCCTCCAGGGGTAGCGTCGGTTATCTTCGGGTCTTTAGGTCTCATAGGACTGTCCGTGTGACATTCGTTTCCCCTTACAGAAGTTCCCCTTGATCCTTGACTCTACACTTCTCTGCATGCAAACAGATCGTCAATAATTATACATAATCTAGCTGCGTAGATATAATAAAGCTCTTGAACCGGTGAAACGGTATGGAGAAGTGATACGTGCCGCTTGCGGCCAACTTTCGTTCTAAATCACACCTTAAGAGTTACAAGGAGACTGTTGCAGTTTGGTAAGATTCCATCTTCTCCAATGTTGCCAAGGATATGGACGTATCGATGTCTAGAATTGCAAACCTTACGGTCTAGCCTATCATTTTGCGAACATTGCAATGTTTGCTGGGGTATCCTATACCACTTCCTGCTGCCGTGGGGTTCACTTTACATGAGAAGCACCGGAAAATCCTGATTGAAATGTGCCCAAATTGATTGAAGGACAGGGTCTCTCCAGATATCGCTCGATCCGTTCCCCTAGTCTACTCGAGACCACATAGGATATAATCAACCTTGACCGGAGGGGAAGCATGTATAGAATAGCCGAAGCCAAAGTAATAGCCGTCGTTCGTACTGATAGTTTGGCTGCCATCCGCGTTGTAAGGAATGCAGAGCGATTCATATTGGCCAATGTATAACCCGACAACATGATCCAAATTCCCATTAGTATTATAGTATGGCGTCAATTGATCGAATTCGATCGTAGAGTTCTTGTAAGGCGCGCACGTCTTGTTTGTTGCTGACTCGACGATAACAACCACGGGGAATTCCTGTGCTGATGACAGACCGGCGGCAAAAAGGACAGATAGAATTGTGGCGCGCATATTGGGCAACTTGTAGCTGAGTGTGGAAGAGACTTCGTCGAGTTGTTTTTTTTTTTTTTCTACTGATGGGGTTTCTACAACCTAGTGGAAATACCGGTTTATTTATGCATTAGAGTTGTGGTGAGAAAGTCCTAGCATGAAATAACTCCTGTGTGCCTAATTAGACTTCCCCTGGACACGAAGCAAAATTTCTCTGCTGAAGCTTGGCGCTCTGTAGCACAGCGGCACAGCCCTATCATGTCACGTCTTCCCAAGCTGACCTGTCAGAGCTTACACGAATGAATATGCCGTCCACGGCCGTCCTCCCAGATTAATACAGCGTAATACCGGCTATCAGACCGCTTTGGGAAATCGAGCATCTCTGACTCTATGAAATATTCATCTCGTTAATTTAGGACCCTAAGCGAGTCACAGTCGCTGCTAGACCACCAAGGAGCTGAGTCGTGACCGACTGATCCTAAAGCTAAATTTAGCCTCCTGTTGAATGAACTCTGTACGGTATCGTAGGTGATACTATTGAGACGAGAACAGAAGATATTCGATTCTACTATGATATGTGGTTTACCTCGGAAGGAAAGAAAGAAGGTAAGTCGTATGATGCAGCGCGTCTCACCTTACGTGAGAAGCTCTACTAGATAGCGTACGAAATACTGAGATAGGGTAGCTGTACCGGATATAGCCTTCTAGGCGTACGAGTAGTATAACCACAGATCGGTTTCTCGCGCATTACGGTTTGATACAGGTCAGATTTCCAGGTATTACGTTTAAACTCTCAGGCATTATGCTGCTATACGGAGGAGCAGTAAGCCGGTGGCACCGCCATGATGAGTCATCAGAGACCTTCCTACTATATACTCAATGATGCGTAACTCCTAGATTAAGAGCAGGGGTGCATCTTGGAGGATCTCGCATTTGTATGGCAAGGTGGAGTTGTCGTTGTTCTGGATGATGGAGTACTAGGTAGGATTAGATGTACAGCCAGCTTGACTCAACCCCACTGGCCTCCCTACCCCCAAGGGAAACCTGCAGCCATCATCAGTGGGGCCTTCAGAGTATTCTCTTAACCAAGACCTTCCAACGTGGTAGCTATACACTGCAATGAAACAGGGATGCCGGTATCATAAAGCGGCACTATAACATAACTGCAACACTATTTCGATCTACGATGACTGGGTGCTGGGCTCCTGGATTGTATGTGGAATAATAGAGGAGAAGAGTGGAAGACATACTGTCGTTATGTCATAATGTTCTTTAGTGTTAATTTTTTTAACCGAACTCGGTTCTTTGAATATGATCTATCTTGACATGACAAAGCAAGCTCAACTTGCTTTTTCAGTGTAAACAAGTGCTTTAAGGCATGAAGCTTGATAGAACAATGGCATTCAGACTTGTTAACACGGTAACTCATCGGAAATATTCAGTTACTCATGATATACTAACAATTATATTCTCCGAACCGTTGAAAGAGCTTGCTTTTATGTGATTAGAAACAGGTTTATAGTATATAAGGCTTGACGGATTCTTAACAGGTAGTTTCTTTTTCTCGTCGTCATCATCTTCACCATTTACAAACTGACTAACCCACAGCCCTTAGAAATCTTTTTAAAGTCTAAATTCTCGAAAATGTCTTCTCCCAACGCCTTCATCAGAACTGCCTACACCATTATTCCCTCTTGCCCATCACCAATGCTTGACCAACCCTTTGGCCCAGTTGAGTCTATCATCCGACCTGAGACCGATGATGACAACCTCTTTTCCCCCGAACCCTCTGATATGGGACGAGGCTGCACATGTTGCGCGTGCTCATCCGCAGTTTCTGATGGTGATGCCATGTGCTCTTTCTGTGGCCATAGGCGCTGCTGCAGTTGCATTGTCAACTAAGCACTCACTCTGAACTTTATGTTGAGAGCGCATATTAACCTTACCAAGCGAAGTCTAGTTAATCAAGTGATTAGCAAGTGTTTTCATTACTAGCGCTTTGCATACAACAGTTTCTTTGAATCATGTAGTAAATAGAAATAAACCTTAACGAATAAAAGATATCAACTCTGAGTTGTGACCTATAATACCCCTAGCCACAGCGATCCCTCTAATTATTGATAAGCTATATCTGAAATTAAGTTATATCCCCCCGTATCTCCTGTGATGATGAATAAGATCATCAAATTATATATCAAAGAAAGTACCGATATCGCCCAACCATTTTCCGTGTTAGTGTATACAAACCCGAATTCAGCAATTTCGCCTATCCAACTTACCCCGACGCCGTCCACAACGTTCTCCGAGGTCTATTTATAACCCTTAAATAGGTACTTGAGACTGAACATACTATTAGTACCCCCATTGCCCCATGACCGTATGAGAACTTTTGCTGCAGCTGTAGAGAAGCCACCGTTCTCAGATGAAGAGACGCATTTCTTGCCCAGAATATACAAGACCCTTAACCTCCCCCTCATATTTAAGTCCCTTTGGCAGCAGAGGACAGCGGTTACTCTGATTCCTCATGTAAAAACATCACTTTGATAATTTTATGGCTCTGTTCAACAGACGTGGCCAGGTTCATCATTCTATCATCGTCAACTCCGCTGTGAACGGCGATTGCCCAGCTACCAACAATCACGGGACTACCAGAGTTTCCTGCTACAGCTATTAAGTTGAGACGCGTAAGCCTAGCCGTGGAAATCCTCTATTGGTAGGCTATATCTTAAACACGGCTATATCGTTCCGTACTTCCTACTTCATGAGAAGGGAATCTCACCAGGAAGTGACCCTCTAGGTTTTGCAATCCTGCTTCATAGCGACGGGTGACCACTATGTAACGTTGGAATTGCCAGAATTCCCAACATCAATAATTGAGCGCATGGCTGTCTATATACCTAGATATCATAGGTGCAGTGAGTAGTTCAATTATAGAATATCGTTAGCTCCCGATCTGAGCAAACGCACCGGAGCTGTCATTAACTTGCGCTGCTTCTATCCGCCCGAAGAATCCGGTGTCCGCAGCCTTTGAGTGGCCATCCAAATATACTGATCGAAGATGCTAGAAGTAGAGCCCCTGTGTAAATGATGACGTTCTTGTATGTCCCGAGTCCGTAACTGGATGACGTGTTTGTAGCCAACAATCGCGCAGTGATAGGACCGGTGACGATATTGCCAATTCCCTTCCCGAAAGAAAATAGACCATATAGAGTAAGGGGGTCTTTCGATATGAGAGAAAACGTGGGCCAGAACACGACGTATGAACCGGCAAACAGGCCGAACAGGATTGCATATACTAGCAATGGAGCCAAAGACTGAGCATAGCCCCAAATGAAGAAAGAAGCAGTGCCTGAGACAAACGTCGTGGAGAAGACCAATATGAAGAAATAATGTGTACGGTCGGACAGATGGCCAAATCCCACCTGTCCGATAGTGGACGAGAAGTTGAGTACCGCCAAGAGCAGAGCACCGATTCGAGGCGAGAGCCCAACGAGCGATGCAAAAGTGGGCAAGTAGAGAGATGGAATATAATAAGCAAAGCCATGAAAGCTGTTAGAAGCCATGAGTAGCCAGAACGTAGGTTGCCGCAAGAAATCAAGTTCGGTGCCGGTCGCCTCGGAGCTACTCGACGACACCCTAGGCTTGACGAAGGGCAAGACCGGAGCAAGCAACACTGCTTGGGAGATTGCAATGACCCTGAGAGTGGTATGGTAGCCGTATGAGGCCAACAGCCATTCCACAAGGAACGGTAAACCAACGCCACTGATCCCGCCGCCGGCCCAAGCAATTCCGTACGCGAAGCCCCTTCGGTTAATGAACCATTCATTTATCAGGCTCAGTAGAGGTGCATACACGACAAGAACGCCAATACCATAAAGGGTTCCTTGTGTAGCAAGAAGTCCAGCAACTGAGTGGGTGAATGAAGCGCCAACTAATGACGCAGCGCACAGCGTGCAACCCGCTACAATCATCCATTGGCGCCAGGCGTGGTATCGCTTCACGAGAGGTGTAGCGAAAGGTGTTCCGAGGAAGATGAAGCTCGTGCTAAGAGTGCCTATCACAGGTATATTGGGCCTGCTGTTCTGGAACTCGTCAAGGCGATCATAGTACGCTTGGAAGACACCGAAGCTGACAGTAAAGCCTAAGCGACAGTTAATGCGAATGAGATGAGATCAGTACGTTTCGCTGGCTCTTACCCCAAATGATAGCCTCGATCAAGAAGCAAGCGACAAGGAAACTCATAGCTTTGGGCCCATTGTCGGGTGGCGGAGGCGCCGACGAGATGCGGGGGCGGTCGGCGCTTTGAGTCGAGGTTCGCTGATGGTCAGTCACATCTAGTTCGACAGACATCATGGGATTTTTCCTTGTTCAAGATAAATTTATCGAACTTGTATAGCCTTGGAGATGAAGATGTTTTCCATTAATAGAAGCTGAACACAATGATGAGTAGCGTGAGTTCCTGCACTACAAGATGTCACCGTGTCGGGAAAACCAGGGCCAACAACCTGCGGGGCCGAGGGTCGGCGGGTAACCAAGTTAAGTGAAGCAAAGTCTATTACAACTATTTTTGTTTAACTGCTTCGGGGCCAGAAGTACCATGCCTGACTTAGCTACACATTATCTTTGATTGAATTGCCTCTACTCGTCAGCCAGTCAATACAGATACTCAATAACTCCAAACCCCTATAACCGCTATAGCATAACCCTTAGCACGTAATATGCCTCGTCATGACCCCATCTTTTGCGAAAATCGGCATGTATAGGATGACACGGTACGACACACAATTTTTGCACAAATCAATCTGACTGCATACCGCACGCTGCTCATGTTCCAGACTTGCTGACCGCGTGGGTTGTCCGTAGTTGGTAACCTTTTAACCTGGAGCAGCTTTATGGTGGTACACTATCATAATACACCAAAAATGAGGAATCAGGGGTAAAAGAACAAAGATATCAACCGTATAAAGCAACAATTTATTTTGTGACCTTTCTTTTTATCCCTATTATACTTTTATTCTATTCACAGATAACTTAAACTACTTATTAAGGTGTCTGGTAGTGCTTTTAATATGTTTGATCTTTTTATTATAGGTGTATTGTGGTAGTGACCCTCCCATGAGAAGCATCTTAGGTATTAGGAAGGGCAGGAATCAATATTATCGAGCTCTTATTCATACATTCATTCTCGGCAAGGAAAAGCCTTAGTTTATCCACCATACAGATGAGGCGATCGTGCTGCTCTGGCGGGTACGCCATTCGTTCCTGGTAGCGTAGTAGTACCTGATCTTTATTCCGATCTCAGATGCCGGGCATTGAGCTTAAATCAAAGGTCCATGACCACTTATAGAGGAAAGGCTGGAAAACATAACTTCGATCTTCGAGCAATAACTATACGTCTATATAAAAATCCAGCTGGGCAGCACTGTGACACTGACTGCTATAACTTTCGCAAATATTAGCACAAATTTCAAGAGACAGCTGAATAGGGTCATTGGAGGTTTATATGGCATAGCAATGGAAGTGGCAAACTCGTAATACTACTCATTCTCTCCTATTCGGTCGTTGACTTTAAGAACAGAGTGACAATCTCAGTTAAATAATTCGGATGAATATATTCAGGTGACAGTTAAAGACTAACCAGCATAACGAGCGCCAAGTCTCGTGTTTGCCAGTACTCTCTCCATCCGGTCAGGCGCTCCTGCAAGTGATACTATTCCAGGGCAATATTTAAGCACGCAGCGCAGTAGACAAGACAGGCCGTCAGCGAACTCCTATGTCTCCTCTCCATCTATCTATTTACCTAAACACAGTTATAACAATCAAGCCCAGAGAACGTCTTCAACCTGTACCAGAATAAAGTAAGCATGAATCCATGTAGCCTACCCAGATAAACCCTATAGCCAATGCTCTAAAAGACCCAAGCTAATCTTCAAAAGGAAAAAGCATCAGAAACCTCCCAGTGCAGCCATAATGTGCAGCTACCTCAGAGTACGCTGCAGACACTGCAACGTATGGGTCCGGGACGCCGTGGTCACTACCTGTGGAAGCGTAATACACCGGATGTTTGAGCCCGGTTCGCACGTGCAAATAGCTTACGGTGTCTGCAATCCATGTCGCTGCCGTCTTTCGACCCCGTTCCCTGAACCTGATAGAGATAAAGATACAAGTCCGTCAAACTGATCGAGAGCTTAGGGGATGGGAATAAAAGTTTGGGGGGGCAGGAGCGCGCTGGTGGGCGGCAACTAAGGTGGTTAGACAGGCCGTGGTATCGATGAGTCTAACCCGGAACAAAAATTGCCGTCAGGGTTTCATCATGGATTTCTAGCCTTTTACACCTACGTTGAGCCGCTCCATCTATATAAACACTCTGTGGTTACCAGTATCCTCGTGTTTTCTGACTGAGAAAGGGGCTGCTGCCGCCTGAGTGATCGGCATCATATGTGGCATGGAAAAGACCGAAGGAAAGAAACCCAAAAGTCCACGCAACACAACTGACGAGAGTGCCCCTCAAAATTCTACTTGTAGTGGCCAGATCGTATTTGATAAGTGACAGCATCCAAATTCGACCCGTGACCTCTTTCGAAGTATCCCACTGGGTGACATAATGAGGTGGCGCCTAAACTTAAAGATAACACAGATATTAACATCCACTGAGCCGATTTGAACTTCTTTGTCTTGTTGCGTGAAGAATCAGAGTTTCCTAGAAATACTGATCATATACATGAGACAGTTTGATGATACTTAGGTAACAACAAGTGTGATCACGCGACAACAAGGCCACTCGAACTTCGTATTACAGTACTATTCGGAACTGAACGACAAAGGCTGAGTTATAGCTGTACGACACTGCCAACCCACTCACAATATCCGCGTTTCCTCTATTTCGCCCCTTTATTCTACTAATTCTGAACCCACCTATGCATCACATACACCCTCGACACACTCATGCTTATTATACACGAATAGCCAATATCGGCGTACTGACATCAAATATCTTACAACGAAAAAAGAAGGACGGTAAGTTTATACTGCATACATTCTCCTACCTATGGCTAATAGGTATTGATAGGCAGGTCAGGCGGGGTAATATTTCCTCAAAGGGGGGTGAAAAGCCCCTTTAAGTACAACCTCCCGGGTCTGCAGCTAGCAAAATCATTCCTATAAATATTGCTCATCAATGGAATTCTCACTAGATTCCGGCGGTTCTGTGGACAATGCTCTTAGACGCCGCGATATCGTAGCATAAATTGCCTGTGACAAAGAGCCAAGAAGTATTGCAATTGTTGGCTATCCCGTCTACATCAGCCTTGGGGTCCTTGAGTCCCGAAAGCTTAAACCGTCACAAGGGGAGACCTAGCGATAGATCATCAAGGAATAGGGTAACAATATTATTGTAACCCTGGGAACAGAAAAACCTATGGAAGGACGAAGGGTACATAAATATCCATATCGAGCAAAGAACCATCGTTAATCTCCCGACATTTAAGTATACAGTGACAAACTTCAAAGGTCGATGCTATACAGCATACCAATTCACCATAACCAAAGGAAGAGGTTCTTACAAGACACTACCTACATTGCATGGAATATCTTGTTAATTTGGAGCTATAAGGTGAAGAATGGCAAGTTGTAACCCCCTATTCAGGGGCGGAGTCATGAGGCGGCAGTTCATTTGACGGAGTAGACCATCGCCATTCCTTATGATAGCAAGACCAACAAGGAGTCTCACCATTAGGAACAGCTTCAGAACTACAAGAACATTCCCACCATTGGTCGTTACCAAAAATGGCGAAGAACATGTACATGGGGGGTAGATCTCCGTGAACATCCTCGGAGTTCTCAATCTGAAGCTCCGCCAGAATATCAAATTCTTCTTGCCACATTTTACTACGATCGCTGGTCTCTAAATTACTGTATTCAGATACTTTGCTGGAACAGCTTGATTCAAGCCAACGTTTGCACTTTTCATAGCCATTAATTCCATAATATTGGAGGGCACTGTGATCAGCAATCTCCCCGCGATCATGACACCCCGGCACGTTGCCAGTGCGCAAAGGAGGCATGGTTTCAGGGCTGGTAAATTCAGGCTTAATTAAATCTGGTTCACTCGAGCCGGTGGGTTGGTCGAGCAGTGGCATTTCCTCAGCTGGAACACGGGCAGAGCCAGATTCAGAGCTAGCATGTATGCGATTCATATTTGCAACTTCAGTCTCTTAAGAGTAATTTATAAACTGTTGGGATCGAGTATAGGTAAGCTCAAGATTTCTGTTGTAGCGCAATGCTTGGGGGTAAAGCCGAAGCCATATACAGGAAGGATTTCTTTGTCGTCTTGTGGTCTGGGAGCTACTATAAAGCCTTGTGGCATAAACAACGGGAAATGAAAAGGTGAATGGGAAGTACAAATTATTTATGAAGGAAATCTTTCCTTTGTGATATTCCAAGGTAAAACCTACAGAGGACGAGAATGATGCATGCAAATTTCCAACGCACCATTGAGAGCTTTACCCCGAATTTAAGAGAGAAGCATGCTTTTGAGTTTCTGACTTTTCTACTTGATATCAAGCCTACCTAGTCATCGGATGTCCAATATCAAGCCCGCTCAGATAGCAACGGGAAGAGATCTGATGGTGAGGAAATAAAGTTCGAGGGCACCAAATCACTCCAAACCAACTATCACGAACCTAGGCTTGCCACAAACCCAATCTCTGTATGCAGCCTTAGCCTACTTTGTACAACAATGGTTATCATATAGCGCTGCCATACATGGCCGCAGTCCTCACAGCTACGCTACCAGCTTCACCCCAGCATCCCATGACGAAACCTCGAAGATTCCCATAACAGGCCCTACATCTACCCTCAAAACGTTCCACACCCCTAGCCCACGAACCTCACCTGTCACTAACCTGCCCAGCCAAACGATCAGCGCCAACCCCTATATATCCAGCACTCTCTCTTCCAAATAGCACCCAGCGCCGCACCCTAATTGTCCTGGCCCGGATACGCATGATAATAGCCCCGCGGAACAGATCGCCAACCGCGCGTCTCGGGGGTCCAACCAGCCACATCACTTTCCTGCGGAGGCGTATCCCAGCCAGCGACATGAGGGTAATAAGCTCTAGCCGGCATCGCCATCCCCGTAGACGGATCGATGCCATAGCCGTGAGGGTATCCATATCCATTTCCGTATGCATTCTGATCTGTCGGGGTCTCGTCTTCTTCATCCGCGGCAATGGCAGGTTGATAGCAGCAGCAGCAGAAGAGCAGGAGGATGATGATGCCGAGGAGAATGAGGAGCGAGGCGATGATGGCGATGCCGTCGTTTGGTTTGGTCATGAGGAAGCAGATCCACCGGGACGGCGACGTCCTGGGGAGGTGATGGTTACGCGCTTTGTTGTAGTTATCGGATCTTGAGTTGTGGCGCGTTGTGTAGTATGATACAGACGTAAGCCCTTCGCACTCGTGTACCATTCAGTGACTAACTGTCTAACAGATACGAAAAAAAAAGGATCATCAAGATGAACATGGAACGAGAAGCGAAAAAGATACTCAACGCCCAGCTAGCCCTCCTACCACGCGCCCAACCGCTCGCCCGCCTCATAATAGCGACCATGAATCCCCACAGGCAGATAGACAAACGAGACACAAGAGCCTCTCTCCCTCAGCCCGGGAGTCCGCATGTAGTGCGACGCGGGAAAGAAAGGGAAAATATGTCTTGTCTAGTGTCAGACAAAGCTCTGACGTATCTGTGCTGCGCGTGCGTCGAATGGGAAGCGCGGAGACGCGGTGTGGTTTGCTTGCACGGGAGCCGCGTGGTTCAATTTACGTTGTTTTTCTGCGGTAACACGTTTCTGTGTCTCCCGAAGAAATGGATCAGAAAAAAAAACTTGCATCTTTTGTATTGCGAGGCTCGCGTTTCATAATTTGCGCTAGGGATCGTTTGCCATACATAGAACGGAGCATAGTAGGTAGGCATATAGGTTTGACATATTTATCAGCGGGAGAGCGTAGGTGAATAATTATGGTGATAGGTGGTACTTGTGGCTACTTGTATCGTATGTTAGGCAATAAGCTCAGCCTTGCGTTGAGAACGTCTAGCGAATCGTGCTTAAGAGTATGTCATCAGTCGATGGTGTACAAAAGTCCCGGAAGAACTTCCCTAGCTTGTGGTTTGTCTAGCAGTGCACGAATGAATTGCTTTGCTCTATGTAAATTGATCATATGACAGTTATTATCTGACGCAATATTTCACGGCCCTAGTAGAGCGCAACGCTTCACATTGTGCGATGTAAGCTAAGCAAGCTTAATAAGAGCAGATTCCGCCCACATCGTCATCCATACTCCAGGTACCCGCAAGTCCATGTTCAACGATGGGTTCATCCAGGGGAACTTGCTCCTCTGCTTTTCCAAGGAAGAAGTCTCCTTGACCCGAGACTTTCGTCTGTCTACTCATGAACCTCTTGGCCCAGTCCTCTACTGCAGGTTCGCCAGTTTCATCCCGAGCCTGCTTGAGGAAAGGGATCAATGCTGTGCCACCGGTGCCCTTGACCTTTTTGTGGTCCTCGTGGCGAGAGGCGGTAGCAAGGTTCTGGCGATTCCGGGTCGCCTCGGGGCTGCGAGATCGAGCTCGGTTCTCGCGGGATGGGAGGACGATGTAGCGAGTGACAATGGCGATGTGAATATCCCGGAAAGCTCGCAACATGGCTAAGCAAGCATCGTAGGCAATGCTAAGCGGCTTGTCGGTATCGCGGCGTTCCTCGACAAAATCCCGGATATTTGCAACCCGACTGACATCCTCCAAGAAGCGCGCATGTGCGCCAGGCATATATCGCCGCATATCGCGAATGAAGTTGTGCTTTGGCGCAGTGCTTCGACCTTCGCGCTCGGATTCGGAAGCGTGACTAGCCTTTTCACCAGTAGGGCGATGTTCAATGCCGAGAATGATATCAAAGAATTGTATCAGACTGCTCTGAGCGTTGCTGGGACCGCTGTATTGAACATAGTCAGAGTTGCCGCTCCCATCATCGTAGATGACGCCGTAAGGGAGCCCAGCTTCAGCCATATTCTTACTGCCGGCCAAGAAGGTGCGAATGCGACGATAGAAAAATCCGGGGTCGCAGTTCTCATGCATGCGACGAAGCAGCTCACCTAGGTCATCCAGGCGCTCGGCAAAGGCACGTAGGCAACGTGTCACGGTTGCGCTGTCGCCTTCCCGAGCAGCCGCCACGGCGGTCAGCATGAGAGTGATGATGGGACCACCTCGAGCCTCGATGGCGACGGACACGAGATAGAACCAGGATTCATCCAGGGATCCAGTGAAGGTCACCAGTGTGGAGAGATTGTCGAGATCATCAATGCCCTCGTCGATGAAGAGCGGCTTGAAGTTCCAGAGCACCGAGGCGGCGTACGTCGACACGGGCGGGATCTCAAGATGGTCGCAGATCTTCAGCAAGGGGGCCGAGATGCTCGGCGGCACACGATCACAGGGGGTGTCACCCCCCCAGATGTAGCCATGAGCAAAGAAGGTGAGGAGCATGTAAGCCCTTCTCCATTCCGCGTCATGTTCCAGACCGATGGTGGAAAACACGGGCAGACGATCGATGACTCCTCGAAGACGCTTGCTAAGGATCAAGCTCTGCAAGTTGGAAGCAATGGACTCCCACTTGTTGTAGTATGGGTCTGGAAGCCTCGTCAAGGGCAAGACATCAGGCAAGAAGCCGTGCGTCGGCGAGATTCCATAGTCGGACAAGAGCGGTACGCGCGGTTTCATGACTGGCTATGTTTGCAGGTTGTCCGGCGAAGTCAACGTTTGTTCTTGGACAATCAGTGTCTGGCGTAAATGACGATTCTTGTTCTCCGTAGGCTAGACGCTAGACTACCTAGGTATGTCCAAATAATTTTCAAAGAGTAACAAACGGTATGATATGCAAAGGTTGTTGAGGTTGTTAAGTCCTGACGCAAGGAGTATACAGTGAATAACCTGTAATACTCCTCAGCCGTGCGACAACTCCTTGGTGACGGTCATGCAAACGTAAAGAGGTCTTAAGAACTCTGTGGCGTTTCAGATATAACCAGGTAACTTGGAGAGAGAAGAAGAGAAGAAAAGAAGAGAAAGCTAGAAGGAGGCGGACGAGAGTGGGCTTTAAAGGCAAAGCAACTCGGGACTTGTATGGGAACCCGCGGCGGCTTACGGCGGGCGTAGTATAGGTATAATGGCCTTTCTCTACATTACTAATTAATTGATATGAATTGACGGGTGCTCGGATGCATCATCTCTTTGAGTTCTTGGTCGCGCCAGTCAGTTTCATCAAATGACGCATGGTTCCAGGTTTATAGAGATGGTCTTATAAAGTCGCATCAAGACGTCTTACGGTTGGATGGCGATTCAGTTGACATTTGTTTCCATGTCGAAATTTTTGCGTGGCAATTCTTACTTCCATGTTCCATACAAGGTACTTGTGTATGCGCCCGTGTTTGGAGGGGACTTGAAGTACCTCGTCCAGTAAATACTTCGTACCTACGTGGAATACACTAGAGTGACATGCATGCAGCGAACCATCTTCACTAAACCAGAGTAGGCTACGCGGCCTCTCTTCCAACAGAACACTACCCAAGTAGGAATTGTAAGTACTTCACCACCAGAAAGAACATTTACCTCCAACGCATCGTCGGTCGAAAGGTGATGTTTTGATGAGTGGATTTCTGATTAGCTTCGATTGATGATAAATCATGGAGCTATATAAACCAACTGATGGGGGGTGGAGCACGAGGCGCTATAGGTAACTGCATCTTCGCCTTGATTCTTGGGCCTATTATCGGACAAAAGGCCCAGCAAAAGTCTCGAGCGATGTCGGCTAGCATCGCATCCGCATAGTCCAAGAGGCACGTGTCTGTTCAGCTCTAAGGAAAGGTTAGCCAAATGCCTGGAAACAACGTGTAGATACACACATGTAGTTACAATATATAAAGTTACAACAGTCTCGCCACCTATATACGTCGGTTTACGCCGGCGTGCTTCTTGATTCGGATGTAACACACTGCTTACATTCAAGGCTTCGAACAGGTGATTGGTGTAGGTAATACTTACCTACTCTGAAACTTGTTCTGTCACATTTCGGAGACTTCTACGACTACCGCATACTCTTAGCAGATTCTTAGCTACGGCGGGACTAACCTCCACCTTCAACGGCGCCCCTCGGCACGGAATCCTACGCACAATCGGAGGCGCCACTCACCCACTCACCCGTAGCGTAGGTAGTTGTCTAACGAACGAATCCGGCATAACCCCTACCTACCTAGGTAGAGTCTACCTTTGAAGCACCGCGTATACCATCCAGCAAGGTGCACGGCACAATTTGAGGTTGGAAGCTGGACAGCGTGGGGTTCGCTTCTTTTAACTGCATGAATCAATCCAACATCCTATAATTGCATGCTCTCAGCTCCAAGATGCATTAGCCAAAGTATTCATCAAGACAGGTGTTCAAGCTTGAAGCTCCAACACCAAAGCAGGAAGCAGGAGATGCCTATGATCCCCTCAGCCTTGGCGGTCTCCATCATCACGAGGCTTCCCCCAATCTCGACGTCGCAGCACTCAGGAAAAGCAATTAACCCATTGATTCGATAATTGCACGTCCGCCCTCTCCACACCTTACGTCTTCTTTCTCCAGACCACGATGCTCCTTTCAAGAAGATAGCTCAGCTGCTGGCTGCCCGCCCGCACAGACTCCATATTTAATCCTGCAACGTCACCAACACCATGGTCGTCCAGCAGCATGTTCTCAACTGGCTATATAGCGTCCTGACCAGCGAGTATCACGATGTCAATCGGACCTACAACGATGTAGCCCAGGCTCTCTCACAGTATCCGTCCCTGTCGCCGAGGACCGACGTGCATAGTATGTCACTACGACGACAACATCGTCATCTTCCCCGTACCTTCGTTGACCCAAATGCGCTGACGTATACCCCAAAGCATTCGACCATGGCGTCTCAGCCCTCCTCCTGCATCTCTCGGGAACGATACCAGTCGTCTTCCGTGGTACAACCTACCGATTCCCCATCTCGATATGGGTGCCTCACGCCTACCCGCGTGAACCTCCGCTAGGCTACGTGACACCCACCGAGACCATGGTGGTTCGTCCCGGCCAGCATGTCGATCCGCAAGGAAGGATATACCACCCTTATCTTGTTCGATGGGCTGAGTTCTGGGATGTAAGTGTTGGTCAACCTCAAACTACATCCACCCATCCTCACTCCATCTAGGATGATTCGCAATGATGCTAATCGTTTGTAAATAGAAATCCTCCATATTGGATTTCATAGCCATACTACGGGACGTATTTGCCAAAGAACCTCCTGTCGTCGCACGCCAGCAGCTCCGGCCACCCCAGCAACAATCAACCCCATCACCAACACCCCCTCCTGTCCCTCCTTTACCTCCGAACATGGCACGGCCCAGTCCTCAGCCAACCCAATCGCCACATGCGAATAGCCCAAGGCCACCACCTCCTCCACCGAAGGGAGATGATCTTCCTCAGGTCGTGTCACCTTCAACTGCCCGACCTGACGGCCCTCCTCTCCCTCCTTTACCTCAAAAAGGGGTGCAACAGCCGAGTCAGTATACGAACCAGCCGGAGAGACAAGTCGCACCAGCTACGAATCGTCTCTCGCGCTATGATACCGCACCTCCATTACCACCACAAGGCCCTCAATCACACGTGCAACCTCCACCAAATCCGCAAATGCAAGCGCCACCACAAGCATACGCCCAAACAACTCCAAATATACAATATCACAATCAACAACGGCTCAGTTATTCACAAGAAGCTGCAGGGCCCAGCTCACAGCAACCACTGGACCAGAGACGACAATCATTTGTCCCCGGAACCGCTGAGCCTCCCTCATATGCAAGCGGTCCTCCTCCAAACTGGCAGCAACCAGTTCCCCAGCAGCCTGCTCCTCAACCTGTCGCTAAACCTCCACCTCCGCCCGATCTCATGGACGAACCGCTCACGCTCTCCCTACCATCACCTTCAAATCTCCCGGCGCCCCCAATTCCACCCAACCCCGAGAAGGACGCGCTTCTACGCCAACTTGCCTCAACACTATATGCAATGCGCCAGCGCGCCCGACAGCAAAACGAGTCCTCTCTCACAGGCCTAAACGCGCAGCGCACCGCCATGCTCACGGCCCTGCAAAACATGCAGAACGACTCGGCAGCACTAACTCCGCTATCCAATCTTCTCGCCTCCAACACTGCAGTCCTGCAGTCCTCCCTCAAGGAAGCAGACGCCGTCATAAGCAACAGCCAGACGCACAAACCTCCCGCCATCGACGACCTACTCGTCGCTCCCACCGTAGTCGGCAACCAGTTATACGACGTCGTGGCCGAGGAACGCGCTCTCGGCGACGCCATCTTCGTGCTCGGCCGCGCCGTCGAGCGTGGCCGCATCTCGCCCGCCGTGTTCGCGAAGACGACGCGCGGCCTCGCGCGCGAGTGGTACCTGAAAAAGGCGCTCGCGCGCAAGATCGGTCGGGGCATGGGGCTCAGTGGGTGAGGGAGTGTAGGTAGGCAGTATCACTACCTCTTCTCTTCATTTATTTGCCCAGGGTAGATATATATATAGGGGTAGCCTAGGAGTTCGGCGGTAGCGCAAGACTTGGCAGCGAAATAGTTCAATACCCCCTGTTCTCGTCTCGTCTTGTTTCATCTCACATAGTTATCTAGAGATCAATCACATGAAAATGAGTCAAAGCTGAATTAATAGTAATATGCTCCTCGCCGAGTGATGATGATGGGCTGAAGAGCGAGGGAGATGAATAACGTGAATGTAAATATAATACATTGATACGATCATTTTCACTAATCTCCGACCCATTGATTGACTGTCCTGGCCTCGCCTCGCCTCTGCTGTGCTGTCCTGTTTTCTTTCTGTTTTTACTACTAAACTCATTAATCGGTCTCTTAACTACTTACATAACATACCGAACATAACAATATGACCAACCTACACCCTCTCTCATAACAATGCCAACAATCAATTTATCAAGAACTCTTAACTCGCAGACCCATCCCCCTTCCGACCCCGTCGTCCAAACGCACTACTCGCCCTCTGTCTGAAACTCGCCCGGCTCTCCTTCTCCTTGCCCTTGAGCGTAGCGCCACTGCTCGTCTTCGTATTGACGCTGCCGCCACTACTCGCTTTATCCTTGTACATATTCGCGACCCTGCGGACCTGGCCGGGGCGTCGGGGCCGCGGATGGCGAAGCTTGACGTCCTTGGACTGGAAGATGACGAAGCCCGAGGCCGTCTTCTTATCTGTTTCGTTTTCTTTGCCTGGGGCTTCTTTTTCTTTTCCCTTACATTTTCTATTCTTCTTGGCTTCTTCATTCGCATTTGCTGTATCTGCTCCTTGAGGAAGAACAACTTCTTTTGCCTTGCCTTTCCATGCCGCGAGAGTTCTGAGGGTCTTGTCGCGGCGCTGGTGCTTTTCGTCGTCGCGGCGGCGACTTCGTTCTGCTGCGGATTGCTTCAGCATGACTTTGTGTAGTGCGTTTGGGTCACCTTGGGGTGTGCTGGGGCCGGATGATGCTACGTCTGGTGGCTGGGAGTCATCGTCTTGAACTGGTTTCGACGGGAAGTGTCCGTCTAGTCCAAACCCACTAGGTAGGTGTTGGCCGTTAGACACGCGAGCCGCAAAAGAAAGGCTATTGCGGTGTGTAAGTGTGTCTGGAGATTGACGGCGATTACTAGAATTGATTGTTCTTCTCGACCCGCTAGTAGGCAGTCCTCTATCACCGTAGTGGATGCTGGACATAGTATGCGATGGTGTGACAAACTGGCGACTCTTTTGTGGAAGGCGATACATGCTGTATCCGAAAGGGCTTAAATATCGAAAGCCACGAGCACTGTCTAAATGATCTAGACCTGTGCCCTCGCCAGGATTGATATGCTCGTGATAACTGTTGCAATCTTTCCAGCTGTCGATGGAGCGACTGAGAGAGTCGGATATCCTTCTCCAAATTGCAACCCCTTTCTTCTGAATAGGTCTCCAGCTACCGACCGAGTGACGCTTACTGCTCACACCGTTGCCATCCCTTCGGGTAGATGATAGCTCAATATCGCTATTCTTGCCCTGGCAACCAGACACTGCTTCCGCCCTTAGGGACTCACGGCTTAAGTGCTCGAACTGCCGGATCCGATGCTTCACAGGAGAGTCACGCTTCGGTGATACGCTGATCTTGGCGATAGTCTCCCCCGGTGATGCAGGGACTGGGCTGTCTTCATAGCTCGGACTACCAACAAAATCACAAAAAAAGTCATTAACAGAAATTTCGGTAGTCAGTGATGGGACGATGGAGATCCTCCGGGAGATCGTGCGTGTGGATCTCGGCGACTCAGGCTCGTTGCACGACGGGGATGAATAGTCGGCCATCAACGCGTCACTGCATTCGTCTGGCTCTGGTGTCGAATGGAAATTCATGAACGAACGTGGAGAAGGAAATCTTCTTGACGACTTCTCAAAGAGTCTTCTGAGTTGCGAGACCTTCCCGCCACCGTGTGTTGATTGAAAGTCTTGTGAGAGATTAGTCGGAGTGGCAAGGACGTCTGACGGGGTTCCGACCAACGTGTCCTCCGTGGCGGACAGGTCAGATTGAAGTCTTGGGACCTCCGCCGACGCACCATCAAGCTGGAGTTCACCAAGTGGGATACTCTCTAAGTCTTCCATTGCGGCATCTATGCTGGCATAGTATCCTACGTCTTGGTGTGCACTGTTATTTCTGGGTCGAGACCATGGTGCCAGCTTCATAGGCCTATTCAGGATGTTGCTCTCCTCCTGTGTGGTCTCGTGTGGGCTAGGCTGATTGTTTCCTGATGAAGATGTACTTGGTTCGCCATTTCCCATGCTCCCTCTAGTGCTTTGCGGCGAGGGTATCTTCGTCGTGGCTTTAGTCCTTGGTTTCACGTGAATGATGTGCCCTTTCCCAAATACCGGTGGGTGTGAACACGATCCCCCATCTTGATCTATGGAGGACCGCTTTAAGGTTGGTATTGGGTAGTACTTAGATGTGAATAAGGGCATATTTTGGTCCTGTAGTTTGCTCTCTGAAATCTTTGGATTTAAACTAGGCTTGGGAATACCTCTTGGTGGTTCGTCAGGTTGGGAGAACTTCTCAAATGATTGTCGAAGATCAGCCACGCTCGGCCTCTGCCGAGGGAATACTATGTTTGAATCTAAATGTCGGTCCGGGCCTTTTGTGGACTCTTGTGGTGGTTTCTGTCTCCGGATGTCTGTTCTGTTCGGGGAGGGCCTCGCTGCAGCTTGTAGTGATGTAAGAGTAATAGTGGATGATGATTGTAGAAATGACGAGTTCTTCTTTTGAAATGCCTTAGATTTCGGTAGGCGACTTGGCGTTTTTCTGGATGTTATGAGTGACCTAGAGTGTCTCAAAACTGGAATGGTTGATGTGGTGCAAGAAGAGCGCGCTGTGGGCCATATCAGTATAGACTTGAGACAAGGGCGTGGGCACAAGAACACCATATGCACTTACACTTGCTTTTCTTGAGCAGTTTTCGACGATCCGCCGCGAGGCTTGGGTCCTACCCAGGCCTCTGGCTACCTGATGATGAAGTACTATGAGATGTGAAATAAGATGAAGAAGGACCCGAACTCTGCCGGTCGTCTGTATCTGTGTTTTTTTCGCCTACAGGTTTCAGACATGTCGAACTGTAGTCTGCATCGTATTGATCGCCGTCGACAGCGTTGCGTGCCTTAATGCGTTGTTGGACACTTACGGGAAGCTTCGACTTGTGATCGGAAGTACAAGGTGTTCGAACCTGAAGAGATGATTCTGATGATGTTCTGCTAATTGATTCTAAAGGTGTATGGCTCATTCGATCGTGCTGGGTAGCTCGTATGGGTTCAATAGCTTGTGGGATCTTACTCGGTTTAGCCTGGTGCGAGCCGGCGAGATAGCGAGGCATGCTACTATTGACGTTGTTCACGGCATCTAGAATCTCAAAGCGAGAAACTAGAGACTCAATCCTGGAACGAGGACACTGTGGCCCTGAATGCTTACACGGAACACTGGACCGGGATGATTGGCTTGGGTTTGTCTGAAAGGATGTCGACCGTGATGTATCGTCGGCTTCCTCCCTATACTTGATGACAGCTATCTCAGGGTCGTCGTCAAAGCTGACGATTGACTTCCGGTGCGGAATACGAAGCGGTGCGGGCCTCAGATCAGCAGGTGGAGAATTGCTGCGAGAGGTCAGTGTCGAATGAGCCATTTTGGATGATCTATATACATGCCATGTACTTTAGAAGGGATACAGATCGCGTGTTTCATGTGAGCTGCATTGTTAAACGATGTATTACCTATCTACTTTAGAGATAGAAAGAGCCACCGTGCTGGTGCCGTACCACTGCTCATTTTCGACCTCAATCACCATTCTCGGTTGCAGTATCTAACTATAGATATTGGGCGGTACTTACTCCCTACCTTTCAAGGTAGAGGTACACAGCCTGGAGGTAAATACACATCGCGTATGTATTTTAGGGAAGTGATCGGATAACTTAGAGAGCTGCTCCTCACAGCATCGCATTGAAGTAGGTACCTGTCGAAACACGGGCCGGCATACTTATACTTTCCCATTACTCTGGAGACTCAGGAAACTGCTCACATCCACGAGGGAGCCATGTGTTTCATGACATGCTTGTACTATTGTAGCTACGTTCCTCGGGGAAGGTTATACCACGGAAGTCACTGTGGTTGCCTGCGAGTTGATATTGCTAATATCGCTCGATTTGAGAACACCTAGGTACCTACCTACTACCTAGTAAGTACATACCTACCCTTTCGCAGGAAACAAGCACGATGGTGAAGAGGTGTTCAACTGAGAAGCAACTATTGAATATGCTGGAAGAGTGAGGAAGTCGTTCTCGGCGCATCATATACATTCACTTTTGTTCCTTGCCAATTCGCTTGGGAAAGAAGGCAATATGAGAATGCTCATGTCAGTACGTTTTAATTACAATCACCTACCAATTAAATCCGTGCACCCCCTGAAAGACCCACCACCACCAATATTACCACTCTCAACCTTCAGACTTCAAAAAATCGTGAAAATTCGTAAACATGTCGGAATTATGCGAATTTGGTACCGTTATAAGCGGAAATCGCCAGCCGTACAAGGACTTTACTCCAGAACTTCGTGGCTTTATTATTGGGGCCAAGGCAGCTGGCGCAAGTCAAACGGCTATCGCGGAAGCTGTTGGAACGTGTTGTCAACGCGTAGCTGAATAGATTGATCGCTTTAAACAATATAAAACCGTTCACTTAAGGCCTCGTGGATGCCGGCCAAGGCTCTTCAACGGCCGTGAAGAACGTCACTTTCTTTTTCAAGCCCGAAAATACCCTCGTATGACCTACAGAGACCTTCGAACTTTAAGCTTCGTTACAGCTTCTGATGCGACCTTACGGCGAACTCTACGCCGCTATAACCTTCGTAAGTGGCGTGTAGTAAGGTGGATCGAATTAGACGAAGATAAGGTAGCTCAACGGCTTCGTTTCGCTGAAGAATATCGCAATCCAGCTGCATTAGCGCATCTCGTACGAGCCTTCTTTTCCGATGAAGTAACCGTTCAAACGAACCCTAATAATCCAAGCGATTGGGTAATCCGCTACAGTTAGGAACGCTTCCGCAAAGACCTTATAAACCGAAGACCTCACGTTAAAGCTGCTATTTCGATTATGCTATGGGCTGCAATTTGGGAACGCCGCGGGCAAGGCTATAAAAGCAACCTAATAGTCTGCGAAGGCGATCCAGACTCTGCACGCGGCGGCGTTTCTTCACGATCGTATATACGCGTATTAGAGGAAGGTCTATTGCCTCATTACGAACCTGGGTATATTTTTCAACAAGATAACGCGCGTATACACACTGCAAGGCTTGTAAAGGAGTGGTTTGAAACGCATAGAATTAAAGTAATCGATTGGCCGTCTCATTCGCCGGATCTTAATCCAATCGAACACGTTTGGCGCCGTTTAAAGCGTATAATCTATCAAATAGACCCTAATTTCGGTGGTTTAAAGGATAACGAAGCGGACATTACGAAGGCAAAGGAGATAATTCAACAGGCTTGGAGTCGTATTGAAAGACGGCTAATACAAAACCTTATACGTTCAATGGGCCGTAGATTAGCAGCCGTACGTCGTGCGCGTAGCTGGTATACACCATATTAAAGAGAAAAGGCTATAGAATTCACTTATATTTTTTATATAATTTTCGTACAATTATTAGGTTAAATACGAAGCTATTCGTAAGGTGGTATTTTTGGTGGTGATAGTAGTTGTGGTGGGTCTTTCAGGGGGTGCACGGATTTAATTGTCAGGTCAGTGTAAGTAGGTAGTATTAATCATTTGAATTCGGCACGGTATATGTAACAAGAGATGAAGGTATATAAACAAATCATAAATATGTTCATGGAATGACTGAATATCGTGCAGAAGAAAGACATTTCCACGTACTCATCCCGTAGGGTGAGGATGCATCTGCGTAAAACATTGACAAGCCTTGCTGAACCTCGGTGCCATCGCGGGTGCACTTGGAGTCGCACATAGACTCGAAGCCATAGCTTTCTTCGGGAACCCGTCGTACGAGCTAAAGATGCCTTCCGGTCGTGTTTCCGTGCACGCAGGCCCACCGAGATACCGCTTACACCAGTCTACCATGGGCTTGGGCGTCTCCTTGCCCGCAAAGACGGCCGACGCACAATCATCATGTAGGATGCCCTTGCAGTCGTGTTTCTGCTTGTGATGCGGCAGGTCTACGTGCGTCATACCCGGGCCGCTTCCAGTGAGACCTATGGCATGTTAGCTATGAAGGAAGTGGTATGTTACTCATACGAGTGGAAATAGAATGGGTAGAATAGAAATCGCGTATTGTTGCTTACCCCAGCAGTAATAGTAGCCGGCCCAGAGATTGCTGTCACAGTCCCCATGTAACTGGGTATTGTAGCCTCGTAGCAGACCATGGGGAAGGCCGACCTTGCCCTCAATAGCATAACAGGTATCTCCTGGCGCGGCTAGAATCCAAGCATAACATCTATCGACGGGGGCTCCCTCTTGAACAGGTCCTGGCGGTGCTACAGGCGTGGGTTCTTTATGCTTCTTGTCGTGGGTGTGGTCTGCGGATGCAGCTGTTATCGTGGAAGCGGCAAAAGCCGCGGTCAGCATCTGGATGGTTCTCATGTCTTTGGAGTTAACGATTAGTTTTAGTTGTGTGTATTTTTCGAGCTATTCATACTTTTCCCTGTATCTATGAAAGGGCTACTGCCGGGCCTTAAAAGTTACGGAACAGCCTTTCTAAGACAAATCCGGGGGCAAATAGTGCATGCAACACAAAGGAACTCTTGCTAAGGGGGCGGAGGTGACATTGATCCCATGACCCTCCATTGGGAACTTCATGTACATCAATTGTTTGATTAGATTTGTGGACAAGACATTTGTGAACCGCGTGGCCCTTGCACCAAGCGGAGTGAATAAAGAGAAAGCGAAATATATTGGGAGAAGATGAAGAAGAAAGAACCGCCCTCCTCCGAAGGCCATGGGCGTTTTGTCGCAGAGTCTCGCCGAAATTCTTACACATCAGCCCAGAATATTCCTACGATAGGCACTGGATTTCCACATCTTGCTCATCAGACCGAAACATAAATTGGCCCATGTTTTGCCCCGATACGAGCCTAATTCATAGCTATAGATCTTAAGAGCAGGGTGTTTATGAAGTTCATCATCGATTCCTCTCGAGCCCCTACGTCTTGAAGTCAATATGATTTGTGTGGGAGAATCGCGAACGAGAACTTCATACGCCGTGCTAGAGCGTGTGATCCCTAATTGATACTGAGCTTCTTGGCTTCAGGCCTGCACCCTAAGCTACACGACCAAACCGCAGTATCATCTACAATAGATCTGAACTGAAGAATTTCGAGGAAGTAGATGGTTTAAGAAACAGAATCGGATAACCATCCGTTCAAATGATATTGGTGCAATTCAATGGTATAGCATGCATCTGCCAGGAATCATACTCGTTCGGGTTAAGCCTGTTTCTGGACAGTCACCCTCAAGGCTTAGCGCGCCAGGCAACTAACTGTACTAGGTAGGTAATTACGCACTGTGATTTCTACTATACGTCATTTACAAGATACCTCCTAAGTGCCTCCCTACGAGAAACTCGGGCATCCTACCATCAGTCCATTCATTCTACATGACCGGGCGTCGGAAGAGTGCGTTTTATGCACATCGTGATTATAATAACGCACCTGTAGCTGAACGGACATGAAGCTAGGGTTGGTGGCTTGAAACTGCCGAGGCCCTTGCTATTTCCCATTTCGCGACACCACCCGCAGCCCACGCGCCCATGCGCCCATCTCGGTTTGTGGCCTCGCTCTCCATGTAGCGGTGGTGAGTGACTCTTGCAGCTTTGACACTTGCTTGCCTGGAATTTGCGCCATTTCAGTCGAGGCTCACAGGTATAGTGATCAGTTGATCCTTCGTATCGCGGCAATGGAGAAGGATATCTCCAACGCGGTTTTTGAGTCCATGGCCGACACTGCTGCTGCTAGCTGGCTAGCTCATCGAGCATCCACCCCAAACTCGAGGCAGTCGTCATCTATCCGTAAGGGACTCGTCTCACATGAAATCGACTATCGTAGTTAAACATTGACCATGCTGTAGCTCAAAGTATCCCTCGGGGAACAATTCTGCCCCCTACGGCAGTATCAGGACCACCACCACCTTCATCAGCCCCTGCGACGCTGCCACCGTCGAATCACACATCGGTGGCTGCGGCTTTGGATTCACCAGCATCCACGACACCCATCTCCAGTTCCGAAGATAGGGCTCCTAGTGCTCCCCCGGCACAGGCAAGTTCTGGCATACATAGTGACATAACTGCCTGGCAGAGTGCGCTGCAGAGCTTACCACCTGAGTTTGCCAATTCTGTTCTGCCTCCACATCCATTGTCCCAGGCTCTCATGAACCAACCGACACTACGGCCTGTCGAATGGAATCCCTATCGCCAGCAAGGTGGATTTGTGCCGCGTACTGCTCATGACTTTAGCTCGCTCATGATCTACGTATCCGGTCAAATGAATCCGAACCCTTGCCGCCGATGTCTTTTGAGAAATGGCCCCTTCGCGCGATGCGTCGTTTCACCTCCAGCCGTCCTAGGGAACAGCTCAATCAGACATGCTTGTGCGAATTGCACATACCAATGCCAATATAATAAGTGCACCAACGAGCCCATAACCGAACAGGAGAAACTTCGGGCTGAACTGCTGAGGTCCGTAGTAAGGATTAAAGAACTCACCCCTCGTCAGCCGATGACCAGGAAATCAGACGCCAAAGAGAAGAGGGAGAGAGACCGCCCAGCTATGGAACAGTTGAATCAACAACGCCAATTAAACGGAGTGAGTAAAGTACGCGTAAGTGATATTCTAATAATACCTTTGAAATAACGGATCTCACAATTTGAGATAGCGGTTACAGAAGCGGGCTCAGCTTGCAGCCGAATACCATACCGGTGCCCATCAACCAGAGTCGCGACCCGGCCCAGATATAAGCTTTGGGGCCAGTCCGGTGCCATTTGATGAAAAGCTGCGACGTATCCGCGCTTGTTCACCCCAATCGCGTCGGCGGATAGCAGCCGAAACGTTGCAGTGGCAAGCTGCTCTTGCGACAGTAGAAGCAGAACCACCTCCTCCTGCCTCTGCTGTCCCGGTTCCGAGGCCGGCTGCTGAACCCACAGTCAACCAACATTCACGGGCTCTACCAAATGACTTTACACCTTTCCAGTCGACTCCAGCATCATCTATGCCAACCCTAAGTCATGGTTTCGCGCTAGACTCGCCCCCTGGTGCTATGACTACGAGCCATGATACGGAAAATACGTTCGAAGCTATGGATGAAGACGAGAGTGAGGACGAGGAAGAGAGCGACTATGGAGAAATGGCATGGACTCAACCCGATAGCACAGCGTCTATCGTCAAAGCCCCACGGTGAAACTTGACACTACAAAGTCAGATATCAAGAACGATATAAACACTATGTATAATAACGCCCCGTGATACCCTGTATTTATAACGAGACCTATATACTACCAACTACTACCTAATTTCAGGTGAAATTGTGGATCATAAATTTTACGCCGCCTGGTTGTCTGTCGGCCATTCCGGGTTATGAGTACCTCGCATACAGCTACCAGAATCATATTTCAGCTCGGTAGTATCATAAATAACGGCTGGCCCCAGAAATGTCATATTCTCATCTGGCACTCCCAATTCCGCCTTCATCGTTCGGAAATTTTTCATCTGAAACAATTCAGGGACGACCTTTGATAAGGAGCTCACGAGCTATTTCCACAACATAATTAGCATCAGTACGACTTGCGAGGAAGGGATAGGTACTAGGACATACCACTCTCATCTGGCGATGTAAATCATCGTAGTACCGGAATCGCAGCATGTCCGGCCACTTCTCGCGCAAACTCTGCTGTATCTCCGGGGATTGAGTGCCCAGAGATATTAAGAAGGTATTGAGCTGATTCAGCGAGGTGGAGACCAGGTAATTTCCCCCTTTCTTATTCCTTCGATCGAGCGCGTTCATAATCCCAATACATCCAACGATGCCCGTTTGGAAATCCGAGTTAGGCAGGAAAGGCATCACGGGCTCATCTCGACCCCACATGCGACCGAACAACCAGCCGATGCCCGTGACGGCGTCGCTGATCTGCTGCCACCCACTCCGATGCTTCCACGGCCCTTTCCAGCCGTAGCAGTTCTCGCGGGCGTATACTATTCCTTTGCCCCTTCTCTTGGCGATCTCGTGTACATAGGTCGGGCCAAATCCCAGTCTCTCCAGCACGCCGGGTCGATAGCCGTCGAGGACTACGTCGGCATCCTGGATTAGTTCCCGCAACGCTGTTCGTCCATCTTCTGTCTTGAGATTGAGGTGCGCGTCCCGTTTACCCAGATTACTCTCGAACAGCACGATTCCCAAGTCCGGTAACTCCATATTCGACACGCGGACAACGGTGGCGCCGAACAGCGCCGCGAGTCGCGCAATGGTAGGTCCGGCAATAGCTCTTGTCAAATCCACGACTTTTATACCTTCCAGTGGACGGAACGTAGTAGTCTGGACTTCCGGCCAAGGCACAGGAGGCAATTCCTCACTCAGGAACTCTTCAACAGTATACAACGGCTCATCCGCCACTGCCCTCCCCTGCTCCGTAGCGCGATACTCGTCATGCGTAAGACAGATACCGCCCGCCTGTCTCCAGTATTCATTCGCCTCAGCATCCAACCACTCCGCATCAAACTTGACCACCTCCTCCTCCAAAAGGCGGATAACCTCCATCTCATCCACGACATCCTTCCGCGCAGTAGGCAAGCCAAGCATCCGCAGACTTCTATCGGAGTCTAGTCCGCCGTGGAGATGGAACCACCGCCCGTCGCGCGTGGGATATACATTCGTGACGAGGCGGCGGTACGGCGTCATTTGCGCCGTGAGGTCGTAGACGGAGTACCGCGCCGCGATCTCCGGATCGCCAATGGGTCTTCCCCCGACGCGCAGCAGGAGGAAGGAGAATAGGAAGAGACTCGCGACGTCGCTGCTCACGGTGCATGATTGCGTTATGCCGTAGCGCCGCTGGGCGATGGCGTTGCCCAATGTACCTAGGAGCGCCCACTGTGTTTTATATCACCAGTATCAGCAAGCCAACCATTCGGTTTGAAGTTAAATTGAGATTATGAAGTTATAAGTCCACAAGACTCACCAATGCCGTGCTCGACTCGGTGCATTTCACGGGCGCAGGTAGAAATGGCTTCGAGAGCGCCGACGGGTCGAAAGTTGTTCGCTCGGCGAGGTTGCGGACTTCATCTGGTATTCCTAACCTCTCGTCCTCTAGCAGCACTGAGTGAAAGATGCGCTCTGCTTCCTTTTGTACCGTGTATGTATCCATGTTATCGCTTGAATATTCGCAAAGATAGAGGGAACGGCTGAGTTCAATGTGATCTTTGAATAACGAAAGCACTAAGACTATTCTTGTCTGAATACGCCTATGTTCAACATCGAAGTCTGTATGAAGTAACTAGTCAGTTTCTAGTTTAGAATTGCGGGGAAGTTCACTTATATTATATATTATCCATGTCCTTTTTCCGAATGAGTGAACAGGTTAATCACGGTGGCGATGACATCAATAGCTTTCATTATAACCGCCGGCTATACAGATTCTTGCGCAGCTCGTTAGATGATAGCACAATGGCTTCCCTCTCTTGTGCAAGCACATCATAATGTACATTGGAATGTTTATGTTGGGGAGTTGAACTTTGAGATTCCTAATTACGAAATGACTCCTGTTGTATAAAATCGATTGTTAGCGTTAAAAGAAGATATGTCCAACTCTCCGGGTTTTACATGATGCATTTCGGAAGTAGGGAGGTTTACGGTGGGCCACTACCACAAGGTGCGAAAATAAAAAATCAGGTTAAGTGCGGGGTAAAACTTATTTTCCAACTATACCTAAGGGATCTAAATACCTATTTTAAAAGTTATATAAATAATCTATAGCTTATATTAAGCATTATAATTATTTAAGTTATAGCTTTTAGCTATATAGGTTTATATTATAAGTCTGTATTAAAGGTTTGTATTGTAGGTCTATATTGCAGTCTGTATTGCAGTCAGTACTGTAGTCTATATTATAGTCTGTATTGCAGTCTGTACTGTAGGTCAGTATTAAAGGTCAGTATTGCAGTCAATACTACAGTCAGTACTGTAGGTCAGTATTGCAGTCTGTATTGCAGTCTATATTGCAGTCAGTATTACAATCAGTACTGTAGGTCTATATTAAAGGTCTATATAATAGTCCTCTTTAACAGTTAAGTTATAGCTTAATTAATAGCTTATTATATATACACTTATATATAGTTAATCTTTTTATATATAATCTATATAGCTTAATTATAATATAGATTATAATAGAAACCTATAGTACTAATTGCAATATAGACCTTTAATATAAACCTTCAATACTAACCTTTAATATTAACCTTTAATATAGACCTTCAATACAGACTGCAATACTGATTGCAATATAGACTACAGTACTGACTGCAATATAGACTGCAATATAAACTGCAATACTAACCTACAGTACTGACTGTAATACAGACTGTAATACTTATTAAAAGTCGGTCCTCTATAGGGCATCTATAGTAAATACTATAGAAGGGGCTCATTCTATAGTTAAAGGATAATAAAGGCTATAATAAAAGGTACGGGGTTTATAATGCTAGAAGTAAGAGCCTTATAGTAGATAAGGTTACTATAAGGACTAAATGTAGGGGATTAAAAGGAATGTATTGCTTAAAGAATTTATTAATTAAGTAAGGAAATTTTAACGGTTATATAAACTATTATATAATATAATTAATGCTAATAGTACCTGATTTATAATACTTATAATAGGCTTAATTTTTTAGTTAAGCTATTATAACGTTAATTAAAGGATTAGTTAAATCCTAATATTAATAATGCCCTTTAATATATTATTTAATGGATTGGTTAATGGTTTTAATATGCTAGCTAGGCTATTAAAGTATCCGTTAAGCTATATATTAAAATTTAATGCTAGTAATGCTGTTGGTGATCCTGTTAATAAATTGGTTAATGCCCTTAATATGCCCGTTAGGCTTATTAGGATATTTGTTAAGCTGTACGCTAAAACCTAGCGTTAATAGTATTATTAGTGATCCAGTTAGTATATTAGCTAACGGAGTGACTAGTGCTCCTAGCGAGTTAGTTGGGCTATTTAGTTAGGGTGGGCCCCTTTAGGGTGGGTTTTAGCAGGGTAAGACCTGCTAGGGTAGGTTTAGCATAGTAGTTAACGCACTAATTAATAAGTTGGCTAGGGGTGTAATGGGTACTGTAGTACCTACTGTAGCTTTTATTATAATAGCTACTATAGAACTACTGTAGTAGCTACTATAGTAAGGCTATGGCGGCCCTTGTAGCATTATTGTAGCGGCCTTTATAGCATTGCTGTAGCACCTATTAAGGTACCTATTAAGGTACCTACTATAGCACTATTATAGTACCTACTATAGTACCTACTATAGTATTAATTGAGCTACCTAGTAAGGTACTTATAGTTGCTAACTAATTTTAATATGCCTTTTTAATAAGGGTGCTAAGGTTTATAAGGCTTAGTATCCGTTAAAATTAATATTGTTTAATAGATTTTAGGGTTTTAGTTAAGCCGTTAACTGCTATATTTATAATGGATATATAGCTAATATTAATATCCTTAATATATTATACCTCCTTAATATATAGGAATTTTATAAGGGTATGTTTAATATATTAATAATATTTAAAGTCTTTAATAATTGCTATAACCCCTATATTATTGCTATATAGGGTAATAGGCCTTATAATTAATTGCTAAATTTCTTTATATAGCCTTTATAGCTATTAAGATTTTTTTATAGCTTTTATAAAGGCTATATATTTAGCTTTTAGGGTAAATAAGGCTACGGTAAAAGTCCTTTTAAACTTTTAACTTATAGTAGCTTTATTTATTATAATAGTATACCTTTAAATAGATTTAATATTAATTGGGTACTTAATAAAATTACTATTATTATATACTATAGGTATATAATTTAATAGATCTTATAATAGGTTAAAATCTATAGGGCTATAGTTAAGGGCAAGTTTAACGGTTCCTTTTAGGTACTTAAATAGCCCTATAGTAATAAATAGGTATATTTTATAGGGGTTTTATATTTTAATAGCTAACTATTAATAATTAAAGGTAATATTTAACCTGGTTATTTATATAAAATAATTAACAGTTCTTATAAGTATTAAATAATAATGTTTATCCGTTATATTTAATAGTATTCTAAGCTTTAAAGCTTTTATAACATCTGGCTAAAAGGGAACTTTAATAGTTTTAATATCTATTAAATTTAACTTCTTTAAAGCTTATTGGATATATTAAGGTTAGCTAAAATAAAACCTTTAATTAGGTCTATTTTGCTATATCTCAACCTTTAAAAACTACTTAATAGGGCTTTTATCTTTTATAAGGTATATATTATTAATTTTATCCTTTAACTATTAAATATAATACTTATTAAGGCTTATTAATAGGCAATTGTTAACGTAGGCCACTATAAAGTGCCCTATAGCCTGGTTGTAATATATTAAAGAGTTATTAACTAATAGTTTAAAGCTTAAGTTTTTTAATAATATAATTAACTTTTCTTACTATTAATAAGGGGCCTATTTAAGGCTATATAGGGCCTTTAGTAATTAAAATATTAATATAAGCTCTAACTAATAGCTATATTTTATAGCTAATTCTAATATTTTAGGGTTGTTTAATAAGGCTTATAAACCATTTAAAAGCCTATAATAAATGGTTTCAAGGAGGTTGCTATTTAAAAAGGCCCCTATAAAATCCACTAATTTTATCTCCTAATTAAAAATAGCTATTAAAGCTAATAATAACTATTAGGTTAAAGGAATAGTAATAGCTATATAGGTTTTTAAAAAGTTAGTCCTAAGGGTTTATTTAAAGCTCCTAATAATTAGCCTAGCTTTATATTTAATAATCTTTCTTAAGGTATTTAACTTCCGTTTTAGCACCTAATAGCTACTTATAGGGCGTTTTCTTAATACATTTATAGGTATAAAGCATAGGGCTCCTAATTTAAATAACTGTTTAAATTCAACTATATAAGCTATTAGTTAATAGTTTCGTTTAAAGGTTTTCAAAGCTCTTAATAGCCCTTTAAACTCCTTAAAGGCTACTATAGTAATATAAATGATACCTTAGATTACTATATTTATATTAGCTATATAGGGGTTATCTAACTCCATAGGGTTATAGGATAAATTATTATAGGGTAGGTCTTAACAAGGTAAGTTATTAAGAATGCTATATTATTCCCTTTATTTAACACTCATAGTAAGTAATTCCATTAAAATAAAGGGGTTTAATAATTAAATTAATAATTAAAATAGGGTTTCTTTAATGCTATATTTAATAGTTAGCCCCCTTAAGCCCTTAGCTTTAATAACTATTACACCTTCTAAATAGCTAGGGGGTATATAATACCAAAACAGGTCGTTAATGGCCTCGTTAAGGACTTTATTAATAAAGGTCTTTAGGTTATTAATTAAACCTTTAATAGGTAGTTTAAAAGGCTTTATAATAAAAATAGAGCTTTTTAATAGCTTTAGGATAACTGATTGCAAAATAGTATACTTTTTAAATATATATATTAAATAGGTCTTAATATTAAGGACCATTATAATTTAGCCTTATTTAACGTATTCTACTAGCTTATAAGCTTTAGCCCATAGCTTGTATAAAATAATAAATAAGCATTTAGAATTAATAACTTTATAACGCATTAATAATAGTTTATAAAGCGTTATAATAAATTCTAATTTATCTCTTAAAAGCTAATAAGGCATTAAGTCCCTATTAGTAACCGCTATATGGTTTATTAAATCCACTATAGCTACTATAATATAACATTAAAGGTATAGCAATAGGCTTAAAGCCTATAGGGTGGTCCTAAGACGGTCCAGTATAACCCTTATAAAACGTTCTATTAAGCTGTTCTATTTATAAATATAGGGGTTAAAGATATTAAATTTAATGCCTTTAGCATTTAATTAATCCCCTATAAATTAATTATTAACTTTAATACTAAAATTGAAGTAAAAGGTAGCTGGATAATGTTTATAGTAGTTATTAAAGCTTTTAAAGGCCCTTTTAATAATAATATATATAATAAGTATTAATTTATCTTTTAATAGGTAAATTTATTTATACCACATTTTTCTATCCATTAAAATTAATATATAGGGGATCTTAAAGTAAAGTATAAGCTTTATAATAAATAAGTTACCTACTATAACCGCTAAAGCAACCGCTAGGTCTATTATTATTATAAGTAATAATCTTTAAATAGCCTTATTAATAGTATACTTAATATAAAAAAAGTCCTTTTCATTAATAGAGTTTAAGATAAAGATATTAATAATTATTTTAACAGTTTTTTTTAAAAGGGGTAGGCCTATATAGCCTAATCTACAATATTATAACATAGCAGATTTTAATAGCTTAGATAAAGCTATTATAAGGGCTAATAGGCCCCTTAAATAAGGGCTTATAAAGCTTGCCTTACTATCCATAGCCTCTAAATCTATTAACTTATCCCCTATAACAACTGGTATCTCGCTATAGTAGTTCTCAATAGGGCTAATAATGCCTAATAGGGTATTGCCCTATATAGGGTTACTCTACGGAAGGTTACCCCCTAACGTTTATAATAAGGGTTGGAACCCTTCTATAGTATAATTATTAACGCCCAAATTAAAGGTTAAAGGCCTTTCTTTTAAGGCTAAATAAAAGTTTAACTATTAAAAATTTAATATAATTAAGGCTTCTCCTTTATTATTATATAGTATAAGTCCTTTAAGGGACCCCTTAAAAAGGTAATATAGGATACTTAAAATAATATTTATGCTAAATTCTGGAATATATAATACCTTTTTTAAGGTAAAAGTATTATAATTATTATTTAAATAATAAACCTTAAGCTTAATAATACTTAAGCTATAGGGGGTTAATAATCCTCCTATTATAGCTATAAGGATTATAGAGCTTATAAAGGTTTTATAACTATTAAATCAATTAAGGTTATTATAAATATAGCAAGTATTACCTATATTGTATAGCTAAGGGGCCCTAATAGTTAATTTAGGTATTAAATTAACCGCTAATATAAATAAATTAATGGTTACTTTAATAGGGTTATAATCCATTAAAGGGTTCTATTAATTGGTTTCCCAGGTTACCTAAAAAGTGGATTTAATAACTAGGCTAATAATATTATTAATAGTTATTTTAGTACTATTAGGTAGCTGATTTTGGCTACCGTAGCTATTACGGCTACCCCTATAGCTACCCCTATAGCTTCTACTATTAGAGTTACTATAGGTCTAATTAATGGTATGTATAATAGTATAGTTAATAGCCGTTATAATAGTTTTAAAGGTATAAGATCCTTACTTTTAACGGTTATAGCTATCCTATAAGGCGTTTGCTATTAGGGTTTTTATTATAAGTTTAACAGCTTTAATAGGATTAATTACTATAAGGGTTCTAATAAACTACCTAGTTTAATTAATTTAAGCAATATAGTTAGCCTTTAAAGCCCTTAAATAACTATTTTAAAGGTTTATAATATTTATTTTAATATCCTTTTTAACTAATTTAACTATTAAACTGTTAAACTTAACATTAAAGCTATTAAAGTTCCTATTAATAAAGAACTTTAAGCTATAAAAGGTTTAATATAAGCTATCTCTTTTTATAGTATTATTAAGCTTATAAAAGGTTATAAAGGTATTATAAACCTTTATAGGGTTATAAATATAGCTAATATTATTTTAAAGTATAGGGCTATAGCTATTTCGAAGTAATAATAATATTATAGCTTAATTAAGGTTATTATATACCTATAATATAAAAGGTTTAATAATAAAGTTAAATAGTCCTAAGGCTTTAAAAGTAATTATTAAGCCTTAAAGCTATTAATTATAATTACTATAGCCCTATAGCTATTAAAATTTAAAGAAGTTATTAATTCGTTTAGCAATCTTTTAGCTTAACTGTCCCTATATTATAATAAAAGCATTAAAGGTAGCTATAGGTTTAAAAGTAATAATAGATATAAGTATAAGGGTTTTAATGGATTAAATAGTTAATTAAGTAGTAAATTGGAAAGTAATTATTTAATTAGACTATTTAATAAACTATATTAAAAAAGTATTTATAGCAGTTTAATAGTTAATTTTAAAGCTTTATAAGCTTTATAATCGGCTATTAATACCTTATATTAGGTTATCTAAATACTTAATAGAGTTATTATAAAACTTAATAAAAGCCCTAATAGCTTTTTTAAATAATAGCTTAGTTATAACAGTGGTAATACTATAATAATAATTAATAGTATAGGCTATAGCTTATATTAAATGTTAAATGGGGCGTTAAAGAGTAAGGGATAATAAGTATAATAATAGTTATAATAATAGGTAAAGGCTATTGTTAAAGATGTTAAAGTAGGTACTATAAAAAGTACTAAAGAGAAGAAGATAGTAATTATAGCAGTAGGTTTAATAAAGGGTAAAGGGCATTATTAGAAGTACTACGGTAAGCAATATGACGTAGGCTATAGTAGGTGCTATAATAAGTAATGGAAAGGCTATAGAAAAGGCTAACAGGGGTATAATAACCCCTATAATATTAGATTATAGTTATTATTACTTAATAAATAGCAATAAAATAAAAAGGCTTAATAATAAGTATGCCGGGCTTATAACCTATTAAAAATCGGTCCTTTATAGGGTATTTATAATAAATATTATAAAAAGGGCTTACCTTATAGTTAAAGGATAATAAAGGCTATAATAAAAAGTATAGTGTTTATAGTATTAAAAGTAAGGGCCTTATAATAAATAGGGTTATTATAAGGATTAAATATAAAAGATTAAAAGGAATATATTGTTTAAAAAATCTATTAATTAAATAAGGAAATTCTAATAGTTATATAAACTATTATATAATATAATTAATACTAATAGCACCTAATTTATAATACTTATAGTAAGCCCAATTTTCCAGCTAAGCTATTATAACGTTAGTTAAAGGATTAACTAAATCCTAATACTAATAATACCCTTTAATATACTACTTAATAAATTAACTAATAGTTTTAATATGCTAATTAGGCTATTAAAATATCCATTAAGCTATACGTTAAAATTTAATACTAATAACATTATCGGCAATTCCGTTAATAAACTAGCTAACGCCTTTAATATACCCATTAAGCTTATTAGGATACCTGTTAAGCTATACGCTAAAACCTAACGCCAATAATACTATTAGCGATCTAGTTAGTGTACTGGCTAACGGAGTGACCAGTGCCCCTAGCAAGTTAGCTGGGCCACTTAGTCAAGGCGGGCCCCTTTAGGGCAGGTTTTGGTAGGGCGAGACCTGCTAGGGTAGGTTTAGCATAGTAGTTAACGTACCAGTTAATGAGTTAGCTAGGGGTGTGATGGGCACTGTGGCACCTACTGTAACCTCTGCTGTGACAGCTACTATGGAACTGCTATAGCAGCTACTGTAGCAGGGCTATGGCGGCCCTTGTAGCACTGTTGTGGCGGCCCTTGTGGCACTGCTGCAGCACCTACTAAGGCACCTACTGTGGCACCACTGTAGCACCCACTATAGCACCTACTGTGGTACCAACTGAGCCACCCAGTAAGGCACCCGCAGTTGCTAGCTAATTTTAACAATACTGACCTTCAATACTGACCTACAGTACAGACTGCAATACAGACTACAATATAGACTACAGTACTGACTGCAATATAGACTGCAATACTGACCTACAGTACTGACTGTAATACAGACTGCAATACTGACCTTCAATACTGACCTATAGTACAGACTGCAATACAGACTACAATACAGACTACAATACAGACTACAATACAGACCTACAGTACTGACTGCAATACTGACCTTCAATACTGACCTACAGTACTGACTGCAATACAGACCTTCAATACTGACCTACAGTACTGACTGCAATACAGACTGCAGTACTGACTGCAATACAGACTGCAATACAGACTGCAATACAGACTGCAATACAGACTGCAATACAGACTGCAATACAGACTGCAATACTGACCTACAGTACTGACTGCAATACTGACTGTAATACAAACCTATATAGCTAAAAGTTATAACTTAAATAATTATAAAGCTTAATATAAACTATAAATTATTTATATAACCTTTAAAATAGGTATTTAAATAATTATTTATATTTTTAAAACTTTACTTTATACCCTTTATTATACTTAAACCCCTTAAGTAAAGTTGGAAAATAGGTTTTACCCCGCACTTCACCTGATTTTTTTATTTTTACACTTTGTAGTAGTGGCCCACCCTAGAGGTTGCTCCCAGGTAAGCAGGGTTTATCAAATATATTATTAATATTTTAATATTAATAAGTATATTATTAATATTAATTAATAAATATTAATATTAATATTAAGTTTTAAGTTACTTAATAAATATATACTAATATTAATTAAAAATTAATACTTAATAAATAAATATTATTAATATATTAATTATATTAAGTATTAGTTTTTAATTAAGGTTAGCATTATTAATAAGGTAGCATTAAGCTTAATTGGGCAATTGTTCTTTTCTTTAATTATTTATTTAATTGTTACGCTATTGGTCCCACATATACCCCCTGTCAGCCCCATGCATAGCCACATACACAAGCCACACACTTAACCACTGCATTTTTATTAAATTTTCATTAAGTTATAACATTTAGTATTACTAATACTTACTAGTACTTACTAGTAGTAGGTACTAGTATGGGCTTTCATGTACTAGTAGTAAGTAAGTACTAGTACGGGATTTCAACTAGTAAGTACTAGTTGTAATTGCCTGCAGGTAAGTGCTCTCGTACTACGAGGGTGTATCCTGTCTACCCCGCTATAGATCCACTATTGCCCATTAAGCATGTGGCAGAGACGCGGGGTCCATTAGCTACGCTCGCGGGTAGGACGCGTCAAGCTTCATTTTGATATCGCCAACACACCTGGAGAAGAACACAGATGATATCTACGTCTCCCAGACTCCATCCACGATCAACACCGCCGCAATGGCACCTCCCACCATCATCGCACATAAATCCGCCTTCCTAGCAACCCAGACACTCCACCTATCCCAAACCCTCGCGCCATCCGCAACCTGGCGCGCATCCAACGACACCGCAGAAGACGGGCTTTCAGCGCGCGCCGTCGACGACGCGCTTTACCGTCTCAACCACACCCTAACCCAACACGCGCGGCGCGTCTATGCCCCTCAGGCGTCACGGTATCTAGCCGAGCAGATCGAGGGGCTATTCTACGAGGAGGCAGACAGGGCACTCGCTGGTGATGACGACGACGAGAACCCATCTACAGGGATTGAAAAGCAGCGATTGAACTTGGGCGCAGATTTGAGTACGTTCACTGATTCTCCATTGTACTATTCCGTAAACAATTCCGATTCCTACCCATGTCTGTGTAATACAACCAGCAGAACTAATTCTATCCAAAGCAACCGACGAAGCGATCGCCTCTCTCCCTCCGACATGGGACATCCACAAGCCGCGTGAGGCAGAGGCACACGCGCTCGAAGCGAAGCGCTACGCAGAGCAGATGGCGGCACTGACGGATCTCGCGGCGCGACGGGCCGAGGTGCGCGAGAGGGTTGTCCGGTTGCGGCGCATGGCTGCGCTGCTTGCGCCATTCGATACAAATACCAACAACAGCGCCGACGCCGACGACACCACGATGCAAGACTCCACCCCTATATCTGCAGTGCAGGCGAATCTAATCACGCGCAACGGCGAAGTAGAGCGCGAGCTGGAGCGCATGCGTCTCCTGCTCGCGCGCGTCGCGGGGCGGATCGCGCAGTTACCTGATAACAAAGGGAAAAACACGTCTTCTAATGATGCTGATCATGAGGATTTTATGGATCTTGATGCTCTTGAGCGAGACAAGGTTGAGAAATTACTCGATCGGTTATGAGCTCGTGTTGGGTATACTTTGGAGTTTTGGCTTGGTTCATAAAATATGTCGAGCGTTAGCTTTTACTAGTATAAGGATGATGAAGAGAGTTACCTGTACATCAAGCGTTGGCGTTTTAGGGGGGGAGAAGACCTGATTTCATTCCACACGGCTGGGACGATATTAACATTTGTGTTTACATACATGCATACATACTTTGTCTCTAGGCACAGTTCGTACTTCTTTAAGAATAGATAGATACCCAAGATCGAATGAATATTACATATTTCAAATGCGCCAACGATATACTATATGGAATGGACTGAGTGGTAATGATTCGATTCCTCTGTTCATTTTAGGTGTCATTACTTCGTATCCCATCACCATTTTAAGTAAGCATACTACATATCCAATATCTATGAACGTAGGTAAGGGTAGGTAGGGATCAACCTCGGAAGGTGAATCGATGTCCGTACACATCCCAGGACAGTTCATAGGTATCTCCCATTCACCCCACACGGATTCACACGACGAAGAACCAAACCAAGCCAAGAGAGGAGAGACATTACTTCCATCCGTGCGCCATAGCACCAAATGAATGATATATGAGTGCGTATCAAGTATCAATCAAGGCGGCACAAGCGACAAGATGCTCTTCTTCCTCTGTTCCTTATCGCCTTCAAGCGTGGCACTATATCGAAGCAAAAAAACGAATCAGTCAACTAGCTTCTCCAGAAACAAAACAAGGCGCAAGCCATAGAAATCAGGAGAGAAACACTCACTCTTTAGCACTGTCATCAACATCCAACCCCATAGCTTTCTTCTCGCCATCCTCCTCCTCTTTCTCATCACCTCCCTCCTCATCCCTATTAATCGCGTACGGATTCGGCCTGACAACGCGCAACTTGACAATCTCTTCGTCTGTATCCCCACCGCTAGCAAGCGCAACCTTGTAGTACACGCGCAAGCCGACCGTGGCGACCGCGTTCCACGGATTGCTCTCGAACTCGTCTTCTTCTTCCTCTGCGGCCGGCGGGGCTGGGGGCGGTGGACGTACGGGCGTCTCGGCGCGCTCGCGGAGTCGGATGTCGAGCTCGCGCGCTGTGATTTCTGATATCGAGGATATGGAGGATTCAGTGTCCGAGTCTTCGTCCCCGGCCGGCGGCGGCGTAGGTGGTCCGGGGGCCGGGGGAAGTGTATCTTCTGCGTCGGACTTTTGTTCGTCTTTTGGGACCTCTTCTTGCTTCTGTTGATTAGATGAGTCTTCCTTCGTCTCAGAATCTTCGGCCTTCGAAGACGGAGCATCATCTTCTTTCGTTTCGGGCTTTGCCTTGGGCGCATCGCCACTAGATGCCGTAGATGACTTGGCGGTGGCGTCAGGGGCAATAATTTGTGAATTCTTCTCGTCTTCTGGTTTATCCGTCGATGTTTGTGTATCCGACACTTTCATCTTCTCAAGCATCTCGGCAGCCTCAGTCGGCCCCGCCTCGCCGTCGCCCTTCGTGCTGGACGGAGCATCAGCTTTGTCTGCTTCGTCTTTGGCACTACGCTTCGCGCGTTCTTTAGCTTTCGTCTTCGCATTCTTTTCCTTCCGCTTTTGGTGCTGCTTGGTGTTTATATAGTGACTATCACGACGGGCCGACATAAACTCTTTTTTGAACTCCTCGCGCTCCTTGTCCTTGGCGCGCTTCTCGGCGGCCTTTTTCGCTTCTTTCTCCTCCTTAGTCTCAATGACCTTGCCTTTACTGTGAGCCAGGTCGTACGACATGCCCACGGATACGAGCTTGTCCCTGCGATCCCGGGCATATTTGCGTATCACCTCTTCTATAGGTTGAATATCCAGATTCCGAGTCGCATTAATTTTCATCAGCACGATGTACTCGCCGGCTTCCAGCTCCAGCTCAACGTTGACAGAGCGAGTCTGGCGATAGGGGGCGATACTACGGACGACGTAATCCTCTTGGCCCTTTTTGTGCAGACGGAAGTTCAACTCAAACCAATACTGGCCCTCGAGGCCGCGATAATACCGCGTGTCAAGCTGCGAGAGGACGAGCACCACGGGCCCCGTCTTCGCCAGAGAGAATTCGAAGTACGTGTCGTGGTAGTCGAGTGTCCAAGGGACAGATACGGTAGTCCACGAAGAGGTGACCTTCCACTCGGGGCTGAAAAGACGAGTGCGGTCGAAGGCCTGGTATTTGCGCAACAAGTCGTCGTAGGAGATCCAGAAGTTGCCGTCATCGCCGAAACGATGGTTGAGTTTCGTCAACCACTCAGCCGTCCACTCCTTTGACCCATCACTCCACGGGCCCGTCCATTCATATTTACCCCAGGGGTTCTTCAACAGCACGAGGCGCTGCCCGTCAATCTCAACCGCGCGCATGACGGAATACGCATGTAACTCGACAATGCCCTTGCGATCACCCCAGGTGGATCCCCACATCCCTGTCGAGCATCCGAAAAGAAATTCATCGTTAACCTTCATCAACTCCTCGTTCCAGAAGTATTCCTTATCGAGAATATCCGTGCTATAGAGCTCGGTCGTGACACCGCCTGTAAGATCCTCAATGCCTTCACCGGTGAATCCCCCCTCAATTGCCTGATAGTCACCATGAGCCTTGGCGTACGCCTTTTCAAGAAGAGGTAGCCACGTCTCGTTCGCATGCTCGCATTGCGAAAAATACAGCGCGCCAGAGCCAGATTGGTAAGCTTTGCGATACTGTTCCTCAGAATCAATACGCTCGCGGTCTTCCCAGAGGATGCGCTCTAGTACGCTATCGTCAAAGTCGGGCTTGGTGAGGAACAGCTTGTCATCGATGATCTCCGAGATCCATTCGCCGTCGCGGTGGAACACGAAGCCATAGACGCCGACCTGGTCGTCGCGCGCCACGCACACCCGCTCAATCAGACTAGGCTTGTTACTGAGGGTGCACAGCGCCGCGAGCAGCCAGCAGTCACCGTCTCGCCCTTGTCGCACGTCATTGGCGGTCGGCCCGTCGATGTAGAACTTAGGTTTGTCGAAGATGTCCTGCACGCGCTTGACGCTCTTGGGGCGGAACTGTGATTCGGGATTCTCCTCCTTCGAATTGGATAGCGATTCAAGTGTGTCGCGGTCACCCCATTTGAGATCGAGTTCGAGGTCAAAGTGGGGATCTCGGTACTTCTGGTTCACACGGCGGCACTCCTTGACGATTTTGGCGACTTTGGCCTTGCACACGGCTGCCGCCTCTTCGTAGGAAGCCTGTGTGGTCGTGCCGGCGCCGGCTTGATAGGATCGTCGTGCTGCTCGTGCGGCATATTGGTTGGAAGGGATAACGGTTGTCGCTATATCGAAATAATGCAACTGTCAGTGCTTGTAAAAATAGATGTGTCTTATGTGATTCCCCAGTCTCTTGCAAATCATTATGGCAACACAACAGAACGAAACAGCATTACACACCTTTCCCAGGTGTCTTGGTAGTGAATTTGGCCCAAAACTCATCGATAGCTTGTTGGGGCGTCTGTTTCTTGGTTTTCTTTGAGCGTAAAGATACGGTAACAGGAACTTCGGCCATGATGGTACGGGCGATCCCAGCGTCTCCCTCTAGGAAATACTCGGCCTCCGAGGCCGCATCAGGTGGGAGAGACATGATAGGCGCCTTTTTGTCTTGTTTTTTAAGCCGGCAGATCTATACGGCAAACTAACTTCGACAAAGATGGGAAACAACCAACCACCTGGTGCAGGAGCAGCTCTTATAAGGAAAGGTCACCTTCTCTGGGGGCAGAAAGAAAAGATCAGGGGTCTTAGCAGTTGGTAGCTATTCGTGGTATGACGTTCCACCTAAATAAACCATGCACGAGACCAGCCAAGACGGCTTCCTAACATTCAAAGAAAGGTAGAAGAGGAGCGACGCACACGTTCAGGAGAACGGAAATCGGCAATTTTCCAAATATATAAACACATGAAACGGGTTGATGCGAGAAGTGCAGACTCAGGAATGTTGCGAGGGAGCTTAGCAAACAGGAAGCTGGGAGCTCCAACTCGATCCTCCTCAGCCTTTTCTCGTCTGACATGCAGCAGGCCATGGAACCAAGAAGACGAGACCTTGCGTATCGTAGCCAATTGGCGGCGAGGTTTCGAAGGCGAGCGATGCCGATGTGATGCTGGCGCCATAAGGCCAAGGCATCCCACCAGTACCACATCGCTAACTAGCTAGCCGTGGCTACATGCTAGCTCTTTGAGCTTTTGGTATACTACGTACTACGCAAGAGACATCAACAAGACCAACAAGACTCGATTTCTGGACACTTTGTCGCATTCGTCTCGCGGGGGCAGATACCAGATTCGCCGGCTTGTAGGGCTGCATCGTACATACATATGAAGGCTGGTGATACCTACTTCAGGTAGGCCAGAGACCCCTACGCAGGACTCGTGGCAGGGCGTTCGGGGCGTTCAGGGCTACGAATACGCCGTAAATACCTACGGAGCTTTAGTCAGATAGGGGGTTGGTGGTTTACCAACGCAGCGTCTAGACCCCGCAAGCTGACTGAACCTCCAAACGCTAGTCCTGCCGCATCCTAGTGGGTTATAGCGAATGCTCTCTTCTCTTCATGAGCTTTGATGACCATGTCAAAGAACGGGCTCTCAAGCCAGTGAGCAATTGAGTAATGAAGCTGCTACTTTGAATCATCGGGAAGAAAATGTGCTCCTAGAGACATGCTGTCCTCTCATTGAAAGTGTGAGCGTAGGGAGTAGCATGGTCTCATTTGACTTAGACGACGATGCGTTTATATTATCGAACTCATGCCGATAGTAAGACTATAATAAGATGGCGGTTATCTGTTCCTTTATCATTAACCGTCCCATAATGAGTAAAGCTACGCTAATAGATGGATGCAGGTAATCGAGCATGATAAGTTTCATGTCAACACATCACCTCTCATGCCTCTCATACCTCTCACGCACCGTTGAGAGACATCTTTCATCTGAAAAGGAAAAAAAGAAAAAAGAAAAAAGAATCGGGGAGGCCCATACCTAATTCCTAGAACATCTTATCTAAATGATATCTAAAACATCTACATAAATATTTTATCGCTCAATGTAGAGATAAAATGTCTCGGCAACCCAGAACACCTTCGTGTAGTAGCCGCCATGAGTCCTTTACTTGAACCAGTCAAGATGCCAGAACCAGGAAGGTAAATGAGATGTACACTGAGGTAAAGACGCATCTGTGACTTTACACAAGGTTGAGAATCTATATTTCCAATCAATTGTAGTTCTGTATACTCGTTGGGTATAAGTAAGGAATCATTCTACTCATAGTATTGAGCTCTCATATTGAAGTAAACCACGAAGTAAGGGATAAGTGTTCCCCCTATCCTTCAATAAATAGCACCTAAGGCTTAAAGACATATCTCTCTCTTCCTTCATTACCCACTACCTACCTAAGACTTAAACACGTGCTTCAGATTATGAGGATTAAATTTACACTGACCATTGATCAGTGAAGTTGTTCACAGGGATATCAAGCGATAAGTAATCATCTGTATGCTGATAATACTCATAAACCATTCCCTTTCCTAATCGAATATAGTTTTAAACGCAACAAGAATCCTTTGAGTTGAAGGAACTGTGCGTAGATTAAGGAGTTCCTCAGATTAGAAAGTCCTTTTTCAAGGTATGTGGACATCATGATGTCCAGGACCAAGAAGGATTCGCACAGTAAGCCTCTGTCAGTGAAAAGCCTAGGTGGCTACAGTAGTTACTGTAAGGCATATTTCTGTACCCCAAACCTTTTTCGAACGCATCCTCATGAGCAAGCAAAGAGAAATGGCCGCACTCCAACAAAAGCATCGCCAAATGAAACCCCTTGTTGACCCCTTGTTGAACTACCCCGCGTCACAACCTACGCTTATTGGGACCGGTATATAAGACACGAGGCTGTTAAGAGGCCACTAATATGTTGCTCGCGAATGACTGGACAGTTGCCATGCCACGACACATCAGGCGACCAGCATGTAATACCGGCCGACATAAGATCGAGTCTGACAGGACGTGTTCTCACTTGGTACTCCTAGGTATGCGAGCCAAATTAATCACCCACCTTGCCACGGCAAGTTAACGAACACAGCATTTATTTACCAACCAAGCCAGCAAGTCACGCACTACCGCTGGTCACGGTAACTCTCAGAAATCACTGGAGTCAATGATGGTGGATGGTAGAGTTCATTTATCCTCCCTCCCAAGACTGTTTTGTTTCAGGATTATACCTGGCTTCGTTGCCACGGCCGGGCCGCAGCCATACATGTATATCTTCTTATTGCTAGTACTATTATAGGCTAAAATCAAGGTGTCTTGTTCGTGGTGTTTTGAATTAAACGATTCGCTGGTGGCCCAAGATCTATCTAGGTATTATGACCCCTTACACCTGACACGCGGAGTAAGTTGGGGTCACAGCACCTATGCCCCGACCTACATCTGTAGGCTCCATCCCTCCAATACAACCCAAGAAAAAGCGAATAGCTCCTTCTGTCCTATCCTCTGGTGAGATCTTACTTGAGTGATACGTGTACCTGCGTGGTCTCGGCGAATGATGCAGCACTCGGAGAATTTGGTCCTTCTGGTCGGGCTTTGGTGAGATGAGAATACAGCTCGATGCAACAGCGTAGAAGGCGAGCAAAACGCGACGCATATCAGACCCAATATAATGCATGGTGAGTCAAGAATCGCCGAGAACAACAGATGGAGATGTTCGTAGTACTACTTGCGCATCTGCCGAAAGGTCTAAATGTGAACTTCAAGCCTCAAGAAGCCGTGTCGGAGGCAATGTTCTCTAGCCAGAACCCTTATTAGTATAGGATCTGCGCAAAGTTTTGCTCTGGATCAACGAACTATGAGGATTCTAGCCGTTGGGATCGACATGATCGTCAGCTAGAATTATGCCTGCAAGATGCCTATTCTTCTCGTCTGGGTCTGGATCTGGGTACTAACTACGAAGTAGGTAGTTATGTTAGTTGCATATTCGCAACATGTGCAAAGAGTTTAGAAAAGTCGCCAAGTAGCGGAATGAGGGGCAACACGTTGTTATCAGGATAATTTTTCCTCTCGTGGAGTCTCTCTTGACTGAGCGGTGTATATTACCTGTTGCGCACATTTATCTAGATGCATTATTACTAGGAACATCCAGGTTATCTTGGTAAATCTGATGGGAGATTCGCGCCCAGTATTCGCACAACATACACTACACTCAGAGCGGTGAAGATTACTTACGGCTCACGATGCTCATTGTCTCGTACTCCAGGTTCTTGCAACGAGTCTCCTTACTCTACAATTATCAAACACGCTGAATACTGAATTCAAGCCTTTTAAGACGTGAATCAAGAGGTATTGAGTAGATCTAACCTGGAACAGGCTTATCGAAACCCCTGCTTGGCGTTCATCCCATCGAGAGTTTTCCGGTGGACTCTCTTAGTAAAGCTCAGCCAGGATCCAAACAGACATGGTCTTTTGGTGTGGTTAATAGTTGCGATATTAATGCTGTCAGACCAAACCTTAGTCGTGATGCTCTTCTGTACGATCATTGGTCCAGCCGTATAGCAGCAAAGACCCCTGAACTAATGGACCATGGAATTAGCGTCTGGGCGATGGTTAACACGCCCTCATCTACTAAATCTGACTGAGTCAGTGCCTAGTGTAAATCAACGACAACTACTAAGTATGTAGTAACTCCAATGATGCGACAATACCGAGCAAGCAGCATCGGGAAAATATTCTGCAGGTAATAAGTATGACAAGCGAGAGGTTGGAATTGAGCAGAGGTTAGGTACCATAGGATTGATTAAGCGCATATTATTAGACGCAAGTAGAAAACTGAACAAAGAGCTGGACTGGGCAACGCAGGGTGTACTGTAAACGCCCGTCCGCCCAAACCGTCAATGCAACTGTGACAACGCAGCGTTCATTAAGTAAGAAGAAACTATCAAGCAACGGCCGCCACTTGTCAACGTATGTCTGGAGAGGGGCCACCGAGTAGCTGGCTGGCGGATCTCTCTCTTGACCACTGGGAATGTATGGCTACTAGAATCTGCGTGAAATCTCACGGATAGCCCCTCGCCAGAGAGAGAGTAAGCGCAATGCGACGAAGTCAACACCTATAGTATAATACGGTATAGCTGATGTTCTGTACCTAGCTCTGCACCAACGCTACCGGTTACCAGTGCCGTCGTAGGGTAGCTCGACCCATCGAGCGAGTCGACAAGAATTGTCTTTTCGCCAGTCGATTGAGTCTTGGCAGACTATAATAGCAAGAAAAGACAGGCAAGCAGGCGCGCGCGCTTAACAGAATCTTGAAGTTGCTGCCCTCGTCTATTTCATCACGCACCCACGGTCATAGACGCTTTGACTTTCCCTATTCCAGCAAATTAATCCCCAAAATAATCGCTCAGTCCGCATTCAGAGTCAATTTGCTTCGTCTAGCATGTTCTGCACATTCCCAGCAACACATGGCATGTGGAAGAGAATGTGTGTGGACGGAGTAGCGGAAAGGGAGTGGGGAAATAGACCCCGAGGAGGCCGCACACTAACCGACTACATACTTAGTATGTCGTACTCACACTACACGACACTAAGGCCGCTCTCGGGAATCTTTGTGGCTGCAGTGGTTGGCTGACAGTCAGCCAGTCTGTCGGTTTACCGTACCATGATCGTTCGTGCCCGATGAGATACGTACGTACTTAGGAGATTCAGTCGTACACAACACTACGCAAACCGTACCTGACCTAGGGCTTTGTAGGATTGTCCTCCTATCTATCGGCCTGGGCATACCGTAGCTGGGCCTCTGCTGGGCATAAGGACAAATCTAAAATCCATCTTTGGCAGGTTTCAGGATCCCTGCAATGGTGTGCTCCAGTGGCAACGCTCTGCAATGTTCCTTGCAGGAAGAGGAGCCAAAAACGTCCAGTTGGACCATACAGAACTAAGCCTCGTCCCCTTTCTTATCCCTTTTGGGCGAGGGTAGCGAACGCCTCTCTATCCCACTTTTGGCTTTCATCCGATATTTTCGATGAGGGCGATCAGGCACTTGGTCTGCACTTGGGATACAGAGTACGAAGTAGAGCGCAGAAGGGCGATCATAACCAGAAATTACACCACAGCATTATTCGGCTGTTCTCACCTCAGAAGCCTAAGTGAAGGGTTCAGCATGAATGGTTATTAGCGCACCTTCGCCTTATGTGGTCAAGGCTAGGTACACAACGTCCAGCATACACTTACACGTACTCTTTCGCTTGGCAAGATCTGGCGGCTTAGTCGTACACCAGTCAATTATACACAGCATGAAGGTATTATACCCTCCTTGTCATATCACCGTCTACGTGCTCGAAAGAAGAAAGGAAGACTGAAAGACAAGAGGGAGGAATGACCCGGACCGCAAAAAGACGGCCATTGTCGTAGACATTGGCATTCCTGTCCCCCATGACCACTTACTTAGTATATCCTATCGGCAGCGCCCGAGTCTTTGTTTCGTGGCTCGCGCTAAGACTAACACCATCAATGAATCGATTGTATTCAGTCTTTTTAGTCCGATGTCACCGTCTCTGCTACCCCTGTAACCTAAACAAAGTTTCACCTTCTACACAACGTCCTCAACCCAGTCCGTCGTGACCACCTCTCTTTGGTTCCCGCGTCTTGTATCCTAGCACCCCTGTTCGCCAGCGTGGCGTTGTACACTACCCTGCTCGGCAGTGGAGCGAGGTAGCTTAGTGTTGATGCCATGCATACTGAGTAACTCCTTTTATCTTTGTCCAAGATATGCGAGGTGGAGCTCCCAAGCGCAATGTACTAAGTATGGAGTGTAAGTGTATCTGCTCCAGGGTTCTTTCGTGCCGTTGCCGAAATTCCCATAAAGTCGGGTAGGGTACGATAGGTAGGCACTTTAATATATATCCTTCAGGGTCAACCTCCTTCCGAGCTTCTTCTTCCCACCCCTTCCGCTCTCTTCTCTTTCAAGATATTTATCTTGAGTTTCGTTCACTCTTCCGTCTTGCTAGTCGAGTTATATATCCCACGTTCCTTTCTTCCTGCTTGATCGGTAGTTGCTATACGCATACCCAAGTTGACATTGTTCTTTCGAACCTTCGACTATCCTTCTTCCTATATACTAGCTCCCTGCAAGACAGGTACTCACTATAGCATCACGAACGCCCGGCTCTGCGTTCACGTTTTCCTCAATATATTCTTCCATCACTAGGTCTTCCCGGCAACATCACCTTAAATCCCTTCACGGTTAAACATATCGATACCCTTCGTATAAGTCCAAGAGACTCGCTCAAAATGCGCTTCCAAGCTACACTTCTACCTCTTCTCCCCAGCCTCGTGGCTGCTATCAGGCCTCCCAATGTCAACGGCATGAACCTGGCTTTCTTTGAGGCCTGGGAGGGCCCCGCGGGCTCTGCTCCCAACACCAATGTCTGGAACATAATGGACTCGATCAATACCAACAACGAAGTCCAGACATACTCGCTCTCGAACAACAACCTCCAGATCAGCGGTGGCGGCACTGTCCAGTTCGTGCCCCGAAAGTCGAGCACCGGTCAATGGACCTCAGCTCGTATCGAGTCGAAGGCGTCATGGACACCGACCCCGGGCAAAGTCATGATGGTCTCTGCCAACATCCTCGTGGGCAGCAACGCCGCCTCCAACAAACAGGGCATGTGGCCCGCGTTCTGGCTCCTCGGTGACGCCGTTCGTCATGGCACCGAGTGGCCTGCGTGCGGCGAGATCGATATCTTCGAGCAGGTGAACGGCGTAGCTACAGGTCACGGCACGCTACACTGTGGCTCCGAGCAAGGCGGTCCCTGCCAAGAGACGACGGGCCGTAGCGGCACCGTGCCTATGCCCCTTGACGGCTTCCACACCTGGTCCGTCAAGATCGACCTGACGAACGGCGATTGGCGCGCCCAGACCATTTCCTTCCAGGTCGACGGCAACACCTTCTACACCGTCAGCGGCGCCGACCTGAACGATGCTCCTGTCTGGTCGACGCTGGCCCACAGCCCGATGTACATGATTTTCAACGTCGCCGTTGGCGGCAACTGGCCCGGTGCACCCAATGCCGTAAGTCAATCCAAGCACAGACGCGACGCATCCTATAAGCAGGCACTAACATGGTTCAACAGGCTACTCTCGACGGCTACGGCGCAATGATGGAGGTGCAATGGGCAGCTGTATACACCTCGTAGTGAACACCCAATAGGCACTACGGAAATAGATCTGGACATGGGAGCCGTATGATAAAATAAAACATACGGATAGGATGGCGTTCTTCAATTCATGATAGATATGGTAGATATCGGGGTCTTCTTTCGGAAGACTTTTTTCTTACTCTTTTTTTGCTTTACATTTGTTCATGATACCTCTTTGCTTCAAACTTTTTAGCGGGAAAGCGTCGGCTGGATAGCAGAAAGGAACGGAATGGAAATGAAAAAATCAACCATGATTACCGGATTGCCAAAACCGAAGTATCTGCTACGATCCCAGTGCAAATGAGTGTTGTTACTTTCGTATTGTTTTAGTTGTCTGTAGTGAATAACTAACGCAAGCCTCTTGAAATGTTCGCCTTCGGCAGATATAGATGTCGTTGAGCATATGTGCGAGAATGAGGCTAGCTAGTGTCACTGATGAGGGTAATTGATAAGGGGTGTGCGGAGCAATGGTCACCATCGCCTAACTCTGTGGACAATAAGACTCCTATGTATACTATAATTTCCAACCGGGATATATTCATCACAGTGTAGCAATTGTACTAGCCTAGCATCGACGACCTTTCACGGCGGGTTAATGAAACCGGGGAGTACAAACAGCATCATGATGCCAATGTCGTGAGACGGAACGATCTTATCCTAGGTGCTACACTCATTCGATGCCAGGAGCTAAAGCTGCAACATAGGTTCGGGCCCGCCTTCGTACACTTCAACGCATCTCGCCTCTCACATCGTGTATCGGAACTAGATAGTCAGCTCAGGTGTCCCTTGTCAAGGTAAAATGGCTAACCGGCTCAAAACACGGGAAAACAGCAAGTTGACTTACATAAACGTTCTCAAAATCAGTGTAATCCTGCTCGCCCAACAACTTAGCTTTCGCGATCCTGTCCTCTTCCGTAAAGCCCTGTTCACGCAGTAGCCTATCTCGCCGACGGTTTCGCAAGACCAGAGTCAGGCGCCACATAGCGATGACCAAGAATTCAAGACCGAAAGCTGTGGCACATCCTATTGTGCCCGGGATATATCGAGGCTAATAATTTAGTGATTATAAGCTCACTGCCTAGTCATAAGAACGTAGCCGAAGTGGCTAAGGGGGACGTACGGCATCTTTGTAGTTGAAGATCTGCGATCCGACAATATTCCCAACGCAGTAACCGACGAATGTGAAGGACGAAGTGAACGTGCGCTTCGTCCGACCCGCGACGTTAGAGGGGATGAGTGTCCACGCTAAGAAGAGTGAGATCACCGAGGTCACTGTCATAACATAGCTAGATAGAGCAAGCATATATCAGCAGGTAGAAGTTGATCACCGTTCGTCATATCGAAGACTTACCCGCCCCATTTGATCCATTTATACTGGGGTTCGTTCGGTAGCAGCGAAAGAAGGATGAAGCCAATGAACGGCGGAATCACGGAAAACATCATGAAATACCTATTTTCATTAATCTAATCACGAACTAGTAATATTATGCATTTCGGAGAAACTTACATGCGCAGATTCTTCCATTTGCTGCAGACAATGCCGATGATGACGAAATAGCCGATGGAAATGGAGCTTCGAGGAATGTCCAGCAGAATGAACTGCAGGTTGGCTTCTCGGGGTTAACGCGACTGGTAACGCGTATGGGTTAGGTCCATGTGGTATGACACTCACTGAAACCAAATCCAGTATTTAAGATGGCGTTGAAAGTTGTCAGACCTCCGTTAGGAACGGATGACAAGAAGGCGTTGATCCCAGCGAACCAAAACTGCAATACGGTTACTTTCAGCAAGGCGCGGAATCATCCTAGGCAAGTCTTTCCACTCACACATGGATCAACAAGGCATTCTCGAACCTGTTTCCACTTCCACGTCTTGATACCAGTCCGATCGTGTCCAGTATTATTCGCCATGATGCGGGCCTTCGCCATCTTCTTCTCCTCGGGCGACAGCCACCGAACTTCCGAGGGCGTCCCAAGCAGGAACAAACACGTCGTCCCAGTGAGGATAGTCAGGCTACCCAGGAACTACGCAAACGCTTCATTAACACCGGTTATCCCTGATCGGCCGTACCACTCAACTCACGTAGGACTGGTATCGCCAGGGCTGAAACTCAGGGCCGTGTTGAGACGCCGAGGATCCGATCCCGTACAGGACCAAGTTCGAGATGATGCCGAACCCGGCATTAGCGCTTTGGAAAACGAGAGATCTAGATGCATGCTCGCGCGTGGTATACCTTGCGATGTGTCAGTTGGCAATGTGCTCGCACGTGAGATGTTGATGGACTTACCAAGATCCTATGATTAAGATAAAACCCGGGGAGATACAACACTAAACCGGTATTTAGTCTCTATCCCAGTGCGATGCGCCATCGAGCGGCGGGGTTTATATCACAACCTACTTCGAACAGTCCCTGAAGCGCGCGCAACGTGATCAGGTGAGTGAAGTTCTGCGCAAACCCTATGCTGAGAACGATGATGCCCCAGAGGATCATATAGCATGACAGCGTGCGTCCCATCAGGTATCGCTGGAGGATAAAGTTCGACGGGAACTCGAACAGGACATACGTGATGTAGAAGATGGTAGTCAGCCACGGGTACTGTTGTCCGACGAGCCCGGTGTCCTATCAACATGCCACGGCAAAGTTAGTAATAGCATCCTCTCGCCATGAGACCATTGTACAGAATAAGAGACATGTTGTATACGCTTGTAGAGAGATGTCTTACCTCCCTCAGACCAAAGGTGGCCTGGGTCCCGAGAGACGTCTTATCAGTCTGCTGGATGCCGTAACAGAGCCACATCAGCGGGAGCAAGTAGCGGTCGATTTTCCGCCTGAGTTTCTTATACTCTTCCTCTGAATACGCCGGTACTGACGCAGTATCAGTAACCAACTGGTCCGAGGATATCCTCAGTTATAATCAACACGCACCAGCTACATCCTGTACATCGCCCTCGGCAACACTCGTTTTCTCGCTGGTCTCTACGACCTGGGCCTTCTCAGCGTCGTTCTTCTCGTAATTGGAGGTTCCCAATGCGAGCTCCGAGTCGTTCGCCATATTTACGTCGTCGGGCTCCTGTATCGTCGGATACAGGTGATCTCTCGGGTGTGGCACCGCGCTCAGGTCCAGCATCGTGGGAGATAGGAGGGACGTACGCTTTATAGATGCCCAGAGTAACACTAGGACCGTTACTCTGGGATGTCTATGTCATCAGGTCACTTTCGTAGATAAGATCGTTCCGACAAGCCAATCATAGCTTGATCTATACTATTCCTTTCGACGGTATGCATCGTATCTTGCATGCCTCTTCCATTACTAGTCGGTATACCGTACCCATGGCAGAAGATCGTGCTCAGTTGGTATGGAGATGTGGGGGATATGCATATATAAACAAGGGTCCTTATCTCTCACGTCCCCTGTGCATCTAGACCGAGAACCATTCTCAGCGATACCCTGGCAGATATTTGTATAGCGACACATGGCGTCAGCGGTGATTCGAGGATTATGGGATGTGGTATTATTGTTCGTAGTCCACCAGCCCTATCGAGAGTGTGCCAAATGGGCAGGTGCATAGACAATCATGTGGAGTATATATATCTTCGGGGTTTAGCATACATGCCCAGGTAGTGAGATGGGTGTTAATTCCGGGCAAGAATGATTGTAGAACGTCTATAGTCCATCAATCTCCTATATGAGAACGCAGTAGCTGGTAAGAAAAAGGTGAAAAATAAAACCAATTATAGTGGTGGAAAGGGGGAGAAAGAGGAAAAGAAAAGGATACTGGCCACCGAGGGAATCGAACCCCCGGGACCTAACGATGCAGAGTAGGTATGCAGAGTAAGGATACAATCGCTAACCGCTAGGTAAAGATACATTGGAAATGCTTCGCTAGACCGTACCAACGCGGCCAATAGCCCGGAGGTCTATCTATGAATATATGCTGTGTCTTGGCTGGTATAAGGTTGTTGGTTCGAACTTTATCCCAGGTCAGCCAAGTTCAAGCCGATGGGTGTTGACGGTAGAAGGCCAGGAAGCTTACATCGAGGGAGACGAACTCGATATAAAGGTTACCTCAAAGAAAAGAGATGCCCTGGTGGTTGCTAGGCCTAGGGGAATTTATCACGTGGACATGTTAGCAATACCCATCTTCATATTTAAGCCTGACCACCTACTCTCTCAATTCGCTTTGGAGTTGAAAGGGGGCAAAAGCAAGATGTCTGTCGATAGCAAGCATTGAACCACTCGAACATCAGGGGATCTATTACGCGGTGCCCCAGCAATAGTCGTTTTCTTTCTTGAATATATGAGCCAAGTCTCTCCAAACTATAGGTAGAGGTTTAAAGAAGAGAAATGCCCTGTGGTGGTCAGTGTCTCGCCGCTCGGTCACCTATGGCGGATTCATCGCGCAGTGCACCCGCATTTTGCCTTGGCATATATGTTGCAAGCGCTTTGAGACTGACGTTAAGCATAGTACGATCTCTAGTAGCGATTGAGTGTTCATGTGTGAGAAGTCGGCAGTCAATTCAATAGGTATCTGTTGAAGTTTCCTACTGAATGTACAGTTTCCCAGTCATTCTCGGGATGGGATGGGCAAGTACAAGTCGGCGTAGGTACTTCAGTAATTGCTCTACCGAGTCTATGGTACCACGTACAGTGCGAGACAGTTTGTACCTTCTGCATAGAGTCATAGACTATAGTGGCTGGACTGTACCAAGATACGCTGTGGGACAGTACAAGCCGCACAGTACCGGCTGAACAGCACTCTGCCAAGCCAAGTCGCGTTCATGCTTCAGTCCTCCTTCACCTTTCACATCGCCTGCCAGCTTCAGGCTGTATTGTGTGTGAGAGGTGACGACCATCCTGTCATCACAGCTTTCAACCGTATTTATACGTCATGGCATCTAATCCAGGCCCTGATGCACCTGTGGCTGGTCTGGCAAAGGCAAAGGCATATTACGATGAAAAACAGTATCCCAAAGCTTCTGCCACGTTCAAACAGGTCTGGCTCATCAACACTCTGTGCCTCTCTCTCATTTCTTCCTATCTTCTTCTCCCGTGTGGTTTAAACAACACATCTTCAACTAACTTGATCATGTCTAGATCGCGAATTCCTGTACATGTGGCATGCAGGTTAGGGCTACACCGTGCTGTTGCAAGTCCCTCGTCCCCGCCATCACCAATGGCGCCCTTGACGCCGAGCTGAGGAAAAAGTGTATCTGCTCTGCAAAGTCCGATGTTCGATGCAAAAGCCCCAACCATCTCGATGCATTAGACGGGCTGGCAGCTGTCTATGAGGCTAGGCGTCTCGTTGACAAAGCCATCGCAATTGCCGAAGCTATGATCAATCTAGCTCCCCGCGAGCCCAAGGTATGCTATGCTGTACCCTGACAAGGACGGATGGCGAGCATCGCGCACTTCTCTGACTGTGGAACACGAAGGGATTCCTTCGTCTTGGGAGACTTTTACGTCTTCAGCGCTCATTTCAGCCAGCATTCCAAACATACCGGCAAGGAATCGAGCTGGTGAGCAAGAAGAATCCTTCTCACCCACTTCTCCCGGTGAGTTTTGTTACCAATATCCCCGATTTTCGCCTACTAAATCGCTGTGTCACAAGACGCTGCACCAGATGAGAGACAAGGTCAAATGTCTCGCCGTTGCTACAGACCCTCTCACCGTGTTGCCCCTGGAGCTTGTTGTCATGATCTTGAAGAATATTGACTTTCGAACCTTATGGTAAATATATCCTCTCGATCGGCATCGTAACTCCCGATCTGCTGATCATCAAGCTTATAGCCGTTGTTTAAGAGTGTCGAAGAGTTGGAAATCGCTATTGACTACGAAGGACGTGACAATTCAGTCCCTTTGGCGCATCCAACATTTTGACCGCTGTACAAAGCCGGTTCGCCCAGGCCTGCTCCAAAAATATGCAGCATACTCAGGCGCACAAGTAACCGAGCTCGTTATTGGTAACTGTCACCAGTTCCGGGTAGATTTGAACATACTTCGATGGATTGCTACTTGTCGAAGCCTCCGAGTCCTCAACTTACGAGCGCCAAGCATTGTAGCATCGCCTGCTATCGATCGCTCCTCGATCGGTCCTTTGTGCGTGCCTCAACTGACCAGTCTATACCTTGGGTTCTACACAGCTTTCCAACCCGATTTTGTCCACAAGATCATCGCATCATCAGCTGCTACACTTCAGGAATTGACCATCCTGAATTTGCCGAATCGACTCCTAGGGGGGGTAGTGCATGTTGAGGACGAGTATTGGCCCGTGTTGCAAAATCTTCGTGTCCTTCGTCTGGGGATCTATACCAAAAGCAACGTAGGTCTCGCGGTTGTTTGCCTTGTCAGTTCATTCCCATACCAAGTATGAGCTCATAAACTTACATAGGGCAGCCAAGGTGTATGCGCAACTGTCCCAACGTTGAGGAGCTCTGGCTAGATGGCGTTGGCGTTGTTATTGGGGACAATCCGAGCGAACTAATTAACGTTTGGCGTAATGTGAAGAAGCTCTTTGTAGGATCGCATTTCGAATGGGTATCCACCATTCCACTGATAATTTCCCTTTCTCCAGAAATCGAGGAGCTGCATCTCATGAACTATCGAGTAACAGCACAGTTCTTATTAACTGCGTTCGACGAGTTCGTCACGGATCATAAACCGCAAAATCTCCGCAAGCTCACTCTCCGTCCCTGGGTGCCCACTATTGTTAATAGCGGGTGGCCGGAATACCTGGAAAAATGGGTGCGGCCCAGTCTCGAATCCGGCTCGTTGACAGAGCTAGGAATGATATTTCCTAAATCGCACCCGGACTGGTTTAGGAGCGAGCATCTCAAATTCCTCAACGTGAAGGGTCTGTCGACAGTCTGCGGCACGGATCCCTACAAGATCGACGAGGCTCTGGCTGACCTCCTTGACCGCTTTCCCAACCTAGAGGGCCTAGATGTCTCGCAAGAACCCCTGAGCAATACTGCGCTAGCCAAAGCAGTCCGAAGAGGGGTCAAGCTCATATATCACAGGGGCGATTACAATCTACGAACTGAAGTTAGAGAATGGGCCCTTCAGAAGCACAACGCGCGTATCGTCGAGGGCGACTATATCACTAATCTACCGATGTACCCGCGCGATGAAAATCATGGGACGTTTTATTAGAGGCTATTTTATATTGACGTGGGGTTTGGCCATACACCTGTGACGATCGGATAGTGAGGAACCTCGAGTCTTGTATACCCCGATCCCCCTATTTCGGCGAAAATTGTCTGCTTTGGGACCTCGGCTGGTGTCTCCACGATGTATAAGAATATGTATGTTTGGGAACATTCATCAATTCTGATCGCGGTGCATAGCGCAATACTTTGACGAACGGAGCAGGTATTGTCGATTAAATAGCAGTGAAAAATCAGGCTCTGGAAAGGGTTCGTCAAACGGGTCATGATACCTACCTACTTTGTCGAATTCGAGATACCTTAATTGACACCATTCTTCACCAGTACTTTTTGCTATACAAAATCACGCCAAAATTATAGGCTCAGTGCAATCCGTTGCACTATCTCGAATATGACTAACAATATCATTGACATGTACACTCATCATGATTACATGTCTAAAGGCGCTTTTTAGGAATGATAGATATTTTTTTCAAAACAAAGAAAAAAAAGCCGAAGAATGCCATTAGCTAAACGTATAAACTAAGACCCCTCGCCCGCTTGCTTGCTCGCATAGATGTATGTACTGTACAGTATGTGTACGTGTATGTGTTATATGTATGTATGTGTGTAGTGTAGTGTAGGTATTTGTATACCTGCCCATCCACCATCCTGTGATCCAACATCCTGTGATCCAACATCCTGTGATCCAACATCCTGTGATCCAACATCCTGTGATCCAACATCGGAATCAGATGTAAACCAGTCGAACCGACCGAGAGACAACAGCCCGCCACCAACCTGAACCAGAACTCGCACCGAACCGAACCGAACCGAACGAGCAGAACGAACGTCCAGAAACTAAGTCCGTTTGTTTCTAATCTCCGTTCCACTACTGGCTCGTTTTCATATCAACCCATCCCATCCATCCCATCCCATTTTAACCACCCCAACCAACGAACCAACTCCACGCCCTCTAAACCTCCCTTCACACCAAAGCACGAAATAAGCGCCCTCCAACATCCCCTCCCTCACCTCCTTGGACTCTCCACACTCCCCGAGATCAAGCCCTGCAATTCCCAAGGCGAGAGCGTACTCCTTCTCCTAGAGGCGACTTTCCCCGCGCGCACGGCGGCGCGGTTCCTGCGGTTTTTGGCGACGCTTAAAGCCGGTCCCTTGTCCCCATCCATTCCCTCTTCTCCTTCCTCACCTTCTCCCGTCCGCGCATCATTCCGACTGGGATTATAATCGTCGTCCCCAAGTTCATCGACATCGTCGCCCACAGTCGCACGACTATATCTGCGTCTAGGCGCTTTCCTTATACCTATGCCTACACCCACACCCATACTCATTTCTACATCTTTGTCTTTCTTCACCGGGTCGACGTTTTCCCTAGGTATAGGTATATCGGCACCATCGCTGTTCTCTGCGCGTTGTGCTACACTCTCTTTCTGCGCTTGGGTCTGTGCCTGCGTCCGTCGTTGTCCATTCGGAGGAGATGAAGATTCACCACCCTCGGGCGCAGCACCGCTGATCCTCCTATTTCGCCTCACAGCCCTTAATTTAGCGCGCACGCGCGCCGCGTCCGCCTCGCGCTCCGACGCAGCGAGTTTCGCGGCGATGGTGGCCATGTTCAGCGGGCTTTGGTGCTGCTGCTGCGCGTGCGGGCGCGGGAGACGGGAGGATACGGCGGCGTTTTGGTGCGCGCGAGTTGGGGAGCGGGTACGCGGGTGTTTGTTGCTGTCTCTGTCTCTATTGTCTGGTTCTTCAGAATTGGTAGATGATGGGTTTTGTTGTTGTGCGGGGCGCTTGCGTTGACTTGTTGTTGTTGTTGTTGTTGTTGTAGAGGGATTAGATGTGGTAGTGGTAGAGGTAGAAGTCGAAATAGATGTAGATGTAGATGTATTAGTAGAAGGCGCAGTAGAGTGAGCAATGTCCTCGTCTGTATCCACGACTCTGCGGATAGCAGCTGTGGGCGAGGTCTTCTCGGACACTTTCTTCGCATTCGCACGTGTAGTCTGCGTGGCCTGTGGCGGGGATATTTGGTTCCTTTGACTCAGCGTCGTACCAATAGCAGTACTTCGCGGTCGTGGTTCAGATGGCTTCGAGAATAATTTCCGATTCAGATCGGCTTCTGTGGGCCTCTCGCCTGACTTGCCGAAAAGAGGACTATCGTATGAAGCCGTATAGCTCGGCATGCCGTCGTCATCAACTCGTGGAGGTGATACCTTCGATTTGTAGCTGGGGGAAGCAGGTGCTTGTTTCTCCCCTGTCGCTGCGAGGTCCCAAGTGTTTTCCTCGACAATGGTTGTGAAGTCGCCAGGTCGCTTGTGGTACGGCGAGGTATGAACCGCACCCCTGTTGCCGGAAGAGTACGAGTCTTTCAGAGGGCTGATCTTGGGAGGCTCCGGGAGTGGTGAGGAGTCGATGGAGTCGGCAGTCGAGGTCTGTAGAATCTGCACGTTAGGCTCTTCTATGTCGATATCGTCATCGAGATCGTCTTGAAAGATGCTGGAGTCTGAGTCTGATTCGTCGTCAGGATCCTCATCATAGGCAGGAGCAGGTACCAAGCGGAGCGATTCAACGGAGCTCCGAGATCTGAAGTGTTGAGGTTCTGAGGTCTCATCGTGGCTCCTTTGGTTTTGATTACTCATCTCCTCCTCCTCCTCTTCCTCCTCTTCTTCTTCTTGTACGCATGACAATCTCATGGGCTGTACATTCGCGGTCTCTTCGGCATCGCGGACACGCACAGGACTCAGGCTTAGCAGTAGATCTTCCACATCGACTGATGATTTGCCACTCGATTCCATCCGCCTACGCCAACCATCTATCATAAGCATGGTGTCCTTCCACTTGGCTAACGTGGTATTCAAGCGCGCCCGCAAACCGGCGATAACTTCATCGCGGGCCTCGACTTCCTCAATCGGCACGAAAGAAGGGTTCGTGAGGATAGATCTTAAATGTTCGACGATAGCTTGGATTTCGGTCGCAAGCTCCTCGGCAGATTTCTGGGGCAGCTGTGTGACGAACTCGTTGCGGACACTGTCATGGCTTTGTTCATCGCCAGGGTATATATTGCGATCCAGCCCACTCATTTCGCGCAGTCCACTTATAGTGTCCCGGACAAGCGTAAGTAGGCCCTCGTTCTCCTCGCTTAGCCCTTTGGCCAGCTCGGTCAGAAAGCCGTTCGTCTCCATGCGAAGACTGTAGCCTTCATCTTCAGTCGCACCGACAGGCATCCCCATCCCTTCGCCCTCTTCGTTGCCATCACTGCCAGTAACATTGATAGTGATAACGTCGCGGTTCTTGCCACTACCACGCACCCTTCCGGCATCGGTGACAGCCTTCTTCAGACTGTCGATATGGCGATCGCGTTTCCGCACCTCGTTGGCACAGGCGTTGCGCGTTTGCGCGACGACAGATTTCATCTTGGCCACTTGATCTTTTAGGTTGTGGATCCCTTGTTCAGCCGTCTTTAGCTGGGCGCGCAGGGCACGCTCCGTAGCTTCGGCGGTATCTAACCGCCGCTGGGTATCGTCCAGCTTCTCTGTTTGGCGGGCATACTCTGTGGTCTGTCGCTGGATATCTGTGCGCAGCGTGCGAAGCGTTGAAGATAGGGATTCGCGGTGTTCGGCATCGCGCTACACGAAGAAGGTATTAGCCGCTGTCAGTTTGCCCATGTCGAATTCCTAGTGAAAGAGATTGCAATGCGCCATCAACACCGTAAGTAGACACGTACATCTCGTCTCAAGATTAGGTCATTTACAACGCCGATGATGCGGCCCATGGCATCTTGAAGGCCGCCGTCGCTGCCCTCGGGGTCGGCAAAGTCGATGCTCTGGCCATCGCGTAGTAGGCCGCGCGACAGGAGCTGGTTGTTGATATACAGCGACGCGGTACGTAGATTATTCGGGTCAATCATGATTGAACCGGGGTCAGTTCCCGCGAAGGCGCGAGATCTATTTATCCTATCAAACCGCAGTTCTTTTCTGATGGGTCTTGTTCGTATATTGCTGTCATGTACGTGGTTTGTCGCTTTTGGTACGATTGATAGATGGCAAGCCTATTTATTATCGCTCTTCACTTGGGCACGTTGCGTCTTCTGTCCTCTTGTCTTGTCTTCTCTGGTCGTCTGGGGCGCAACAGCGGGCACGTTCAGGCGATTGACAGGATAATCGTAGTGGGATCGATGCTTGTATCTGGCTGCTTGACCAACCGGGTCGCGAGGTGATCCAGCTGAAGTTCAAAATTAGATGCAATTGAAGGGTCTGCGGGACGAACGGACGATGTCAGGGTCTATAGCATGAAAGATATAAATTAGTAGATTAGGTCGAGGCGTGTATGTGCTATGTATGTGCTTTTGGGGCGGGTTGCTAGGCGGGGCAGAAAGTAAACAAAAACGCACGTTCCTGGCGGACAAGCTCGGAACAGGGGGCCCAAAAGCCTGACCAACACGACCCCTGGACACGACCCTGCCAATCTGCATCCCGTATTTAGTCACCTCCACGTCAAGTTCACGTGTCGCGTGTTAATTGATCAATTGATGTATTCTGTCTGCACTCTGTCTGCACTTGTCTGCATGCTCCTAGGCGTTGGTATAGAAAAGCTCTGCCCCCCGCTGAGCCTGACGTTGCGTCGCCGTAGCAATTGCGCTGAACCATGCGGGTGCCTATGCAGTCATACAAACCCAGACCAAAGATATAACAGTATACCAGTGACAGATGTTCTCTTTTTTGGGGGCCTTGAAGCTATCGTTTGACTTCTCGTACCAGGGCAACGGTGAGCTATCCAAGGAAAAGCGGTATGCGGTATGCAGTATGCAGTATTCCGTCACCTGACAAATCTTCGCTTCTACCAACTGCGCTCTTTTTTTTTAAACCTTCTAGAAGTCCTACGTAGTGTACAAAATAGGTATTTTCTACTTGGCAACATTGCCCTATTCTGGTGTCTCTACCCCGCCACGAATCCGCCGATGTGCCTCCTTCTTGTCAGCTTCCGTCACCTGCGAAGGTTCTTTTCGCATATCCGGTGTGAATTGCGGTACGTGGGGCGAGTGTCCCACTGACATGCCTGCTCGTATCTGCACCACCAAATCAGCAAAATGCCACCTGGAAAAAAAGAATTGACGAATAACTTACCAAGGTCTCAAGAGCGCCGTTAGAGTTATCAACGAGGTCATCATCGTAAACCATCTTGCCTGGCTCAAATAGGACCACAATTGTGCTGCCACCAAACTTGAAATATCCGAGCTCTTCGGCGCGCTTCACGTGCTCTCCCTCTTGCCGCGTAATGACTGTGCTGCCCACCATCATGGCCCCTACACAGATCACCATCACGCGCCCGTGCTGTTCCGAATCGATCGGGCAGATCACTCGGACGTTTTCTCCATAGACGTCGAGAGCCGATCGAATGGCCATGGGGTTGACTGTGTAATACTCCCCTTCAATGAGCTTGGGCTTTTGGAGGATTCCATCTACCGGGATATGGAATCGATGGTAGTCCTGAGGGGCAAGCCTGAAGATACCCAAAGATCCGTTCTCATACCTTGCAGCATCTTCGGGATATGCATCGCCAAGGAGGCGCTTGACCGAGAACTCCCTGCCTTTGATCCATATCTTGGTTGCAGTATCAATCGAGTTGAAGACAACTGATCGGCAATCTGCAGGTGATACGATGATGTGTGGGTTGTCTGGAGCCGAACACGGCCGAGCACTGGGCTTTAAGGCGCGGTAAAAGAACTCGTTGAAGTTCTTGAACTCCTCTACTGGCAGAAGCACTTCCGACATGTCCAGTTGGTGGAACTCGATGAATGGTTCGATTTGCGACTTGGATGCCGGATCATCGTACTTTTTACCCTGCTTCACACTCAATCCTTTGAGAAGCTTGCGGACTAATACGAGTTAGTACAGATTATCATAATTCAGACTAAGAGGGACCATCATACTCCTCTTGTTTTCCATATCCTTGGACTTGAGGCCTTTGTACAGGAGACGAATGCCTAGTCTTACGTAGACACTCATCTTCTCCTCATTGATCTGTCCTGTCAGGCGATCTTGTACCAGAATATTGGCCGAATTGGCCCCAAGCTTATACCCGCCGTAAGAGATCTTCGTTATCACTTTTGAGTACCATTTCCGTTGTGCTTGGCTAGATGTGACAAAACCGCCCATCACGAGTGAGTTAACTTGACGCCAGTCCTGACTTGCGCAAGTGGCGATATGAGTGACTATATCAGCATCTTTGCGCTTGTTGAGGCGTGGTTGATGACAGATGGGGCACTCCCGAATCTCTACCACATGCTCCTCTCCTCGATCAATGTTGAGATCGTCTTTGTCCAACACATTGCCTTCTTCTCCGGCCTTATCGAGATCAGGAACAATAAGTGTCGACGTGCCTGACTGCGAGCCATTGATGTCGGACTCCTCAGGGCCAAGAGTGAATGAGCCATCCTCGGATGGGGAGGCTTGACCGTTACCGTGACCCGGGATGCCGAGCAAGTTCTTGGCTTTCTCGGCGTCGGGGAGCATGTTCTTTACCTTCTCAGTAATGGGCTGCGGTGTGCTCTTTGCCTGCAACTGGTCTTCAAGACAGATAACAGCCTCGTCCATAGTCAGCTCGGCCTCCCCGTTCAAAGCTTTGTGAGGGAACCTCTGGAAGAACGAATCGATGGTCGATTCTCGTAAAGTAGAGCCTAGAGTATCCAACATGGTAGTTAACTCGACTTTGCTGATCTCGCCACTCTCATCAGTGTCGTATTGCTTGAGCATAGCTCGCCAGAATTGCTGCCGTAAAGCCGGATAAGGCATGTACTTGGCACGAATAGTGAGGACTGGGTTGTGCTTGGTTTCCCACTTCTCAAGGTTCTTCATCTTCAAGGGAAGGGTGAATGTGTAGAAGTCGCCGCCTTCCATCTCACTAACTTCTGGTTCGTTGTTGATATTTAGGTTGGCCAATTGGTCAGGTGGGGCTAAGCTTGAAGTTGGCCCGGAACTAGCTGCAAGTTTGGATTCATTACTGCCGTCGATTTGTGAGATTGTTGAAGCCGTGCTTGGGTTCTTAGACATAGCGGGCCGTCCCTTGGCTAGACTTTGAGACGATGTACTTCTTGACAAGCCTAGCCTGGCGAGCCGTGATTTCTGTGTTGGCACGTACTCAGCTGGCTCCTGGAGATCATAAAGTCCAGTTTCTGGGTCCGCTTGAGGGCTTTTCTCGATTATCTCAGGTGCGGGGAAGGTAGTCGAAGCGATGAAGTCATTCCCAGAAATCTTGTCACGGTCGATGACGGTGAAAGAAAATGAATACGCCTGCTCGTGATTCTGTACTTGAAAAATCATCTTTTCGTTGAATACCGGGTTCAAGTTATGGCGAATAACCCTAGTTCGATATGTCTTCTTGCCAAGAGATGCCACAACGAATGGATCCATATCGAAGCTAGTTTTGGTGAAGTTCGACTCCGGGGGTAGGTCCGTGATGTTGCAGATTTCAAGGAAAATCAGTCCGACGACATCGCCACCGTTATTCGAGAATTCATAGGGATCTCTCCTCTTCTTGCGTTTAAGCCCCTTGATCCTTAGTCGCCTCTTCCTCTTTTCAATAGCCTCTGGCTTGGTTGGGTCGTCTTCCTCAGGAGTCTCGTCATCGTCCAGCATGTCATCGTCATCTTCCTCGTCATCTTGAGAATTGTCGGCAGTATTTCGACTAAATGGAGGAGGCGTCGTAGCTCCTGACTTGGACGCAGGGCCCAGCATGGGTGTCATACTAGGAGTAGGGTTTCGGGATGAGGCCTCGGGTAGAGATGAAGCGAGGATCCTCAGCTTCTCTAAAACCTGAGCGGGGGTCGCATCTTTGTTGGTCGAGTCGTATAAGTGAAATTGTAGAAGGACCTCCCCGGAGACGGCATTGGACTTTTTATCTTTTTTCTTGTTCTTCAACGGAAACCACCGTGGTTCTTGTTCCACTTCATCGTTGGCGAAGATCTCCTCCAATGCTAAGTCGAATTCGCCCAAGTAGTCCTTGCCAAATCGATCCTTGTCCCAGCAGTGGAAGTCGAGGAGCAAATTATCAACGCCGGTGATTGGAATGGTGCTGATGACGTTCCACTCTGGGTTGAGCGTCTTTGGTACACATTGTGTCGTGAATTTGGTATCGCCGCAGCTTATTTGAAGGTACTATTCGCCGACGAAACAGTGAGAATGGTTTTGCACAAGCCTAGGAATGGGTGTCGGGTGTCGGGTGTCACAGCGGCAAGATTACTCACGGGATCGGAGGTACCACCACGATCTTTGGCAGCCAAATCTCTCGCCTAATAGCCATGGACAGTTAGCTGTCTGCGCAATTCCCCAGTAGAACAAGCTGGTGGCCTGCTAGAGATGGCTTACACGCAGAACAACAATCCTTAGAACCAAGCCGGTATCCTTCATATTGGCGGCTTCTCCTTTTGCACGCATAGGGCTCGGGGCACGACTGCTTGTGGAGGTTTTGAGGCGGGCTGGTATGATGCGCACCATATTGACTACTGAGAACGCGGGGGGCTTTATATGAAAACTAGGATAATGATGTAAGGGATGAAGGAATGTAGGTGGGGGGACACAGCGATTCGGGTCACGGCCAGCGGCCGGGAGAGAGGCTAGGGAGAAATAGGTCGCTTTAGCGATTTGATCGATTGCGTTTCAGCCGTTTTAGCCTTAGGCGATGTTCTACAGAGAGATGGGTGATGTCAAGACGGGAAGGTAACGCCAATGGACCAGACCTGCGTCTGGAGTTAATCAAGTAAGCCAGGGGGGCTACACGGGTTCATAGAGCAAGCGTGGTACAATTGGCCCCAGGCAAGGAGAAAAAGAAACAACCAATAACCCCGGCCAGCCACTGTCGAGATGCTGTAGAGGATTGGGGTAGGAAGAGTGAGACGCAAGTAACCCTAATTGCCGCAGAAGGGGGTATTAGGGGGGGTTTAACAGACCGAGGCCGTGGGACGAAGACCGTACTTCGTAGATGTTGGTCTCGACACGTATTCAGGAGGTTTGTGTACAGACGGCAAAAGAACGAGCAATGCAATGCAATAGAACGAATAAGTTATGGATATGTATGTATGTAGGAAGAATCGAATAGGAAGATTCCCGTGGTCGAAGGGGGAAAACGACGAGCAAATGAAGGACGCGGTCAACTTGGAGCACGACAAGCAACAAACGGCAGATGCAACAAGGTTCGAGGAGGATGCAATCAAAAACCAATGCTACGTGAAATGGTGGTTGAGGGCGTATCTGGAGTCGTACTAGAGGTCGTCATATATAAACAAAGCTGAGCTGATAGGTAGATATGCAAAACACATCGCATGCAACGTCAGGGCCAATGCAAAATGATGGTGCTCATGATGGATGGAGAGGTCTACTTAGGGAGGTGATAATGCCAAGGAGGCGGTGCAGATGTGCAGATGTGCAGACAGGTAGGTGGTTTGTTTTACTGAGTGGGAAGATTTGGCGGGGGAGTTGGCATCGTCACAAGCTGGAGACGGGCTGGAGTCAGGCACGCTATTTCTACCTACCCACGTACCTACGTAGGCTCTGGTAGGCCCTACGAAGACGCTATGCCAGGTACTTGTTTAGGTAGGGTAAGGTACCTAAATAGACCAGACCAGAGACCCTGGCTAGCTGAATATATATCAGTAATGTATTAAGTAGGTACCGGCCAAGCCCCGCCGCAAGAGGCTTGTTCGAGGCTTGTTTGCATTGCTTCCAGGCTGGTTATCTACTGGCCAGTCTAAGAATCCAAGAATCAGACAATCTGTGGGTAAAAGCGGGTGGATGAGGTGAAACCTGCGTGAGGTCTGAACAGCGTGTCGGGGTCTCGCTCGGGGCAAGTCTGACAAGTGAAGAAGCGAGAAGCTTGCTTTGCCTGAATTCCATTTCATTTCATCACCATCGGGGCTTTGAGACTTGGTCAGTCCTGACTTGGCAATTGGGAGAGGACCCTAATACCGAAAGGGCATGAGTTTGGTGGGGTCAAGTTCTTCGTGCTGTCGTAATTCATGCGCTGCTATAATTAAGTAGGTACGTCACCTCATTCGAAGGTAGATACCTACATAGTAGCATCTTGAGGGCATTTCCATTTTGTAGGTATTGATAACCTCCGTACGTAAATGCAAGCATACCCATTTGTTACCATACCTAAATCTACTCGTTAGCCTAGGTAATGTCTGCAATTATCTTCTCTACCGACGGCTTGGATTAGTGGGACAGCATCTCGTATCGTGATCGTGACCGTACAAACACGCATGGTAGCGGAAGAGGTATCGTATTGATCCATGAGTTTCCTAAAAAGGAAGCACAAAGTATACCTAGGGAGTATGCAATATTGGGCATGTTAATCGATGTATTAATTGATGTAGGAACTCGACGATGCCGTTACATCCTCTTCTACCTATGCAGAGCTTCAGAATTCAAGGCCATGTACTATTATGGCACAGGAACGCGATCTACGGTCTACCCCCTCTTCTTGTCCTACCCAACTCGCCTACCACATCAAGCGAGCAGGACCACTTGTTTCAGTCTCCCCCGCAATGAAGTAAAAGCTGACTCTTTTCAGGCGGCATTCCAATCATTCCATGGCTTAGGATGTGGCTTTTGCTTCCTCCCGTTCCATGCAGAGCTGACACCCTTCATCCCAAGTTCGTGTTCCAAGAGCTGATCATAGGCGCATCGTACGAAGTAAGTATATCCCCAAATCCATAATACCGTGTCAGCTGGCCTTCGGGCATTGTTACCTACTGCCAAAGGTGTGCCGACTGCCTTTTGGTGTGTCTGATTCCACTTTACACCAGGGATAGGAATTGTATAAATCATCATAACTACCCTCTAGATTGGATAAACACGGCTATGTGTGCTGGTCATCGACCGCATTGCAATATGCCGCGCTCCTCTTCTCGCCGAATTGTAAACCCGAATCGCGCGCGCTAACTAGGAACCAAGCCGGGATATGTCTGGTGTACATATCTTCCGAGCTATCCGCCGAAGCCTTCTACTGCCCACTATCTAGTGGGATTAATTCGGCATTGAGATATAAAGGAAGTAGTCGCTTAATGAACAGCTCCTCTTTTAGTTGTTGTGGCCTATGGACTACTATTTACCTCTATCTGCCTATCTGGTAGTTGGATAACACCAATAGTGTAGATATACCACGCAACTCTGATGACACCCCTCCATCCCCTCGATATCAGCCCTGTAATTTGCATCCGAAATTTCCGGCGATGGGGCTCCCCGGCAAACCCGGCTCTCGCGGCTGCGTATAGATCGTCGCCAGGATGAAATGGGTACCTAACCTTGCCTGGGTGCTACATTCCCAATACATACAACAGCCTCATTCAGTAATGGTAAGTACTTGGTTTTAGGTATTCGCCAAGGCGGGGTTAGGCATTAGTTATAGAGAAAGGATTGAGGAGAAAGACATGAGGAGATATTACTTTTCTATTCGCTATCATTACTCTGGGTATCTAATTCACCCTACCATACTATCTATCCAGAATGCTTGATTATTTCCAAGATTTCTAGAAATGTCTTTCATACCTAGGGAACGGGTCCATCGTCTATCCAATGCCCGAGACATCCATCTATTGTCTATAATGCCCGCCACCACTGACGAAGCGGCTCAAAACCAGAACGCCAATTCTATGCAGTGATTAATTCGAAATGCAGCTATTCTTCGCGCACGCTTCAGGCCTGCGCAGGTGTAACGGTAGATGCAACAGCTGGTGCGGCGGATGGGGTATAACGCGGGATCTTGTTCTGGCTTGAGACGCGCCGCCAGAGGTTGGCGCGTGGGTTGAAGCGCGCTGGAAGACCTTTGCCAGCAGTCTTCTCCTCGTCTTCCTGGCGGATGCGCTCGATCTCGCGCTGGATGTCCGCGAATGTGTCGAAGGGTGTATAAGCGATGCTGTGCTCGATGCAGTACTCCTCGAGTCGCAGGCCACGGCGGGCGAATAGAACATCGGCTTCTCGTGCGGCGGGAAGATCCGACACGCCGTCGCCAATGAAAACGATGAGGGGAATGGTGCCGTTGTCGCATAACAACTCGGCCTGCTTACGTGCCTCTTGCACCGACAGTGCCTTGTCGTGGCCCAGCTCAGTGTCATGTCGCCAGATGGGCTTCCACTGTGATCCGTCTTCGGCGATCTCGGCGTCGTTGGCGACAATGTTGATGCGGGCGGACTCCTCTTCACCAAGGAAAGTGTCGAGAACCTTTCGAAGGACGGGCTTCAGACCGGCTGAGATGACGTTGAAAGGTATGTCGTTGCCGATGCAGTATTGGTGGAACTTTTGGAAGTCAGGGTCGATCTCGAGCGTCTTCTCCATGACCTTAAAGCCATCGTCGAACGGCACATGTAGAGAACCCCACATCTCTTCAGATACATCGCGGAATGAACGTTCGCCGGTCTTTATCTGTTCGTCGAGTTCCTCGCGTCGCTCAGCACCACATCCATGGCTGTCGAAGAGGACGTGGCCGGTGTCTTGCATAAAGATAGTGCCATCGAAATCGGAGAAGCAGATGACCTTTCTCTTCTTGGTCCCCGCCCCATTGACAGGGTTGATGGGTGTTGATGTGTTAATGGCAGACATGTCGACGACTGAAGGACGAGACAATATACACGTGGCTTGGAGGGAATCCAAAAAGGTATGTAAATTTCGCCTATCCTCTATGATCTATAGGGGAGAAAACTACGTGACAAATTTTGCAAGTACAGGTTGCGATGCGGACAAACTTATAGACGAGCCGTGGCAGGGGAAGCCCATGGAACTGTCGTTGAGACTAGTACGGGCACTAGGCAACGTGGCAGTGCTATGATAAAATCTTCAGCGTGCGATGACAAGGACTCGAACATCATTGTGCGTGAAAAACCATCGTCGATTTTCAAGGCAGAGTGCCACCGCACGCATATGCCATGGGTCATGCATGACTTGCCTAGCTCTCGGTTTATAAACGCACGCAGTATGGGTCCGGCAAAAGGACGATGGTGTGGAACTACGTCCCGCTGTTCCCATGATTACCACAGAAGCGGTAGCAGGTTAAGATCGTTGCTTGTGAACATCCTATTAACTAGGCGCTTGAACCCACGGTGCCATGTCTGTCGTGAAGCTTACTCACGACCAGGCATCCCAAGGCCCACTCACCAAGTGCCCATTCGAGAAATACCGGCCGACCCATGCTTATAGCTCGGCTCTTTAGACCAGCCTAGGTCATCGGATCTTCACTACTCAGGCCGTTGGAGATTTAGGGTGGCTGTTCGTATCAGAACACAGCACCCTACCCTAACCATACCTCGCTTACCTATCTACGCGGTTTCTTTCTAGACCATTTCCTTACCCAAAGGAATGATAACATAGATGGCGGATCTTCGAGATCGACAGGGCCACTTAAATCTTTAACATCAGATCAGTCCAGACGACATAGATTATAAACACCATTATCCCAACAATGAAGTCGCGGCATCATCCGCATACCAATTCTCCAAGCGCGCTCGCTACCTAAGCGACATGTACATGGTAAGAACTAAAGCACCATGACGAAGTTCACGATATCAGAACCGGCGGCGGGTAGGTTCCAAATAGTTCCATGCAGGAAAGAAAAAAGAAGAAAAAAAAAAGAGGAAGAGCGACTGTCGGCGCAAAAAAGGACCGAAAGAATAAATGACGTCACGAAACCGACCCCGCGGTACGATAGTCTTATCTCGGTCCTACTTAGTAATATCGTCAAAAACTCGGCCATGATGTAACCAAAATGTGACTCTTGCTCCTCACCTTACATCAGACATGCCATGTCATGTTTCCACAGTGTCGTAACTTAACCCATTAATATAATTTTTGGCCCGAGTCTTCATCCCCTCATGTCCACCTTTTGCATCTTTTCAGGGGCTACTTTCACGATGCTAACCGTGACGTTGAAGCCGATGATATCCTTTGTAGTCGCTGTGAGCTGACTCGGGATGTCTTTCTTAGGCTATCCGAAAGGAACCCTTGCATTAATCTTATCAGCAATGTTATCATGTCGTTTAGAATCTAAACGCTGCAAGGGATCGATCGATGTTTTTATAGCTCTGTAAGAAATGATATAAGCACTTACATCATTAGAATCACCATTCAATATGCTTCTAGCTATAGACCTAAGCTTTTCCCAATTGTGTATCTACTAGTAGGGCGCATTTACTCTGATGTCGAGCTATTAACCGAATCCAGATCCTGTCCTGCACGCCATGGCATTCCTGCTCGTCGTTGTCGCTGCCATATCGTTTAAACACATGATATCCTACGCCAGGCGCAATATCGGATATCATTACAAAAACGTTGTTGAACTTTGAAAATTTTCAAGGAAAAGAATAACTCTTCGCCGACCACCGTGGCAATAGAATGCTAGGTAACTAACTATATTAAAAGTCGTAAAGCTCCATGACGGCGCGGCAGCCCTGGAGCGGCGTTATAACCAGTGAGAAACAATTTGCAGATGCGGAGTAAAGTACCAAGATGTGTCAGAGGCTAAATCATTTGTACATGGCGTCGTTTTCGTTGTCGTCGTCGCCTTGCCTATGCGAAGGAGACGGGAAAGGGGGTCGCGGGAACAAGAACTGAATTGAAAAAATACGTAGTAGATGAGAAATACATGTGAGACTCGGCACAGGGGATGATGATTTTGAAATCTAATGTCTATAGCCGCCAAGTCAACTTCATGTGTTCATGTTGTTCATGACCTGATTGTTCCATGGTGAGGAACTGATGGCCACCATAAATTGTTTGTTATCTGGCTGAACCCAGCGTGTCAGCAGGATGCTAACAGGTATAGTTCATCACTTGCATATTAACAATTTCGACCCCTAAACCACCCTGCTTGCATACACCTTGACTCCGCTCTGTATCTTTTTAATACATCTCAGCATGAACTACACCAGTACAGAAGGGCTAGAGTTTGGAAATAGCAACACTCGCTTAGACCCAGCTGTATCAGCTGGTACGCCCTTCTTATACACACCAGAGCTGGGTGCAACGAACTATTAATGAAGACGATAGTACTACCTAGCGACTGTCAAGTAATTTCAACGAAAGAGCACGGCGTCAGCTTCTTTACGGAAACAGGGCGCAGAGATATCCGATCTACAGATGGCGAGCTCATATCCTTCTTCATAAAAGTCGTGTCAGGCAACGTAGGCCGCAACATGACGCGAAGCGAATTCGAGTCTATGAGCTCATTACACGATGTTCAGCCTAGCTTTACTCTAAAACCTATTGCGTGTGGCACGTACAAGACATCACCTAATCTCATTTCTTCGTCTGTGAGTTCCGCGCGATGAGTGAGACGATGCCTAATCTAAGTAGCTTCTGTGCTCGTCTGGTGGCTTTACATCAGAACAGAAAGTCGCCTAATGGGAAATTCGGATATCGCAGCCCAACATACAGCGGAAATCTTCCTCAGATGATCGAGTGGGAACCCAGTTGGGAGCGGTTCTTCGCTAGAAATCTCCGATTTGCTTCTGATTTAGAGCTTAAAGCAAGGGGTCCGGATCCTAAATTTGAGATCTTATTGCCGGTTTTGTTTGATAGGGTGATACCATGTTTTCTTAGGCCGTTGTAGAGCGACGGTCGATCGGTTAAACCGAGTCTCGTGCATGGCGATATTTGGCACGCTAACTCGGGAGTCGATGACGGGCTGGGGAACCGCTGATATTTGATGCGTGTTATTTTTACGCCCATGATGAGTGTATACTTGAGCCGCACGTCTTTCAAGTCCTAGTCACCGAGATACTAATGCTACTTCTCATAGACGAACTCGGTCAGTGGCGCCCGGCGTGCTATCGTTCCGGGGTAGAGAATCTAAATGCATATCACAAGCACGTTCCGAAATCGGCGCCTGAGGAAGACTACGATGGTCGACTTGACTTGTACAAGCTGCATGTTCTCGAAAATTTAGTATGAAGAGGATAGGTCTAATTGTGATAGGAGATTCAATACGCATGTCTCTGCTCTGTTCCCTGAAAACCCGGCGTTGAGAGAGCAGCAAGATACTCCCGGTCCCTTGTCAGTCTAATTAAGTTGTTAGTTACTAACAGCTTCAGGATACTTAGAGATATCAGAGATTTGGTCCGAAGATACGGGAATCTGAAGCTAGGTGACGCGGGGTATGATTAACGAGGGCGGTAAACAACATGTGATGTCACGTACTGTGACAAAGTACTAGTTAGTCTAACCCATTACATCGTCTCGCCTCTTTGGCTGAGAATTTGGAAATCAGGTTTTGGAAAAGGTAAGGTTTGTTATGCTCAAAGGCCGAATGTGTTTGAACACAAATGGCAAACTATGGATATGGCTATGTAAGGGGTCGTAGGCTCCCTAAACAACTTCCCATGAGACTTAATGGACGCCTGTAATTTGACAAGAGAGTGTTTGCTATGCATTGTGTGCAACTAGTACATGCCTTGAGACAGACTTCCAGTTTCACAATGCACTATCTTAACATCACTTGATCACAGGCTTGATTCAGGAGAAGACCGTAAACTCGATAGGAATATAGAATAGTACTGCAAATGTTTGAAAACATATAATAAACTATGCGGCTAGAGTTCTCATGCCTGGCGGGGCAGGCACCTGCGATCGAATGATCCAAGTTATTCAATTACCCCTATTACTCACCAGACTCTGTACAGCATGTCATTGAGATGTAGGCGAGCGGCTGGCTTGCCGGTACGGCCCACGTTGCTGCGCCGCGAATGCCGCTCCAAGGTTACCTAACTGGTGTTTGCTTCCACCTCCCTTGATTCCGTTTACCCCTGATTGCCTCCCTTCTCTGCAGTATACCTGTAAGAAGTGGAAGGCGGTGATACTTGACAATCCACATGCTGGAATGTATAAAGGACCCTTCATCCTGCCGTATGGCGTACTGTAATTTATCCTTCTACTGAACAATCTAACGGGATTGCATGTACTCCTCTTGACAATACCAGCACCCCAAGATCACTCACCTCAAGTATCTCTTCGAGCTCACGACCACAATAGTGTTTTTACCTAGTCGCCGGGTATTTGATTATTTCCATGAACAATGGCGTCTCAAGCTCGTATTGAGCCACACGTCTCAGTGATCCCTGCTCCGGAGCTTGGTCCTGATGTCTACACCAACGCCCAGTAAGTGGAAAAGGCAACAACGGAGTTAGATCCTAACATGATGCTTAGCCCTTTGACCCTTCACCAAGACTCCCGACCTGTGTTTGGCGGGTTTCTCGTGTCGCAAGCCTTGTCAGCAGCTTGTGCTACGGTGCCGGATACTTTCCTCCCGTACTCATCCCAGTCGTCATTCTTGGCACCTTCCAATGGGAATGAGAAGATCGTCTACCGTGTTGAAAGGACTTGGGAGGGAAGAAACCGCCTAAACCGGGTTGTCAATGCTTCCCAAAGTGCTACCTGCGTCTATACGGCGATTGTATCATTCCAGAGCGCCACTGATTCGATTGGCAACACCTTAGAGTATGGGGTGCCCAAACCAGTGCTGGGCCAACTCCCGGAAGACATCGATCCAAACGCAATACAAGCATTACAACCCCAGTCGTCAATCTCGGCACTTTCCAATGGGAATGAGAAGTTCACCTACCGTGTTAAAAAAACTTTGGCGGATGGGAGTTGGGTGACCAATGTTATCCATCCTTCCCCAAATGCTCGCGTCTATACGGACATTTCAGGAATCGTCACTAGTTCAATTAGCAACACCATCGATTTTAGGGTGCCCAGACCAGCGCTAGACCGACCCCCGGAAGACATCGGTCCAGACGCCATAGAAGCATTACAATCGTCGATGCTCAATGGTTCGTCGCCCATCATGCAGCAAAGCGCTGAGGATCGACCGTTGGAGTGGAAACTCCATTCCGTCGAGATGGGCGAGAGGCCCACCGAGTTCCGGGTGCGGGGATACTTCCGGTCCTCACCCCTTTCAACCGAGAGCTGCACCACACACCTGGCCGCATTCGCGTATGCGTCGGACGAGTTCTTCTTCGGGCCCGTTTTTGCCGCGAATCCGATGGCAGTGGGAAAAGGAGCCAGAAACGTGACCATATGCACAAGCCTTACTCATAATGTCTCGTTTCATGACTCGGACGCCAAAATCGATGAATGGGCCATCGTTGAGCGGGAGACCACGTGGGGCTCTGCGGGACGCGTGATGGTCCAGCAGAAGATGTGGGATATGGACGGCAAGATGATCTTGTCAAGCTCACAGGAGGCTCTTATTCGTCTAAAAGAGGCCGAAACAGAAGTAAAAGAGGTTAAGACAGAAGTGAAAAAGTTTGGTACAGAAGTGAAAGAGGCTGAAGCAGAACTGAAAGAGGCTGAAGCAGAAGTGAAAGAGGTTGCGGCAGAAGTGAAAGAGGTTGAGGCAGAAGTGAAAGAGGCTGAGGCAAAAGCCAAGACGTATGAAGATTTATCAGTAGCATTACGTAACAAGGCCACGTGATTGGCCGGGCCCCTATCCCACCATGTATTTAGGCCGTACCGGTAGTTCTCTAGGCAGCTCGACAGCCCGAAGGGCTTTAGTAGTACCTAGGTAGTTACCTAGTCAGTTCAAGTTACTAGATTGGTCCTATTCAGATCCTATTTTGCGTAGATCGTGACCTCCACGCCCTACGCGCCCTCAAATTGAGTGTCTCTAGCCCATTACAAGTAGGTTTGTGCCAAGGGATGCGCGACAAGATCACCCAAGAGCACCATGGGGGGTTTTGCATGCAATGTATGAAATATTCTACGTTATCTACTCACCTAGATTATTGGAAATTTGGAATATATCTAGATTTCATAGTTGGTGAAGCTTTACAGAACATTCAAGTTACTGACAGGGCTGGACTTAGTGTTCGGTAATCAGCTATTCTGATACGAATCTTCAACTGCGCACAATACTTCGTAGTCTTTCCTAATCGAACAGTGTCTTACTTAAAGGCTTCTTTCCCTGAAGATCAAGTTGGGCCCGTCGTGGCTCGAACGAAAATTATCATATAGTTGAAACTCCTTTGGCTGATCTCTTCCCGCCTCTTTTCTAGCAGCTCCTATGCTTACATGGCCTGTCTTCCCCGGGGCGAGTGTGAAGTCGAAGCGCCATAATGTTTTTGCTGTTACTAGGCTTGCTTCTAAATATGCCATGGCCTTACCGGCACATCCTTGCCCTCCAATAGAAAATGGACTGAATGCCGAACTCATGCAACTAAGCGTGGCTCCATCTTCAGTGAGCCAGCGGTCTGGGCGAAATGTGAATGGATCGTCAAAGTATTCCTCGTCATGATGAAGAGCATAAATACTGACACCGACTTGCGTACCGGGAGGTATCACATGACCATCTACGATGAATGGGCCTTTACCCGATTCATTTGAGTACAGCTCTCTCCAGAGCGTTCCACTTACAGGGGGTGACATGCGCAGCGCTTCATCAATACATACTCGTAGATACCTGCAGCCTGCCAACTGCGGGCCAGTTCGAATACTAGCCTCGCTTTCAAACGTTTGGCGTATTTCTGTCGCTAGCTTCTCATACACGTCGCGATACTGTGCTAGGTAGAAGAAAAGTGCACTCATTGCAGTTGTGGTGGTGTGGTGGTGTCCCCGCCTGGAATTCTAGGTCAGCCTATCCTTGCGTCTCGAAGCAGCGATATGTTAATAAGAAGTGTCAAGGGAAAAAAGAAAGTGATTACACAACCAGAAAGATGAACTTTAGAATGCTGATTACCTGCAGGGAAGAAAAACAAGGCCTCCGACCATAACTCGCTAGTTGTGACGCCAACTGCAGGATCATCCAGATGGTCGACCACGAAAGAATATAGATCATTCCTGGCGTGTTTTTCTTGAGAAAGGCGATGAGTAATCATCTGTTGCAGGAGGTTCTTATACTTCATACGCGCTTTGTAGCCGACAATAGTCAAGAGGTTCTGGAGTCGTAGATGTTTTAGCATAGGGAACTGCATAAAGCTGTTGTTCTGGTATGAGCCAACAGCAAGCCCCTGGAGGACGAATCGATTTGTTGAATCTGTCTGCATGTTCAAATCGTAACCGAAAGCAAGATGGCCTACAATATCAGCGCCAAGCCGTTTCGTGAAATCTGTTATATTGACAGGCTTCGATTCTTCCGATGCGAGCAGCACCTGTTTGATGAAGATGTCAATCTGCTCCAGCATGGTTGGCTCGAAAGACCGCATTGCCTTGTCAGTGATAGCTTGTCCAATAAGTTTGCGCTTCTGTCTATGTTTCTGTTTGTCAAGAGCATTGAAAATGCTCGGCTTGCCCGATGTTATTGTAAGTTCATAGACATGTGACTTGGTAACTCTCTCGTTGTTGTAAATATCTTGAGATGTAAGCATGTTTCATCTTACGCATAGAAGGTACCAAATTACCTTGTAGGGCTTTTGGTGAACTAAATACTAGTTTGTTGGGGCCGTGTCTTATAACAGGACCTGCACGTAGGCTCATCAGCACAGAGCGACGTGACAAGCAATGCAGGTACTCACCGTATTTCTTGAGATCAAAGTAGGTCACCAAGTGAAGTCTCATTCCCAATGCGTAGAAGCCGGCGTATAAGTCTGATATCTTCGCCAGGAGAGGACCTGGATAAGTGCGGAGGGGGTGAAGGAAAAGGCGGTACCCTAATAAAAGGGTGAACTGTTGACCTAAAGTCAACGACAAGCACTTATTCGCCAGAAGTATTTTACTTACATATGGGATAAGAATTAGAACAGCATACTTCACCAAAGTGAAGACAAAGTCGGAGACCAACATTGTGACCAAATACAAGACTCAACCTCACACCGAATAAGGCTCACATGCAAAGTAATCGATTTTCAGAACGACTGCCACTGCTGAGATTCTGAACTCAATACGCGCCAGGATGTGGCGCTTCCAAAATGAGATTCCTCAGGAAGAACAGCGCTGGGAGATAAGGGAAAATGGATCACGAAAATTCGGACCAAGCTCAGTGCTGGAGCATTCAATTCACCTATTTATGCGATAATGTTGGGCAGTCACACCGCATATCCCTTTGGACGAAAGCCAATCAAATTTCGTTTCAATACGTAAGCCCTCGAATTACTGATGATGAACTGCACGTGTTTTTAATGTTGGTAAGGCTGCATTCTTGGCCTGGCTGTGCAGATGGCCCGCAGAGAAACAACTGGTACGCTATCATGCAAATGGCACAGCCCTTTGATTTGTGATTCAGAAACTACTTGCTAAAAGTATCGTACAAGGATAGTATGCCGTTTGGGGCAAGATATTCGACTACTTTAACTAGTTTACAACAGGAACGCAGCCATAAAGCATTCTAATCTAAACGCTCCTAGAAGAGCATTAGGCCTCCTCAGTTCCTCATCTCTTACTCTAACTGTAGTTGCTCAACTGCTCAATCTTCTCTTGTAGTGTGGCGGCCTGTTTCAAGATCTGTCAATTTTGCTTTGTCCGTGTCTCGTACATTCCTGCCCATTGCGATCTTATTTGTATTCAGCAGCCTGCTACGCCTCTACCTGCAATAATTGAGCTCAGTGTTGAAAAGGCTCAAGTGGTACTATTAATATTAACTCATACATAGTTGTCACGATCCCTGGGTGACGAAAAGATACTCTCTGCATATAGCTTTAGCCTCTGCACGAAGGCTCAGCAATAACCATCATCATACAGTAGTTGCAGTTCTCATAAAAAGAAGCGATCCCCGGAAGGGAGGCTCAATTCTTATGAAGGTAATCAAGGATCGCATGCTGCGACATCAGTCCTGCATGCCACATTCCAAAGATGACAGGTTTCACACGATGAAGCCAGAAATATTGCAGAGGTGTCATCGGTGGGTGCCACTCATCTAGCAAGCGCGTCCTCGTGTATAAAAGGCCTTCAATATCTGGGTTCCTGCCCATTCGAACCATCCTGTCCCCAGATTTAATATACTCAGGGCCTTGGAGGTGGCTATGATCGCCGTTGCCGAGCAATATACAGGCAAGCTGCCTATCTATGTCTCCGGGGATGGCAGCCCTAATCTCTCCGCAGCAACGATCCCAATCACGAGATTCAACAGGAACAGGGCGAATAGAAATCAGCGGGTAAGTGGGCGTCTCGGGCGTCCAGAATGCAGGGAAAACCAGGTGAGGGCGTAACTTCTCGTCGAAACTAATGAAGCCAGCGCTGAAAGTGACCCGATCCCCCATTTCATCCCTCTTTACATCGGTACCATGAAAAAGAGAATCCCATACAACTTCTCGGATTTGATTCCGGATTTCCTCAGGAAGGGGCCAGGTAAAGGCGTTCATAACCGGCAGCGTGCTTGTTTGAGAAAAGGGTATAAACGGCCTAGGCGGCCCTGGAGGGTAATGATTCATGTTTGAGAAGATGGTAAGCCCGGCTTCATAACTGTGCAAGTAGCGGTATTTTGTTTTCTAACAACAGTGATTATGATTCTGATTTTAAGACAACAAGTTGAGTTCATATATGTCGAGAGTTAGTTTGTAGAAGAGAGATCGTGAAATTGGGAGAAAAAGATGGTAGACTTTAAATAAATATGTGTAATCCCTTTCTTCCCGTTGACAGACCCGACCATACGACCATAAGTGGCTTAAAATAAGAGCTATACGGTATTACAGAGACGACCACGTCGTGTCCCGAGGTACAACTAAACAACACGCTCTTGGTCACGTTATCCTCCCATGTGACAACAAGCGTCCCTTCAACACGTAATCCTCTTCAAAATGCTTCAAAAACATCTATACCTAAATTCATATCAATATGGCTGCAGACAAATAAGCAAAAACCCTGCCTCACGACCACCCCCCCTGCCTATTAATTACCTAACTTTTAAAGCGATTTTCTTAACGAATACGTTATTTGCGATGCTTTTTTGGTGTTTTTAATTAGATTTATTATTTTTAACCTTAATAACCTTTTTTATATTAGTATCTTTACGTTTTGGAACGTATTAATTAATAACTTTATTAATATATATTAAACAATTATATAATTTACATTTTGCTTTTTATATATATATTATATGGATAAAGTTATTATTAGGACCTATTTTAATTAATTTTTATTTAACTTTAATGTTTTTTTAAAGTTTAACTTTTAATACTTTAATCTTTACTTATAAAAATATAATAATTTTAGCCTTTTTATTAAAAGCTTTATTAACTTTTATAAAAAATAGCCTTTATAATAGATTATTAAATAAAGGGAAGGTTTAAGTTAATTTCTATATATTAGCTTATAATTATTAACTTTTAAAGGGTATTTTAATTATAATTTTTAAAGCTATTTTTAATAAATTAGGTATAATAAATTATTTTTTAACTATAAATATTAATATTATTACTTTTATAATACTTTTCTTTTTAAATATTATATATTTTAAAAATAGCAGTACCTATTAATTTTTTAAATATATTTTAACTATTTTTTATACTTTTTTTAATATATTTAACTTTATTATATTTTTATATATAGCTTTATATATTATTAATATATTTTTTTAAAGGCTTTATATTTAAATAGCTTATAGGTATTTTTTATAGCTTATTTTTTAGCTTTTTCTTTAATAAATTAAAAATTTTAACATTTAATAGTTATAATATATAATTATAATAAGGTTTATAAAATAAAAGTTAAATTTTATTTAAAAAGTAAGTTTAAAGAAATTTATTATTAATATTTAATTTATAGTTATTATATATTAATATATATTATATATTATTATAATAGCTTTAAATATAAGGTATAAAAAGGTTTTATAATTATTTTAATGCTATAAAATTATTAGTTTACTTATTAAATAAATATTTAAAGCGTTAATTTTTAAATAAATTTTAATTTTAATTTAAAAATTATTAACTTTATATTTATATATCTTTTTAAATTATTAATAATAGTAAAGTATTATTAATAATATTAATAGCTTTAAAAATAATAATTTATTTACCTTTTTTAATAACTTTTTTAAAAGTTTAATATAAAATAAAGTTAATAATTATTTAATAATTATTATTAATGCTTTAATTTATATTTATTTTATTAATATTATAAAAGTAGTTAAAAAAATATTTATAATTTTTAAAGTTTTAAAATAATTAAAAAAAAGGTTAATATTAATTATTATTATATTATTAATATATATATAATTAATAAATTATAATTTAACTAATTTAACCTTATTATTTTAAGTTAAAAAATATATATATTATTTTTTTAAAGCTTTTATTATTATTTAAAGCAGTTAATATATATTTAATTATAAGTTTAAACTTAAAAAGTAAAGGTATAAAGCTTAGCCTAACCTGCTTTATTGTTTAATTTATTAATTAATATTTATAATAGGTTAATAAAGCTTAAAGGTTAATATAGGTTTATTTTTTAATAGGAATACTTTAAAGCTAACGATATAGGTACGATTTATTAATGCTTTAAATATATATTGCTGCTTAAATTAGGGTTTTAAGTTAAACTATATAAATAGTAGCCATAGTATAATAATTTTTAAAATTAAAAGATATAATGATAAAGAGGAGTTAATTTTAAATAAAATAAGGGTAAAAAGTTATTGTAAGACTTAAACGCGGTTATGTTATTAAATAGTGTTTAATTAGGTAGTTGGGAGTTAAAGCGCGTTTTAGGGTGCTTAGGGCCCTGGTCGTGATGGGGGGTGGTCGTGAGGCAGGGTTTTTGCTTAGACTCGCTGGATTTAGCCCTAGCCTAGGCACGAAGGCTTCAAACCTTCGTCCAACAATGATTGTAATGCAGTAACCTCATAGCTACAGTTATCATGTAATAACAGCACAAAAGGGATGATTGTAGCATTTTTCCTGGACTTTATCTGTCTGCAACACATATGAGTATTACGTAAAGATGTTGCAAAATTCACCTTTCCGAACATATGAGATGTTAAAGATACCCTTTGAATTGACCAAAAATTACTGTTGTCAAATCGCAGAAACTCATTGTGTCACCCAACAGAGATACTGTGCACTTGATCGCCTGCAACTGCTCTGTACGCGTGCGTAGCATATAATTAGAGCTGCATAGGCCACTCATGAACTCATGGACAGCTTATACTTCCTAGACATGAATGCAGTGATTCCCAACCCGTGATAAGAGGTTTTAGCGTGTGATGTATGTAGGAGCTCCTTATTTCCTGAAGCCTCTACAGGACTATCTATACTCAGCAAAGACAATGAATTGTATAAAAAAAGAGCACCAGATTCCAAAATAGTTTGATGGCACTTTTCTCAGATAAGCTACCTAGTAGAAATGTAAGAGGTCTCTAGGCAGTGATACCCAGGGGTGAAATCTCTAGTGCCGAAAGTGTCCGTACTTCCCACCATAACAAGGCTCTTTCATGCCGTATCATTAGCCTTTGTAGATGATACCATTATCCCTCACTCAACCATTTCGTGTTGAGAATATAGTGTCTCCCTGCACCATATCATCCAATGCTCCATACTTCTCTCACTATCACTTTTGACGACTCTTGCCATGGCGATTGCTATTGCTCTGAGCACTAGGCATCATCATCTTCGACGACTTCCCTCAAAGATACGCCTTTTCAATTGCGACGAATCGATTTGTTGAATCTGTCTGCAGATCATCTTTTCGTGTTGTGTTTCGTTGCTGATATGGACTAGGAAGTTCGATGAGTGCTTTCAGGTGAGCTTCTTCTACGTCTTAAAGTTGTTTATGATTCCCTGTATTGACTTGCAAATGAGTATACCACCCGCCCTATTGCATGTATCATAGGTCGTTGAGATCCTAGAGTGTTCTAAGCGAATCTCTCACTCTTGCCAGGAAGCTTTCACGACCATACCAGCCGCTTAGGCGTTTCCACCTGGGATCCGCCCCGACGCGCTTGCTCCAGTTCGCGTGTTTCTTCGCTCGGACTCTGAGGGACATTGCGATCAAGCTATTGCCCGAGAGCTCCCTTCGCAGAACACCGGGGATGGTCAGCACTTCTGCAATCAACGGTCAGCACGAAATTGGTCATCAGCGAACCTTTGCTGAAATAGTGAGAAGCGCGCCGGGGGGGGAAGGGCAATTACCCCAGATGGTGCGCGTAATTACACGCCATAGAGTCAATGGCAGTGGCGTATCAATCCCTAAGCAAATAGGGTAATACCAAATCAGCAGATGAACAGTCGCTCATACCATGTGGTTATTTTCTCACATAAGATGTCTGTCGCTATACTGTAGGATACGTCCTTCAACTGAACCCAATGACTGTGCCTTAACTGAGCATTAATTCCTCCTTACGGGGGCTACAACAACGTACTTGCCGTCGAGAATCCACTCGTCGTTTGACTCGACGAGAGCCTGCACGGTACGTCGGGCGTCGTCTTCCGACAGGGCGCCACCGGCTCTGGACTGGTGGAAAAGAGAGTCCAGTTCTAATACTGGTATCGAAAGCTGCTTGCCTAGTCGCCGTGCGAAAGTACTCTAGCGTCAGGATGCAGCATTAGACGAGTAGATACAGTGACATGATATTCTATACGGGGTATAAGTGGACGTACCTTTCCCGCTCCGGTGACTCCAATAACTTGGATTCTTCGTCCAGAAAGCTGCGGCTCCGAAGTCATCCTTGGCATAGTTATAAAGAAGCGAGAGGGATGTAATGCGATGTAGCTAACGGTACACTAGAGGCCGAAATTGAGTATTTGCTTTCTGTTTTTGTTGTTGTGTTCAAAATTCTTTTTCCGCACGGACCATGCCGTACAGCGTTGGTTCGAGCTGCAGATTGCCAACGACGTGGTAGTACAGGGTATTGGTTCGAGGTGTTTCCAACTTGTAATAATGAATAATTGGATCGCGGACGGAAGAGCTTATCAAGCGTTGTAGCAGGTATTAACAGAGTAACCTCTACATAGCAAAATCTGAAAATCATATGCACTTATAAAGGGCTTTGTTAGCTAATCGAGTTAACTGTTCCGGGCTATATACGGGGCTTATGCAGATTACAGATCAAGCGATCGTTTAAAGAGTATGAGTAAAAACCGATGCACCGGGTATTCAAATACCTAGTAGTACTGCTATATATGCCAACAAAGAGATATTAAAAGTCTTTAGAGCTTTAATTTCTTTCCTTTTCTTTAAAGAGAGATTTTTGGGCAATTTATATCTATTTAAGTTTTATATAATTTATAACTCCCTTGCCCGTTGGGCACTCATGCTTTATCTGTTGGTATCTTTTTGCAGCTAACGGAATGACCTTATCCAATCGCTTATAGCCTCACTCTTCGCTAGGGGTGGCATCGGTTAAGTTCGGCTTCTGAAGTCCTAGTAGACCTGTCCGTGTGACATCTTGGCCATGGCAATTGCTATTGCTCTGAGCACTAGGCATCATCATCTTCGACGACTTCCCTCAAAGATACGTCTTTCCAATTGCGTCTGAATAGCGGAGATAGTTATGAGGACGAAGCAGGAGCTTTCTCTTTGCCTTTGTGTCGCGACGTCGGATAATTTTCCGTCCATTCGTCCGGGATTTCAATCCTTCCATACGCATGTTGCTTCATCTTTTCATTCAATCTGGAAATCTCTTTAAGGTCGTCCCGATTTTCTGAATTTCCCTCAAAGCCCAGTGGAATAGGGTCGTTGGGGCTTTCGCTCGCAAAGAGATATCGGAGTTCGAGCCCCTCTATCGTGGGCGGGTAGATCCTATGGCATCTGCGAGGAGAGGGGCCAACGATCTCCAAACCGACGTCGCTCATGGAGAGGGGAGCAAAAACATTCGTCTTCAATTTTCTGGCAATATCGTCCCATTTAGAAAGGTATGGATCGTTAGTCGCGAAGTTTAGTATGATATGGTGTGCTAGGAAGAGGAATTTGTACGCTGAGCCATCACGTCGTGGCTTGAGTGCCTCCAACATCCAGGATTTTTCATTAACTTCAAAGTATCTGGATGTCAGTTGTAAATTATAGCCAGGTTGGCTGATTATCATCGTGTGGCCTGTGATCTTCGTTTGGATGTTGTCATGCAGAAATTTGTTTAGAATACCATGAAAATGAGAAGGAATATTCTGCTTTGTACCATCGAACGGGTCGTTATCGCAAAAAGGCTTTATCGGGGGCATAATATCGACATCATCTACTTCATATACTTCATCAGGTATTGGCAGAGACATGATGAAATCTTTCTGGAGCGAGCGGAAGTGTGAGTAGAAGTCAATGTGATATCGAAGGAGAATTCCGAAGGCGAGGGCTAGAGATTCGACGAACAAAGAGCATCAAAGATATATATTTAAGAGATCAAAATCCGCTCCCTTTCTTGAAGCCCTGTGAGCTTCATACGGCAGTGAAAGTCTGGCTGAAAAATCGCCTCCCTCAGGAAACCTAGCAAGGAGTAAAGGAATAGGTGGCAACAAATGAGTTTCCAGCGGTCTACATGCATTGGGAAGTATACTGGGATTATCCAAGCAAGAGGTTATCTTATTTCTTTTCAGCTACCCGAACAGCCAACCACGAGGTGTTTGATCATACATTCTTTCGCCCTTCACGTCAACCTTACTTATTGCATGCCTTGAGGTGACAAACAACATAATGACCATTGGCTGCGAACAGTGTTCAGCCTGTTATTATGAGAAGGCTGTTTTATATATATCTTGCGTAGTTTCAGGAGAGGATACGCTAGCTAATGACTTCTACTGTTGCGCAAAGACCCCCCAACCTTCTTGCGGGCAAAGTTGAAGTTATATACAGGAAGAGCTTCTTTTTTACCTTACAGCCTTGTAGCCTTGTGACACGTAGTCACATCTAACCTGCTCGCAAGAAGATGTGCGCACCAATGCCAGCTGGTGATAGCTGAAGAGGCAAGGAGGTGGAGGCAGTTACCTACATAAAAGGGAGGGCGATACATGGATGTCCTGTTACGAGGGCTTTAGGGCATAATGTTATGTTATGTGGACTGTTCGTCAAGGTTGTTCATCCCTGGGTAATGAAGGACAAACACAACTAATTTCGTAGTTAATATGATAAGAAGTGAAACCTATATATTCGTATTTCCTGCCAAGACATCCGAGAAATGTCAAGTTGCCTCTTTCTACTTGATCTATACCAAAGCACGCATGAAAGTAGGAGCCGAATTCTCAGATGAGAAAAGGCTTTGAAACTAGGATGGTTGATATGATTTCTACGAAATGTATTACCAATCATATATGTAATGAAAGGGGATATACTTAATTCGATACGTGAGAGACCCTAACACATTGTAATACACTCTGGCAGAATAGCTCACCGACATTTATACTCTTCAATAATATACTCATGTTTCGTTTAGTTTCTGAAGACTTTTTCATACTAATTGAATCCTGAATATATCTTAGCCAGGCCTTCATGATGCCTTGATTCCAACACTATTACTAGTGTCTGTGAGCTAACATTGAAGACCCCGGACCAGGACAAGGACTAAATCTATCCTATACTAATTAGCTAGTCAAAAGAGATGATTTCAAGTCTCTTGCATTACCATTGAACAATTATAATATATATATATAAATGAAGTCAGAGGTAAAGTCTGGCAGTCAGTCTGGTGTACTGTCGCGAAGATCGTAGAACGGAGAACGGCACGCAAAATGCCTGAAACTGGTCTCAGCGGCTACAACAGTGGAGCCAGCGCTACAATGCCCTGACAGGCGCGACCACACCACCACTAAACACGCCCGAACCCGCGCGACCGTTAGCGTGCTTAGCGCCCGCCGTCTCAGCGATGGAGCCTCGCCAGCCAGTCATCCGCGTCGCACGTCCGGCGTCTACAACACCGCCCCACATCCCTGGGCGGCTTTCCATTGCTTGGCTGTGAGAGCCTCATTTCACGGCGCCCTTGAACCCTTTCATCCACGCTCCTTTGGTCACGGTCGGCGCGGAACAAGACAAGGCATAGCTGTCGCTGGTCTTTGTCGCTTCTTTGGACAGCGGTATTACAGAGCATACCCGGCTTGTGTAATGAGCCCTTGTCTAGCCAGAGATTGGGCGCTTGTCTGACCTAATTTTGGCCCTGACCTTGGTTGACCTGGACCACATTCGACCACACCCAATCGTTTCGCTCATTGTCTTCGTGGTTCAAATATCAATGAAACAGCCCGTAGACAGTTCCATCTTCTATCATCATCTCATTCAGTCTTTCTCATTCTCTCTTTAGACCTTCTCTTGATTCCGTTTCTATCGTAGAATTCAAACCATCAGTTCAGCTTCTTCGACACTGGTTGTCACCGTTGATTCAATAGACTTGAACTTCGCTCACTTATACATTGAGTAATCGACCGATACACATTCATTTCACTTCTTCGCGTCTTTCTTTCGTTTGATAAGATCTCCATCGTTCATCATCTAATCGCCAACATACCCATCGCACAACATCAATCATGCCTATCAAGTCATTAGCCACCAAGTTCGGCAAGGGCGCCATAACAAAGCCCATCTACATCTACGAGACATGGATGCGTCTCGTCGGCCGCGGTCTCCAGCTGATCTTCGCCCTCATCGTCGTAGGCCTGTACGGCTCGCGCGTGAGCTCCGACCACAGCCACGACCGCTCGCAAGCCGTGCAATGGGTCTACGCGCTATTCGTGTCCTCCCTCAGCGCCGTCACGGCCGTCGCCTTCGCCGTTCCGCAGCCCTTCTTCAAGACGGCGCGTCTATTCGCATGGGACTTCACCTTATTCATCCTGTGGATCGCCGCCTTCGGGACCTTCGCCGTCATCTTCCTGCGCATGCCCGACGACGACGAGCACAAGTGGTACGAGAACACGCGCGTGAGCGTCATGCGCGCCGCCGTCTGGATCGACCTGATCAATGCTCTGTTCTGGCTCGCGACGGGCGGCTACGGGTGCTTCCGGACCTTCGTCTCGCGGAAAGTCGACGAGAAGATCGACCATAAGCTCGAGCAGATCGAGAACAAGGTCGGGGATAAGCTCGAGGAGTCCGGCATGGGCGCTAAGCTGGGCAGTGCGTCCAAGGTCGTCTCCGTCGCCAGCAAGGTTGCGCCTATCGTCGCGCCCAAGCACGCTGCGAAGTTGGATAGGTTGAATAAGTTTACCGGCCCGAATGCCGTGTAGACAATTACTTCTGCTCTGAGTTATGAACACAAAGAGTAGGGACAGCAGGGGACGAGAGAGAGGAGGGTAATAATGGGCGGATTTAATCACTTTTTCTTGATTTAAAGGTTCTCTTCTTCCAGCGGACTTGCATTTGGTTTCATGGGGCGTTTCGGCGACATGGCATATTAGCTATTTCAGGACTGCATTCAGGAGAAGGTGTTAGACATCTTGTATCATCATCTGATATATATATTCCTTGGTTCAATCGATACAGCAGCTGTCTCTCGGTCGATAGACAGCCGAATCCCATGACGGGTCGTGCCTTTCTGTTAAAAATTATATTGAGGCTGTGATCGCGTAATACTCTCATTCATGTATGATCAGGTAAACGGTGAGAGATATGGTCCGGAAAATCGAGTGCCTAATTCAGTAGACAGCCACATGATAATAGAAATGCCTAGATGTACACAAGGTGAATGAAATTGGCCGCCAGGCGCCGCCAAAGAAACAGACCTGTCTATTCCCGGTATATGTTCACCAAGTCGCCTAGCTTCGCGACACATAAATATATATTCATTTCATGCAGCCATTCACGCGAGACTCAATCTCGTTCTCCGACAATCCGTGGACCAACCCAAAAATAATCAGACGCCATTTCCATCTATGCATAACTCTTCCCTTTCTTCCGAACCGTTCCAAATCCAAGATAGATATGTGCCAGTGATGATGATGATTATGGGGATTATGGTCATGATTCGCACCACCGTAATAATGCCCCAGCTTCCAGAACGCCAATGACTTCACCTCTAGTATCTACAACAGCGAGTATAGAGTCCTCGCCGCAAGCAGTCTCGCTGAGCTCAGGGGCCACGAGAAGATCCTGGATCCACCGCACAGCTTGGGCAATCCGCGTGTCGGCACTGATGTTGATCCACTCGCTCCTCGGGACGAGCAGGTCCGGGATTTCAGGTAATGCATGCATCATAAGCTCGGTGCTTAAACGGCGGATGCGCACGGGACAAGCGAGGGCTTCGCCGACGCTGACCCATCCTGACGGCGACTCGTAGCCTGCTTTCAGAACGTCGGCGCCACAGCGCTCGGTTGGGGCCCCAGAGACAGAGGTGATTTGTTCGAAGGGGACAGCCAGATCGCGCATTCTTCCAGGTTTCTTGCTCTCGCCTTTGAATGCGGCTCCGATAGCGCCGCCGGGATGATTGCGCGCGAAGACGGAGGACACGCTCGCGTGCAGCTCCTGCGATACGACGATGCCCAGGGCGTCGCCGACCGCGAGGGCAACGGTGGTAGAAGTCGTCGGGGCCGATATGCCGAAGGAGACGGTCTCAGACTCGTGGATCGTTGCAGGCAGAAGGATGGCGCCGGGTCGGTGACGAATGAGCTCGCAATCGGTGGGTTGCGAGTGTGCGGTGAGGACGATGACGGGCAAGCTCGCGTCGACGTGGGGGAGCAGTGTCAACAGCTCTGAGGTCTTTCCGGAGAAAGTGATGAAAAGAATGACATCGTGGGCACCTACCTTACCCAAATCCCCGTGTAGTGCCTCTGTCGGATGCAGGAATGTCGAGTGTAATCCCAGACTATTGAACGTCGCTACGATCTTCCTCCCGATGAGTCCGGATTTACCCACCCCCGTAACGACCAGCTTCCCCTTCTCATGGCACTGTCGGAGGATGGCGTCCACGGCTGCATTGAAACCTTCTGCTGCTGTGGCATCGACCTTGTACAGCTGGGTCAAGCTCCGAAGAGCTGTCGCCTCGGTGTTCAGAACATGGATAGCACCCGCGAGACGCCGTCCCGCAACCGAGCTTGCCTCTTCGACAACATCTGCGGATGGCCCTGTGGTTGCTTCTAGACAGAGATGCTCGATAGGCGTGCTGGAGCCAGCATCTGTGGGTGTCAGAGGCGATGGCGGGGACGGTGGTGGCACCGAAGGGCGAGGGGCTAATCCTAATAGATAAACCTCGCTATTGTGGACAGGGTGGTGTTCGACCATGTTAAGATGTGTATGGTTCTAGCTGCGCAGGCGGAATTGGTAAAGTTTAAGGCAGCGAAGGCAACCTGGCTTGGTGACGACCATGTACAGCGGGGCAGTCGGATGAAGGAGGCGGGAAGCTCATGATTTTCGGCCCTGATCGACCGGCGCAGCGTAACTCAAGGGTTCATTGTCATCCAGGATCCCCAATTGAAAAACCGTGTTGTAGAGGAAAGAATCTCTCGGTGGTTGTCACGCGTTATTCCTTTTATCACAGGAGGGCTTGCTTGGGCGTGAGCCAAGTCGACCAGAGACGGGGAGAAGGGCGAGCGGCAGACCCAAAGATAAGTATACTTGGCCTGACAGATAGGCGCTAGCCGAAGTCTAAGAGATGGATACAATTAGTTTAGGGGGGCTTGACAATCGGAAAGAGATGGGGCGCGTTAGGCGATATATATAGCGACACACCTTGTTTAATTCAGGCAGTCTCGGCAGTCTAAGTAGGTTGACTAGCAGCAATGAGCCTTTGATAAGTAATGTCTACTCGTATCTACACTAATTTAGAGCCCGAAATGCGGTTTCGATGGTAAGGAGGGCCGATTGTCTTAGGAATCATTGCCAGATGCGGCTGGATATGTCTTGCAGAGATCGGGGTCTGATCGGGGCTAATGGCGTGCAGGGCCGCCCGGTAGTGTCTTGGAAGACTCATTGGCCTGCCCGTGCCAGGATCGAGAATGACGCTTAGAGTAGCGTGCCTTGCGTGCTCTAAATGCTAGCAGGATCAAGGCTCTTCGAATTATATCGAGCGAATCAGGCCGTGCTCAGAAGATTGGATGTCGTTAGAGTGCCGGGACTACCGGGTGGTCAACGACAGGGGCCTGAATCTGCCCGAGGTCCAACAGTCTTGTGATAAAGACGATATGTGTGCAATGCAGCTTCATGTATGTTGGATGATGTGCATATACCGTACCCCCAGATAGTGGTTGCTAACAAGATGATGTCAACCTGGTTAGCAAATCGTAAGAAACTGGTGTCTACCACCTACCCAATTGGACTTCCTATCAGCAGCTTGTTCACACCCTCATCCTAGGATTTTCTCTTTGTTATCGGCAGAGTTGAAACATGGCTGCATCTCTGCGGATGCTACACTGCGGGGTTGCCCCTCATTGAATTATTCAGCAGCCGATATTTGCGACTAATATGAGGAATTGAAGTAAGAATGGATGCCTGATAGCATACACATAGTACTTGGCCTAACCAGCCAGACTTGTTAGCTCCGCTTAGTTAGTAAAGTAGATTGTTGGGAGAAGCGAAAGCGAGCTTTGATACTATAAATATCGATACCAAGTTAGTATGGACTTTACAGTAGCTGTACCAGTGGTGTAAAGTTTCTAGTTTTTCTCAGATCATCTCGGATACCTAGTGCAGAGGATTGGCACATTGCATATTAGCTAAGCAACACTATGTTTCACCTGAATGCGGCACCAGCCATCTAGTCTCGGGAAGATCCGGCATCACCAGAATGGGAGCAATATCCCGTGCTGTCTTTTGCCGATCAGAATGCTGCCATCTATTCAAGGCAGTGTGTAAATGAAGAAATTGACCTCATCCTGGCCAAAAGATGGGCTACACAGTCAACCATAACGTTTTTGCTTTCTAGTTGCCCTGAAATTGCAGACATCTTTCTAGGCCAAGGATAGCGCGTGGCCTGAGCCATTAGATTATCGTGAATATTCGCCTTTAGTGATTAGATCATCATCATCCATCTGGACGAGGGCCGTGAACGGGCGCAAATGATCCCAAAGTATCAAGTCATGGCCTCTGGTGTCTCGCATTACTGTGCCGCGGCACATGAGACGACCATATATAGCTTCAAAATCCCTCCAGTTACGGCGCCAAATGGATTGCGATGATCGAGCTCCACTTCAGCAGCGGTAATTGAGGCGTCAAAAGTGTATGCATATAAGAACTCACCCGTCAATGGGTCTACTCGCCACCGGGGGCCCCCATACTTGACAGCGGAGTCTTGAGAAGCCCAAGGCCAAGATGGACATCAATAGCTTGACGTCTTCTTTCCAGGTGAGCTTCGATGCCACAAAAGGCCAAACAATAGGGCGTCACGCCAAAGTCCAGCCAAATATTCCGCACCGCTGTTTAAGCTGATGGCTCTAGCAATGGCACTAATCGCCACGAGCTTGTCACTGCTGTGTGCAAACTTGCGCTTGGTATATTGCGGCACCAATGAACAGTACCATAAATCAATTTGCTCGAAGAGTGTGAGGGCCGGTGCTCCATTTCGTGGGATCTCTATGCCATAATCGGCATTGATTACAACCTCTGGAGGGCGTGACACTGGAAGTCCGCCCTCCCGTAATCTCAAATGATTCCATTGCCATAAAAGCTGGGCCTTGGTATAGAACAATATGCGTGAGGATAACAGAATCTTCCTGCAAGCACCACGCGCGAGTAGTCAGCGGTCCGGCCAAAACGTGCCGATAAGGCCCATCGGGATAGAATAGAGAGTCGTAGAAGTAAAGTGTACTCCGTCTGCCATCAGACAAGAAGCTATCGATGCGTACAAGGCCCCTATAACCCTCTAAGTGGGATGTAGATTACTTATTGAAAGCCCCATCCGTCGGCGGACATGCGGTGACGGTGGTGGATTCTGAGGTTTCACAACCACATGGGATATAGACTTGCTGCGTTGGCTGCGCCACATAGAGGTATACATTCTCCTTCCCCTAGCTGATTCGGGCGGAGAACTAAGGTTAGACGGCTCAAAGTTGCAGCCAATATCTGTCATCCGTCTCGTCCGAGGCGGCAGGGACCTCGCTCGACCAATACGCCGTAGGGGCCTCAAACGATGTCTACGACGCGTCTTGTATAGCTTCCATCATAAACCATATCAGACTATGTGCAAGTTTGGTCATCTCCGCCTTCTTCGAAACTCACACTAGATATATCACATTCTGGGTCAACCCTGCACACCTCCATCCACTCTTTCCATCGTTCTGTTCGTTCTCGACGCCCATGGCCGTATGTTCGGGAGAGAATTCGTCGCCTGCGCAACTAGGCCATGGTTGGCGAAACCACAGCCTGAGTTCGTGTCGAGAGGAGGGCCGTGCTCCATCTTTAAGAAGACTCGCGAGGATAATTTAGTGCTGTAGGTTTCTCGTGTGAGTCTATCGAGGCTTTGGAGAGACAAGTTTCCAATACAAAGCGAGGAGAGGGGTACCTTAGGTAGGTAGGTAGGTAATCGGGTTGGATTGGGGGGTTTGGATGAGGCTGACGGGCTACAGCTCGCATTACCTAGGTATATAACCTATCCAGGTCCTCGGGTAGGTACCTGCCTAAGGTATGCCCTTTTAGGTACTGTTGGCAAGCCACCTTCTCTCGATCTGTGGCGACTTAGGCACCAATCTGCCTAGCATGGAGAGGTGCCACTATGTACATACCTACCTACATAGGCAGCTAATGGAGGGATTCAAGTTTATTACATCCCATTTACATACCTAATGTAGGGTAGGTAAAGTATATGTAGTTGAGGGCGTAGATAGGCCGACAGCGACAGTGATTGGGCGAGTGATTGGGTGTTCTTTCCGAAGTGGCCGCCAGCTACAGACAACAAACATCCTCTTCTATGACTCTCTATGACCTCTGCTATAAGCTTCGGCACGAAAGACATCAACCCGTGGCCATCTCTGTCCAGCCTTTGACCTTGGTGATGTCCATGACTTCACCTTGCGCACCCCATCTGTTCTGAACATCCCACCAGTTCCTATCCTTGGCCGTCTCGGGCCGCCATCGGAAGGCTCGTCGTGTCCGGTCATCTACTTTGCCCTCGAGATACTCAAGCATCACTTGACCCATGGCTGGCATCGTCTTGAAGCAGTGCCCACTGCCGCCAATCGCCAATAGCAGGCGTCCGCTCTCGGTAGTATGAGAACCATGCCAATCGAGTAGCGGCATACGGTCAACAGTATCGGCATCCCAGCATATGCGCGCGAAGCTAAAGGGTCGCGCAGCGAGATGCGGCATTGTTTCCTTCAGAAATGCTCGCATGCGGTCCTCGGATTCAAGGGGGATTTGGTGTCGCGCAAATGGTTTAGACCCTACGATAACCTTTTCGCCATCAGATGACGTTCCGCCGTAAACGGGATTGATGTAGCCCGGATGTTCATCGCAAATCTTAAGCTCATGCGTCTCAGCCGACGGTTCCATGAAGAACCCCTTCTCGATGTTGAACAAAACCGGAAGATTCTTGTATAGCTCTGCTTCAGTCGGCGTCATTTTGATATGGGCCAACGTCCAAGCCGTCGGCCGGAGTTGGTATTTCAAATCCATTAGGGTATCCGCGTTCGCTCCATTGGCCAGAATCGTCGTGTGGGCATGGTAGATCGTTCCATCAGCGCTTTGAACACCTTGCAAGGCATTCCGATCATGCTCAGTCTCGCTAGAGAATAGGAATTTAGTGACTAGACCTTTTTGACCGCTGATAAAACGAGCGCCTAGTCTCTCTGCCTCCTGTTTGGCTGAGACGATAGCACCACGAGCAAATACCCATCCTGCACCGCTTGATTTGGCAAAGCCTCTCCAGCCCGCGAAGTCGCCTGTGAGGACGCCCTCGGGCATGGTTTTTTGGAATTGCTCGGCAGAAGCGACCTCGTGATACTCATCTTCATGGCCGCGGATATCTTTCAGCAAAGCCTCATACGCAGCATCTGAAGAGGCAGCCATGACATAGCCCGTGCGATGATAATGAGGCTTGTATATGGGATCGTTGAGCCATGCCGTGGTACATAGATTGTGGAGACGATTCCACGCATATGCAGCGTCGGTATCATCTTCAGATTGGGAGCCTGAGGTTTATGTTAGTAAGTATTTCAGCACCCGAATCGCCTATTCCATCCAAGCCTAGAATCCGATTGAGTCATGGGAGATACCTTCTTCCATAATCTTGTTGAGGTCATTCCCAGCTGCTATACTACTAGGCGCCTCCTCTCCATCGAGGACCGTCACGTCGCTATAGCCATTCCTCGCCAGTTCTAGCGCGATGCTACATCCCCAAGTGCCGCCCCCCACGATCAGGACCGAATCGCTCTTATTTACCATGTTTGTTTATGACTCGACTCAACGGTATGTAGTTGGCAAGAAAATGGTGCGGAACAGAAAGTCAAAAGGCTTAAGATACCATCCTATCTACATATAGTATTTCGACAAGAGGTCCCGGGAGATTGGTGACGGAAGTAGTTAACCGAATGCTGTGATGTGTGAGATGGAGAATGCAGCACGAAGAGTACCCACCACTTACGCATTATCACGTCCACAGTGCGTAGCCGATCTAGCGCCGACTCATCAACTACTGTCAGACCTCACAGAGAATATCGTGATATATGGAACGTATAGCCATGCGTTTCACAATTCTCCGTTCAGGAACTTCCAGCGATATTTTCTCTTTTTTTCCATTTAGATTGTCCACGCGAACCTGTGAGGATAGTTACCCCAGTGCAGAGGCCAAGGAGCTATCGTAGTATTCGTTACAAACACGAAATTGCGGTCGGTTTGGAGTTTAATAGCCCTTTCGAAGAAATACCATGCGTATACCCATTCTATAGCAATTGTACAAGATTCTACCATGTCATCTCTATACCCCTCCAACGCCTAGGCCATCATTGGAAAGACTCTATACTGAATTCATACACGGCTCACTTCGCTCGTTGCTTGATGTGCACTTGTAGAGGTGGCTTGACCCATAGTGCCAGGATCTTCTGGTTGTGCCAGCCATCGGCGCTCTGGTCAAGCGTCAAGTCGAAGTTCCAGAGGACCTTGGCCAGGATGGATCGCATTTCGTCTGTTGGAAACTGTTAGCCGATATCTGTAGTCTACAACCATTCTTGAGAGCAATATGTTGATAATATTAAATAAGGCCACTTACGCATTGCCAGGTTTTGACCGATGCAGTCTCGTCGCCCGACACTAAACGGCCTATGGACTTCGCGTCTATCATTATAGAAGGGAGAGCTGGGGTCCGACATAGCTTCGGGAAGCCACCTCTCAGGAAGGAACTCGTTTGGTCGATGAAAGTTAAGGTCAGAGTGGTAAGCTGCGAACTGGGGCACGCTAACTTGTGTCTAGACATCATGTCAGTTTCCCAAATGCAATGTCAATGAATAGAGTAAAACCGACCTTTCCGGGAATAGTGACGCCCGCGATTTGGACCGGCGGCCCTTCAGGGACACAACGCAACATACCCAAAGGAAGAGGAGGGAAGATGCGCAGGCCTTCTTGGAGACAGGCAGCCATATAAGGAAGTTTCGTTCGAGTGTCGTCAAATGTAATTTCCTCGTCGGCGTTGAAGGTTTCGCGGACTTCCTCAACAACCCTCTTGAGGGCATGAGGTGTCCTCAGCAGCCAGTAGGTAACACCGCTCAACAGTGTCGCCGTAGTCTCCGAGCCGGCAAGCATGATCAGGTCAGCGTTGCTAGCGAGCTCGTCATCTTTCATTTCGTGGTCCTCTCCTCGAGATCGCAGCATGAAATCCATGAAATCACCACGATCGGGCTGTGCCTTGTTATAGATACGATCAATTGTCATCTTATACGTGAAGTCGGCGTGCTTCTTCTCGGCATTACGAATCTGAGGTCCCGCGAGGAACTTGAGTGCACTGCCTACGAGCGGGAACATGCCGGTGAAGGCCAAGATGGGCAACAGCTTGATGAGGTTTCCGATGTTGTCCAGCCACGCGTTACTCTTTCCTTTCTCCAATCCTTGCAATGAGGTTCCATAGGCAAGGTCCGCAATCAAGTCGAAAGTTGTGAAGTTATACCATCTTACCATGTCGACAGGCTCTCTGAGTTCCGACTTCTCTCGCAGTCTCTTTATGAGAAGATTGACGTAGACGCTGATAAGAGGCTCTTGCATGCGCAAAGCCTTGTCGGAGAAGGCCGGCAACATAGCCCGCCGATACCGAAAGTGGTCTTTAGAGCTAGCGAAGACAATCTTCTTCGTATCCATTTTGAGGCCGGGGAAATGCTTGGGAAACTCGGCATGGCCGTGGCCGTAGATATCCTTCCAGGCCTCGGGGCGGATGAAGGCCACCTCGTCGGCATTAACTCGTACCACCTCGCCGTATTTCTCGTGGAACTCGACATATTTGAACTCTAGACATCCGCGCATCTTGTACAACGATCTTAATCCATTGATAGCGATCCATAGCGGTGGTCCTGGAATATGGCGAAGTGGGTGAAAGTAAAGGTTGTACACCGCAGTGTACACTAGGCGTATAACGAAGAAAACAATGATGGCCAGCATAAGGCGACCGACACCCTGCCATGACGTGAGGTCAAATTGACCCAGCGTGCTGGCAATTGGCCTCGAGAAATCAGCCATCTTGAACTGAAGCCCACGGCAATGCAGATGATGGACGAGCTCTGGGATCTTCAAAAGCACATGAAAGCGCGGGACGCTGGCGCCATATCTATATATATTTACACTACGAGCTGAACCTGCCTACCTAGGCATTGTGTGTGGCGCCAAGGGGGGCCCATCGAGCATGACAAATTTAGCTGCTTGATCCCCTGGTCGCGCTCCTTTTGTCCCAATGTGGTGCCCGATAAGTAAGCTGACCATCATGCTTTTATTGACTGACTGTACAGATATCAAGTGCGTTAATCTTAGTAAAATATTGCGCGCTTACATTGCAGTAGGGCTCATGAACACTAGTTTTGTTCAGGCCTTTGAATAGGAACTCAACCTCGAAGGATTACACGACCTGCCGCACCCATCGAAAGTACTTGACACTGGTCATGGTCCGGAATATGCATAAGGATTTATTCAGGAACTAAAGTTCCCAATCCTTCGTAGCTTAGATATATCTCTGGGACTAGTCTGCCTAGGCTACCGAGGGCCTAAATCGTATCCACATGCTAAATATACCTATCCTGTCACGTAGGAACGTATGACCCGATGATATATGATACTATAACTCTTCTATCGTCAAACCAAATGCCTGTGCTGGCTATCTCGTTGAGCGAAATGCGATATAAAGCTCCATACTTTATCGACTATGTGCTCTGAATTGACGTCCGATGTAACACAAAAATTACCTAACAGACTAGTCGCTGCGCTCTAAATATACGATCGGTGCATCTCTATGCAGTGCTATACGGCTTCGGCAGGATGTAAGAACCAAGACACATCGTAAAAGCTTGTATTATACGATTATACGGATGTTAGGTAATCTGATTGACCCAATCAGCCATCACATATAAGACCCTTAGATTGTAAATAACCTTATCGAGACACGAGATTGCCGTCTAGATGAAGCTACTCAACTCCGTCTAGATACATAGTTGCTTTGCGCAAACGGCCGGCTTGTCTATCCGGCCGCATCGTAAGCGTATAATCGACGATAACGCCAGGCATTCCCACATTGTACCGGGTTTCGAACACTATCATTATGCGGGAAAGGCTACCGTAGCTGGACATAAGGTCGGCAGCGAAAGGCCATTATAATTTATTGGCTTGAATTGTCTTGTCCACGTGTCTATGAAACGGCATGACGAATGACAAATTGTCCTCGACATTCAGAACCAAAAGGGGGTAGACGATATACAAAGAAGAGAATCCGTGAGGCCTTGTTTGATGTAAATCACGGTGCTATTCATTCCAGAATTCCAGTCGCGAAACCTTCAAGGTTGTGTTGACGATGACTCGCATCGCCTCGCTCTATCCAGCAGCTTCGCAATCGAAGAGTCCCTGCCCTACGTCCTCAGCCTATATGACGCTTCATTATATCTTGGCCTCATTTCGCGCGTTCGTCGATCGTCAAGGTCGATGTGAATGGTACATGGGCGATCTCTATTCGTTTCTTCGTTCTTAGCGGTGCTTTGCATGGCCGTTGATTATAGGCACAGGTCCTGGAAGCATGCTTGCGCCTCATTCCAATCCAATATGGCGCATTGAAGGAGGTTCTCCTCGGTGCATTGATCCTGGCGCTTCACCACCTTCTTCAGCGGTCTGCCGGCGCAGAGGTGGCCGAAACAATCCTCACTCTGCTGCCCGGTAGAGGCAACACAGGCGTTGATGGCTTCCTTGTTGCAGTTGAAAACCCGAGGCTTGAGGGCGTTGGCATCCTCCCCGATCGCCAGCGCGGTAGCAGACGAGGTGGCGACGGCCACGGTGAAGACGGTCTGAAAGAATGTTGAGAGTCTCATCTTGAAAAAGGTTCGTGCGTAATAGAAAAGAGCGTTAGCATATACACTCAGGTGTGTATGTGTCTGCGGATTTCCAGAGCTGAATAGCAAAAAGAGGGACAAAACCGGTTGGCTGGGTGTTTTCAGTCTGTGATCTGCGGCGAGCAAAGATCTGCGGATACTCTTTATATTCAATCGAGGGCTTGATAATCGTAACCATGCTGCTCATCGCCGCCATGACGGGAGCGGCCTATGTAGTATCTGGATAGGGGCTGGGGCCCGTTCCAGCTCCGATTCTGAAACCGCACCAAACCCCCGGCACCCCAGCCCGGATGCCACCCCCAAGATCATGCGACACGTGCAAAATCCCCTGCGAAGTTCTCAAACCAACTTGTTTGAAGCTATCTCTCAAGTATACTACGTCAGCCCGTACTCGCACATCTACATGATCTGACTGCGATCGTCGAACCGTACGTCGTTGATGGGCGGGAGAGCGCAGCATAATCTGCGTAAAACGCCGGCCTTGCGCGTGGGTATAACAGCGCATCATATCCGCTGGACTACTATGTGTTAAGATGGCCAGCAAACGTCTGCTAGGTGAATCACATCCAGAGGCATCCATCTCTTAGTCGTGGCGGCGTGCGCAACGATCCTGGGCACCTGCGTTTCAGAGGATCTGCAGCCAGGATCTGAAGCACGACATCTGTTACAGCTCATCGACCTACACAAAAGTGGTCATCATCAGCCACTTATCAACACGTCTGACGTCCCGTTTCGCCGTCCAAGCCCCGCCACTAGCCCTGCTCACATACATGGGAATTACGGGGGTTCATCCGATCGAGATACCGAAATTATAAAAGTCCTGTCCATTCCTGTCCGTGTTGCCCGGTCTGATCCCCCTTGCTGACGACTGGAGGTATCAGAAAGTTAGTTAGGCCCCCCACTACTCCTCAGAATGCGACTTTGAAGGGGCTTGGATTTTAAAATCCCAGTCCAACCACTGTCGAACGCGTTGACGTCTTCCTCGTGTTCATCGTCCTGCCTAGATATCACGCCATGGTTCTTATCTTACGAGGATTACGACACGCTGTGTGGGGTGAAGCGCGGGATATCGGCGGGAGAGAACTTGTGTCATCTCTCTAGCCGCAGAAGCTGATGTGATAATTACTTACAGTATTTCAGACTCATCAAGGCGTTCGTGAAACAGTAGGCGGTAGGTTATCGCCTAGCTAATTCGTGAGCTAATACCAAGCTGTTAAAGGCTATAAAGATCACCCTGTGAGCTTATCGTAAGTCATCACCCTCAACCTCCATTCTACCAAATCTGCACGAGGTTTCCCAGGAAATTCAACTGTGCATTCGATGTCTACCTGCCAATGGCTGCAATGGGGTATTATGTCATATGAGCCCTACCGACTGTGGCCTTCATTGATTAGCTAGGCTCTAGACTAGACTCCAAGACTCACGTCCTTACGTCTCTGGCGTAATGAAGCTTCGGGAACACTCTGTGTAGATGGGCGGTCTCTAGTGCCTTTTGATTGGCTTCATTGTGTATACTCGGAGCATGGTCACAGCATGACAGACTGACACCGATGATCTTACTATATCATATTGGAGTTGCCAGTGGACTCTATCAACCAGCACCGTGCCTCTTTTCGCTGGTCAGTATTCACACTCAGTACTACCCGGACCTCTTGAGAATATTTGAATTATAGATCTTGAAGAAGTTCGCGAAACCCTTTTATTGAGAAAATAATTCTATCAGCAACTCCTGGTCTTTCAAGACGCACTTTCAAATGGTTCTTGCTTGTAACGAAAAGCCAGAAGCGAAGGCCTTCAGACGGAGATATTTTGACTTGGTAGAGTATATTTTACTGATGGCATCCATTTCACCGGAACTCGCTCGAATCTCTCTTCTCGTTCATTGGAACATAGGTTAGTATAGTCGCTAACAGACAGATTGGTATGATCCCGGTGTCACGGGCTGTCCTGGTGAGCATGACAGCTCAGATAGGAAAAACCACAGCATGTTCGTAAGGTTGCAATACTGTATCGACTCCTCATAAGCAGAACTAGTCTAGGATAACGGAAATAGGATATGAAAAGCAATGTTCCTCCTCCCAACCAAATTCCTACATGTGGCTCAATTCAAGTGGTTTCAATCCTCGGGGTCACCTTAGTCTCGCAGTACCTACAGTAGACATCATAGACTGGTGTGGTACAATCAAAATAGAGGAAAGAGACACAGTTATATGCAATGTAACATGGATTTCTCTTTTAATCTTGGGAATCGTTCACTTGTGGCGCTCTCTTCATCTTGGTTGCTGAGGCTCGATATGACATATAACAGAACCCTTACTCAAGTACCTACCTGACTGAGGACCTGGAAAGTGGTACTTAGCATCGGTAAGCATTCCCAGCGGTTTCTGACGTACCGATATAGCTACCTATCCTAGGTAGGTACATATGTACCTACCCACTGTACCCCCACCGCTACCGATCGGCTTTGCAGTGTCTTCGGCCGCCTAGAGGTGCTAAATTATAGCGCCAACAGCCTTACTGGCTACCTGGGCAGGTTATGAGGTAAGTACCCAAGATTTGTAGCAGCATTAGGTTAGCATTTCATCCATTCACGCATCCAAGGCTGCCTTTCATCTCCGCGATATCATCAGCCTCCCTTGAGTTTTCTTTCCCACAACAGCCTGCTGGCCTCACTCAACAATCCCTAACTCTTCCAGTCCTACTAACCTGACAGATCCCCCCCTCTCTACCGTGCTGTGTTTTGCTGTGCAAGCTTCTCGACAGTTTCTCGACCATCGACGTCTATCCAAGTCGCCTACCTAACCACCTACGTATCCAATCCTAATTATCCTACTTATTTCAACGCTTGGTAGGCATTAGCCGGTACGTTCCTTTCAAACTGCCGACCCAGCAAAGGTTTACGTTGAGATGGATTTTTTGCTGCTGCTCGTTCCTACTCCGCCGTCCCTTCTCCCCTGTATTTCCCATATCTCCGACTACTCCCCAGGCACGCGCCATCGCACGCGCTCCGCCAAACTTCACTGCCTAAATCCCAATCTTAAGAAGGATACAACGGCTAACCTACTAATCATTCCGTGTAGTTAAATCATCGAACCGTGGCCATGTCAGATACCGCCAACAACGACCGCGATGTCGCCAACGAAGATCCTCTTGTCGCCGAAGAGGGCAATGACGAGGTCAGTCATCCCCCATCGCCCTTGTGATACACCCAGAGAAAGTAGATGCGCATGGAACACAAGACCAAGTTGACGCGATCTGGCCGGCTAATCTTCAAAACGTACAGGAAGAGATTTCAATTATGAAGCGCCGAGTTGCTGAAATGGAGCAGGAGGCTGCCAAATTGCGCGAGATGCATGCGGCTCTTGAGGAAAAGAACCAGGAAGTATCAGACGATCGTAACGATGTCGACAGCCGCAGCATTTTTGTTGGCAATGTAGATTATTCCGTCTCGCCCGAGGAGATCCAAGCCCACTTCCAGAGCTGCGGCTCCATAAACAGAGTTACCATCCTGCTAGATAAGTTTACTGGCCAACCCAAAGGGTACTTCTTCTCCCTTTTCCTCCCTTTTTCTCCTATCCCTAAGCTTTGAACCTTCCAACAACCACTAGCATGTGCCACAACAGCGTCACACAGAGACTAATCACTAGACTAAAGGTATGCCTACGTCGAGTTCACTGAACCCAGTCTCGTTGCGCAAGCTCTCGTTCTCAACGACAGCGTCCTAAAGGGCCGAAATATCAAGGTTACTCCAAAACGTACCAACATACCTGGCATGAGTCGCGGGCGTGGGCGTGGTAGAGGCGGTTTTGGGCGAGGTGTCTATGGCGGCAGAGGCGGCTATATTCCTCGAGGTGGATATCGTGGTGGATACCGAGGAAGAGGTCATGGTGGCTTCGCCCCTTACTAATCCCCGGTAGCCTTGTAAAGCAAGGCAAGATCTTTTGAGTTTTGAACATCGACCTTGGCCTGCTTTTACTTGATCACCAAATGTACTACCAAAACAAGGCGTTATCGAAAGCGACGTATAATACCGGCTGAGAAAAATTACAACCATAAGCATACTACTACTTGTGGCACTTTACTTTAAGTCAGTTCCAAGTTTCTTATGGCGCTCCCGGAAATATTACGCCGTTACCTGCGAACACGAATACTCAGTCTCAGCTGATCCAACATTGTGGATAGACGAAAGAAGAATTCGCGCCGTCATATTTTGTCTACATCTACTTACATTTTATACCGATGCATTCTCTCACTAAAATTACCATAAATTTTTGGAGGTCAGCCCAATGGCGATCAGATTCAGACGGACCCTGTGCGCACTATCCAATTTTCGGTCTGTCCTTGATAACACAGCCTTAACGCTAGCATAGGCTACATAGCTAGCAGAGGTTATGTTGCTTTCAAAGCTCATAAATGAAGCAAAGGTTATTTTTCCGTGGAGGCTGGAATCGTGGCAATGGGGAGTGGCATGGTCTCTCCAAAGTAGCTAGGCCCGCTGGCCTAGAGCTTTCATCTCGCATATGTGCAGTCTGGCCTTATGATATTTCCTGCCCGCCGACCATTGGCCTAGTTAGTCTCAACTAGTGAGCGATGTGGTCGTTCTTGTTGAGCGCCCTGTACGTTTCAGCTCGTGGCGTGATAGGAGTGAGAAGCTCACGAGTGCTGGGCGGTATGAGGATTGTATCAAAATAGTACTTTTAACCAAATGAATACTCAATTACAAAACGAATGAGTACGGCAATTAGCTGTCCGTAATTCCATGCCCATCGTCTATAACTCATAATTTCATGTCCCTTGGTCTAAGCCCATTATTGACAGTTATGCGTGTACTCGCCTATGCTATTAATTGTGATGCGTTAGTATGTTGTAATTCGTGATGTAAAGAGGCCAAATGTGCCTGTATCTCATGATCATAGGTATACGTACCTGATAAAATGCACTTTATAGACGCAGGCTCACTGCATATGCTAAGCAGGATAGTCTGGCTGCCACGTCAGGTTCGTCCGCCACAAGATTTAAATAATATCCAGCTTGAGACCACTATTAAAAAATGTTCGAGGACACGTGGTTTATGCCTGGTACTTCCTACTGCCTTGTTGGGCCGATACTTGTGTGTTATATTTCTTCCTAAGAAAGAGGGGGGGGGGGATAGTTATGGTGATTTTAGATGGGTGGAATTTAATTAGTCGTTCACACACGGACGAAGGTCGACTTAACGGCACGAAGGAGGATCTTGCAATTATTGCGTATATAACATCAACCTTAGTCTTTGAAGTTACTAGGCAGGTTAGAAAACTTACCGACGCATTCACCATCCTGTTCTTTTGTAATCTCTCCGTACTTCAACAAATACGGTGGCAAGGAGAAGATATACTATATACTAATATGTAGTTTTCTTCGGATCAAGATATCATGACATACTAAGACGCTAGTGAAGACACAATTGAGGCTGCAGCGAGTCTGTACCTATGCACCTGAAGCTTGATAAAATGTGCCTGAGTTTCTAAAGGATTAGTGAGATACATAGAGTTTATGTATAATAATAATAATGCGCAATATTCTATCCTCTATGGCTGCACATTGTGGGCGTGACGCATCAAACCCTGTCTAAGTGGTAAACATAGGGGATAAGCTCCAGCTTTATCTAAACCTAGTATTTTGGTTTTCATCACCCCTAGCCCACGATTGCTTTGACCCCGTCCAAGATGTAGGCTTTTGGACATAAATTCTGGCGAGTCTCCCCCTTTTCCCTTTTCCCCAAGTATTCCTCTTTTCTAAAAGCCCATTTTACTCGGCGACTTTGCTGAACGTACGACTAGCCGCCACGATGTGGCCAACCACCCCCAATTACCACCCAACGTATCCCCCACTCCCCTTTGGGCCATGTCATTCACCTGAAGTTCCTCAAGAGCCATTACACCAACCCGGAGAGTATGCGGAGCCACCAGCGGCGAATTATCCAGATTTCCTCGAAGCAGCGAAAAGGGTCATGGAACCTGGGTCTAGCTCGAGACTAATTATCAAGCTCCCATCTGTCGAAATTGCTGTTGGAGTCGGCCGTGGCGATTGGATAACTGCAGTTACACAACTTGGTCTCCTAACGCAAGCGATCCAATATCATGGCCTGTTCCCTACTCCAATGGTCACGAATCCAATCCCAAGAGAAGGTGACAAAACCAACAATGATATCGTTATTGCTTTCGACCACAAGGAGAAGAACGACAATGATACCGGCGCGGCCAGTAAAGACAGCGAGGAGAAAATACGGACCGTTGAAGACTGGAAGAACTATGTTAAAAAGTCAGAGTTTCTTCTCTTCAAAGAGGAATTGAATCGCGAAACTGAGAACAAAATATGGAGCATCCGGGAGATGTCAGATAAGTTATCGAGCCTCCAATGGCATTACAGAGACGTAGCGGATAACATCGAAACTGAAACGGAAGTACGGGAAGATGCCATAAAAAGGGTGATGCGTCGTTTTGATGAGATACAGAAAGATCTCGACCAAATCGGAAAGGTGTTTGAAACTCTGGAAGATCTGGTAAACGCCGGCTACATCCTGGAAGTTCCCACAGTTCCCACCCCATATGGTTACAAGCACAGTCCTTGGACAGCCAAATCACCAGTCCCATATCCTCTGAAAATCGGCGAGAATTGGAGATCGAGGCATGCAGATCTGTCAAAAACAGATCGCTCTGATGTCAAGGGGAAAGGCAAGGAAGAAGCCGTGGACAGTCATTCTACTTCCACTACCGGTGCCGCTAGTAGTGCAACCCTCGGCGAGGCCAAGCCATCAAAGTCTTACAATTTGTTTGCGGGTTCTCCTTTTCCTCCGCTCGTTGTCAATGGTACGACTCATACCCCACTGGCCCGATCTCGACTCCAGCCCCTTACTGCTGGACTGGATTCTATGTTGGCTTCGCATCCGAGACCCATGGCCTACCCTTCGCATTTTTATAAGTTTGGGTCTAAGATTAGCGCCCGCGTTAGGAACGACATTGCGGGAAGATTCACTAATATCGGTAAGTCTGAACATAGCACGGCTAGGGATGGCGAGGCAGAAAAGAGCAAGGTCCAAGACGACAAGGACCAAGGCACCGGCGTGAACGACGGCGAGGACCAGAAAGAGACCGGGAAGAAAGACTGTTGCTGCGACGATGACGATGACAAGGATTTACAAGATCAAGACATCGTGAGCCATTGGGACAAATGTAGTGCTATGGATATTATGGAGTTCCCCACGGATTAGAGGTGGTGTTTCGAGCATCAGGTCGATGGGGATGGTTCTTAGCGAGCAAGATATCGTTCGCGAAGTTTGCGCCATCAAGGATTCTTGATGCTATCGAATTGTGGCCGAGGAATTTTTCGTTTTAATCCCCTGCGCACTGCTCTTACTGAATTATAATCTTCCCTTTTTTTTTCTTTTTTTTTTTCCCTTGATACCTAAGGGTAAAAGTCTAGAGACTTAAGGATATAGCGAAAAATACAAAAGTTCAATCAAGAACACAGAAACAAAAAGACAGAAACCAAAATACAGAAACCAAAACAAAGTAACAAACACAAGAGAAAGCAAAAAGAAAAGAAAAGAAAACGAGAAAGAAAAAAAAAGCACACTCGTGCAAAAAGATGTCTGCCCCTGTGGCTATCTAATACAAAAGCCCCCGCCTCTATTATATGAAAACGTGGATGCCGAACAGACTGGTTTGCCCAAACCACAGTGCCACCTAATTTTTCATATATACAGTCGGACGACAGGCCTATCTTGCCACTCTTTCAAACCACACCCACCATATCCCAGCCCAGCCATGAGCCCACAGGTGTACTGGACCAAGTTTCATCGGAGGAGATGAACTGAACGTGTTGAGGTACGGAAGCCCTAAGAGGAGTGGATACGGAGTCATGACTTACCGCGCTTGAGAACAGAGAAAATGGCTTCGAAGCCATTAGGCCCATGGAATAGGGGTGGGCAGATCTGGGCTTCGTGGACCAACTGGATTTGACAGCAGGGTAAATTATCTTATCTAATTATTATATATTTACGTCTTGGGTTTTATGATTATTTGATTGGGAGGAACTTTTTGGTGTCAGGAGTTAGGGATCAATTACGAAGAATCTTTAGGGCATACAGCTAGAAATAGTATGAATGTCCTCGCTTGTTAATTAATATATTTGTTATCTCTAAACACCGTCTACGTGGTGACTAAGTCTACTTATCTATCACAGTTGAACCTGGATGTACGGTAATTACATGACCTGGGCGAGCGAACCGTGTACAAGATTTGAGTAGTGTTACCATGGGGATGCTGCATGACATTCGTTGTTGCACGAAGGGGGCTTGAAGACATTGTTGACGGCCTAGCAAGAACGACGAGGTAGGGAAAACCGGCTCGAAAGTCGTTTTTTTCAAGAATTATGCACGAAGTTGAGAGGCGTGAGGGACTTGATCAGGTATCTGCTCATATGGAACAATCATAGAAACAAGAAATAAAACCGTGTATTGCCAAGGCTCACCTCCCCCGTCCAAGTAGCAACTGGTCATTTCTAGAATCCACAAGCCGCATAACGACTCGGAGAATGCACATGCCATCTAATTATATCTTGCACCGCCTATCATTTCATATTGCAGTTCTCTCAGTTATCCTTTCCAAGAGCTTGCTCTAACATAAATCTAGTGCTCTCGATATCTTGGAAGAAAAAAAAACATCTAGAAAATTTTTGTATTTAACATGAAATTTCGGAAGCTACTTCTTAAAGCTACGAGCCAGATCCATTTAGAACTTGGTATTGAAGCTAGGTTCGGCGAAAATCATGGAAAGCTACATTAAGCACTTCCTATGTAGCCAAGTATCCACTAAACTAGAGTTTATCCATGTATAGTATTACTGTTGGGGTGAGGTAGCTACATGGAATGGGCTGGGTAATAAAGTATTATACGGAGCAGAACTGAATATACGACACTGTCTTGCTACCTTTCCCCTTTACAACACACGCCCATACACACTCTCTCCCTCTGTCTCTCTATTTTTTCCTTCCTTTGTATAAACCCAAACGCTCCATGGCATATACATATATAACAATACTACGCAAAGGGGTATTATTCTGCGTAAATCAGCCTTCAATCTTTATCAACCTAACCTATAGTAGATGATCACATCATTTTGCTCTGTTTGTAATCTAGAGATTGGTTTAGGCATTAGGATCCGTTGCTGTGGGAGTACAACTATCGATAGTTACGACATAATATCAGAAATGGCTCGTCAGGTCTTCATATTTCCTTAATTACCCATAGCACCTAGCGTCGTGAAGACCTGTCTATATGAACGGCTTAAGCTAATTATCATTTTCATAATGCAATTATAAAGCTCTTAATCGATGGCGCTAGATTTGATGATTCATGTATCTGTTTATTGCTATCTATATGGTTTGTGTATGAGTGAACTGCCTGGGGAAACACCCTCCTTAAACATCCATATCCTATGATGTTGCAAAGCGCAGATACATTTATAATTGTCTCACGTGCCAGTCAATAGAAAGCCCCAGTAGTTTAACTCTTTTGCACTCGACCACAAACAGCCGTTTGTCACTCCATCCACAGCCTGCCAGAACATCTCGTGAAGTGGTTTATCCGAATAACTCATGCCCTTCTGCCACAAACCAGGGTGTAATAAGCGAAAGGTTTATGGGCGCTGAATAATGCGAACACCCTTAATACGCACAAGATGTGCGAGTCTCCCATACGTCCTGCAGAACGATCCCTCATAAGATATATAGTACATATAGGAAGGTACAGCTGTTCGCCCCTCACTTATATGAGACATATTGACGGACCTTGGAGGTTAGGAAGGCGGGTATAAGTTTAGATTGAATCAATACTACTCATCAACCCTAGGTATGTACCTGAAAGAGCTGGAAAATAATGTTTTAAGCCATGTTGCCTGGCATGTGTTAAGTAGGTATCCCTCCTTACTTCATCTACCCTCTCAAAATCTCCTAGCTCCCCCCGACATAGTCGTAACCAATTTCCTAAACTTCTCGTTTCGAAATCCTCGAAGTTCCACGGAATAGATGTTACTTCATACTCGTTACCAGCCCAAAGATAAACGTCGGCTTCAAAGGCTCTTGGGAGTTTACCGTCCAAGGTGGTAACGACAACGCGCTCTATCACGTAATATTTCTCGCCCTTGAAATCATCCAAAGCTTTTCGCTGACTGGCTGTTTCTACTTCAAGTAGGTAACCATCCACCGATGACGCCCAGTCGCGCTCGACAAGTGCTGGGATGTCGATGTTGTTTCTCAGCAAAAATTGTCCATAGCCGTAGATTCTCCCTGGCCGTACCAGCTCTGATACTAATGAAATGTCCGTTGCGCCTCCCGTCAATACCGCTGTCAGTAGGGGTAAGGAGCGCAGGATCCCATATATGAAAACTGGTCGCGGTTGAGGTTCCGAGATGCGTGGAGGCGGTTCTGGCATCGACATCGTGGTAATTGTGAGAACTGTAATCGTACAGTACTGTATTGATAGGTTCTGATTGATGGATGAAGGTGTTGACGCGAGCGTATTTGTCTGTAGCTCTAGGACCGTGACAGTAATGCCTGAAATGGCTTGGTTGGGCTGATTCACCTGAGATGAAGACGAAGAGAAGATTGTTAAAATGGACCATTCGTAGGATAGCTGACAATAGCCCGGTGCATCTGGAGGAGGTAGCGTTATTTACCAAGACGCGCGAGACTAGGTCCTTGTTATCTACCATTGCGTTTAACTTCGACTGAAGAACTATGATTATGTTAATCTCAAAAGGGCATACAAATAGATTGCGTAGGTAGTGTTTTAGGTTTGCATTCTATCGATATATGGTATTCAAAAATCTAGTTATTCGTACTTTCAAACAGGGAAATAGCCTTCGACTCTCAACTCAAAACAACTAGATACTGGTACGGATCGTCATAGGTGCTGGCGCCCATATCGACACGTCCACAAGAGAAAAACGTCCGCAGAAGTCGTTGCAACTCAGAATTACTGAGTCCAAGAGCCCTTCAAGGTTAGTAAATAGTAGCAATAAGCTGCTAATATGCCTCCCATTCATACTTGACGCCTAGAGGTGGCTTTTAGCGCTTTCCCACTATTGAAGAGAGCAGGCAGCTCCTCGAATTGTGCGCAGATTGTAGATCAAGAAGCTTTAGTAATCGAGTTATGATGCGTTTTCTGCCTTCTTTCCTGCTTTTGATATAGATAATGCCAGGGAAACCGTAAAGGTACTCGAAATTGACATTTCATAGAGTTCCCACAAAGCCTGAACGTCTCAGCCGTGAACTGGTTAACTAAAATTCTTACACATGTGGCATAGCACGTTTTCAAACCGTTGAATGGAAACGTACCAGATACCAAGCGCACTTGTAACTGTACATGTTCAATCCTAGTCTCCACCCCCACAGACCCCTACCATCTCTGCCTCAAATGGTCCCTGTCAGTTTATTATTACTTTCATCCCGCGCGATTCATAATATGGGGGTCACCCCCAGAGAACTGCTAGGCTGGGAGACTGGGTAAGTAAGGTCAGGCATGGTCGGGATTGTTAGTTCTCTTGTATATACATTAAGCTCGTTGGGACGGGGGTCCTCAATAATAGCCATGTCAGACCATAACCGACGTGCGTGTTATGTTAGTGAGAGAATGAACCCCGTCACCGACTGACCGAGGCTACTGCATTGGTAAAAGATGACGAAGATCTCACCCATGTCTCTTCCATCAGACCATTTTCCCACCCATTTCTACCAGCACTGTAGCATGTGTAGTTTATGTCGAAAACGAAGACCCGGATATAAGTGACTGCTGTCATCACTGTGTGTATACCTCCCAGCGCTAAGGTTAGGAGCACATACGTATTGTGAGTTTCGATACAGAGTAATCTAGAGTATAGTTCGTGTACATGTATAATGGACAAGTGTCAAGCCAGCCCCCGTCGCTCTATCCTGGGCAGCAAGGGCGCGGAGGATTTCAATCCTGGACTTGCTAGTTTCGGTACCATTTGGTTAACCACAGAGCTGGGAAGACGCTACTGCATTAAGAACAACATGCATGAATATCTTGTAACCGAACCTCGCTTTTGTAGTAACGGCTTGGGAAAGGAGACCGTTGCCAACATGTACAGATTTCAAAACGGAACTTGTGCATACCAAAATTCCAACGTGGAGGCAGCCGAATCATGGGGTAATCTTCCGTTGCATGAATAGAATATGATCTGGAGTCAGCACGGAGAAACCCCGAAGTCCCATGATCTAATCTCACTCTCGTATCTTTGAAGTTGGTAACAAGTAGATATTGTAAGCTGCATCAGTCTATACTACTGTAATTACTGTACAGGCTCGGATATAACTTAGCGCAAGGTACAACGGTTTTAATGTCGCAATGACTTGAAGTGATCATAGAATCACCTGGTATACCTCGTGTCTTTACATCTTTGCAGCTAACAATAGACCGAGAACTAGCTGCGAAGATCGAGAGGCGGTAGTTAACTGAGGTAGACGCAATTAGCGCGTTAACTCCGATACTTTGGAACGAGCTAAACGAGATGATAATCAAACACTACAGGAAGGAGGCTATACAACCCGGACAGAAATAGGATCAAAAAGTTCAGACAAACTAACGCCTTGACTCATGCAACTACATCAGATTAACCTTCTATTTCGAGCGGCACGGATTACACGGATATTCTATTGGCGCTAAGCTATTGTGTGCAAGTCCAGAACAACAACGTCTTTGCATCTTATGAGATACATGTACACATCTACCGACACATAAAGGCCAATTTCGCCGTATCTGGCATGATTGATGCAAAGCTTGGTAATAAATATCCTAGCCCTGCATGACCGGTCCCGATGATGAAGTCCTTAAACCGCCAGAAACGGAATTATTGCTAAGAAATCAATGCCCTTTACTCCTTCTATTGAGGCATGAATAACCACCCAACGCAACCACACCTCCGAATTACGAAGCTTGTAGCTGATCAGCGGCGCAATTGCAGCCAATTCGCAGCCTTGCTGTAAGCGCACGGCGCGTGGCCGCCACTCAACAGTATTCCACGTGGTCGGTAAATGAATATTTCGACAGGTTTCACACCACACAAGTCTTGGTCGCGGCGCGGGTAAGCGCGGAATGGATGCTAAGGTTTACCGGAACAAGATGCCTTATACTCCGCATAGCGACAATCAAGCAGACTCGCCACTCGGGACCGCAACCCGCAAAGTGACTCGGTGCCGACATCTCCGTGTCGCTACTGTGTAATCTGTACATCTCGCGGGAAGTCCGCATGCGGTCAGCCTACATACTATGTACACAACTAGACAAACTGGCGTAACAACATTCTACAGACTCCCACTATACTGAGTGTCCTGACGCATCTAGATAAATGCATCTTACTTAGGTCCCATAGACGCAGACGCCGTAAGAACTATCCATTCCTTCCGAGAGATCCGTAGGAGATAACCATACTTATGCATCATCCTGTAAATAGGGCTCCGACCTGCTTACAGGCAGAAGCAGTTCATGGAGGATGTCTGGTCAAGTAGATAACCGAGTCCTGAGCGAATGTCCCAGGAAATCCATCTTGTTGTGTAGTGTACACTTTTGTTGCCAAGTATAAAGTATATGTCGATATTCACCCAAAGAAGCCAGCCGCATAACCGTTGTGATCTCAGCCGTACACTAACAAAACCAACAACCATTCAACCGCCAGTAGAATCAAAGCCTGGCCCAAGCCACACATGCAAGGACATAAAACGTGCCGGAGGCTTTTCCCCTCGCCTTACGCCTCGCCTTGCGCTCCCGCTGCTACTGCTACGTTGACGCTATGATGAAATACCACACTACATTACACCGCATTTCTCCCACACCCAACTCCGCGTCCGCCGAGGAGAGTAGTTTGGTTACGCTTACCAACCACAAGTCGACTTGCGCCAGCTTGAGTCAAGTGTGTCTTCATCCTTTAGTCCGGCGGCCCCTGTCTTGCCAGACGCACGGGACTCGGTGTGAGATCCTTGACAACCCGACGTCGTATCGGGAAGTAATGTCGGTATAGATATACATGCATACGTACATAAATTGCAAGCATATATATATGTTCTCTCTCCCCGGTCGAGATATTTCCCGACATACATACATACATACATACATATAGGTGTCGCCTTGTATGTACCGGTACAACATGGTATGTATGCATGCATGTGCGTGAGCGAGCAGGAACGTATTGTGTAATGAAATGACACGTCATTTCGAGATCGAAATCTTTATCTAGGGGTTTGTGAGCAGTCTTTTCATGCAGACATGGGGATCTTGGGGAATGGAGGGCGAGAGAGGAAGGCTGATGATGCACACCGAGCTTGGCACTAGGTGATGAAATGTTTCAGCTACAAGCAGTCACAAAGCATTATGCGTCGAGGCGGCGTCTAGGTGACCAACCAAACCTACTCGACGGGGAACACAAAGGGGTTACATCGGCGACGTTTCAGCGTAGTGGTGTATACATCTTGACGAGCATGATAAGTCATATATATGAATGATATCGGAGAATTTGTACCGTAGATGCGTGTGTAGGTTTTCTGTGGAAATGCTGGGAATACCGGGTTTAACGCTACACTATGTATTCCACGAAACGAAAGGAGCCAGGGAATCAAGCTTTCTGGAACCCTTCGATTCACATGCTAAATTTAGGTGAATGTGATCTTCTGCCCCATCAAGCTCTTGTAGACATCGTCAAGGGCCTTCCTCTTCATGGTCCTGCCGTCACACGCGTCTAATAGGAGATCTTCCTCCGCATCATCGTCAGGCGCATCGAGCCGCGGTGTCCACGCTCGGATCTGACCGTCGAGATGGGCGCTAAATACAGCCCCCGGCATGTTGGTCCCTCCCATGACGACGCCGCTAGACCCGCCGCTGCCACCGGCACCCCTCCACGCAAGGCTGGAGATGCGGTTCTTCACCGATCGCTCGGATTTCTTCGAGGAGCGGACACCGGCGACTGCGGCGCCAGTGCCACGCAATCTCGTGATGATGTCACCGTTATGTAAGTCGCAGACTAGAATCTCGGTTTCATTTGGCCAGAATAGAAACTCCCTGCCTGGATGTGTCAAGCCCACGGGGGACGTAAACATAGTGACGCTGGCTAGCTGAGTGTTCCTGATGGTAGGCCCGAAGCTAGCGAGAGTATTTCGGCCTGTAGCAGCGTCCCAAACATGAATGCGATTATCATGACCAGCCGAGATGATATAGCTACCATCGTCTGTCCATGTTAGACCGTTTACCGGTGCAACATGGGCTTTCGCCGAAGCCCGCATCCGAACCTTGCCATCACTCCCGAGTAGTCCGTTGTAATATAACCCGAGACTATCTTCTCGGTCAAGCATGCCAATCAAGGCTCCCGCTCTTCGAATATCCCAGATCCTGACGGTCCCATCCACACTACCTGTAGCTAGCACATTCTCGTGTCGGGGCGACCAAGCCGTCGCGAGAATAGCGCCTCTATGCCCCGTCAAAGACTGAATACTAGATCCGGAGCGCAAATCCACCAGGGGGACAGCGGGGTGCTGCGTGCCGCACGCTACAAGCAGATGGGAGGCAATAGGTGATATAGCGTGCGTGTAGATCTTTGAACCAAGGCCGAAGGAAGCAGATAAACGCGCTTCTTCGGTCGACCACAGCTTCAAAGTCTGGTCGTAAGATGTAGAGATAAAAGCAGCTGAGTCGAAGGGATAGAAGGACAGATGTGTGATGCCAAACCTGTGGGTTTGCGGCGAGGAGCGAATAGTGCCCACAGGTCTGAATGTGTGCGGTTTCGATGAGTTACCACATTGCTCTAGATCCCAGAGCTTGATAGAGGCATCGGAGCCACCAGACACGAGGCTACCACCAGTCAGCAGATGAATATGATGAATATGATGAATATGATGAATATGATGAAATAACCCAGGTCTAGAAAGCCATAGAGAGTAGTGGGTAGAGGAACAAGAGAAGAGCCTTACATTCTCCCATCAAAGCGCTCGATGGCCAGGGCACTCACTCCAGCCTGGTGCGCCCAGATAGACGTAGCCGCGTCGGAAGACGAAGCCTCGCCATCGTGAATAGCAACGCCTCGCTCACCACCGTTAAAGCGATACTGTGGCGACGGTTGGAACGAGGTCAGCAAGCGCGTGGTGTGCAGCCTAGCAAATACATTTGGCCCGACTGCGCCCGTCGATCTTTCAAGGAGCAACTGATTCATTCATCTAAGAATACGATTATCGAAGGGTTCAGGGGGTTCTAGATGCTTGGACAGATACTCTGTATCCTAGGCAGGTAAGGACGCAGATAGTATAGTATACGGTACTACGACATTTGACGTTCTCTTTCCCAAGAGCCGCAACGTTGCCTTCCCCGAAAAGAAACCTGTTATTGGTGGATGAGTCCGAAGTGATGCCGCCAACGCTGTTTTATCTCAGACATTGCATCGAAGGCTGACGCCGCGATACAACTTCACAATGTCCGGTTAAAGTGGACACTTCACATCACTACCACCCCCACCTCCGTTGCCTCACACCTAATTCATACAGTTAAAAGTATATGAATAGATACTGTGACTTACAGTGCATTGTGTGTGTGCCTAGGTATCATCTGAGGCACTGCCAGGACAGTTCCCGAGCAGGTACCTATCTACGTACCGTAGAAACGTATTTGTACACTGTAAAACCTGTGCCGCATGTACTGTGTATATACATATCGGGCACTGTAGGTGGGGTACCTAGCTCGCGCCTTAGCCGATTGCCGCTTCATCTCCAACTTGACGAGCCGGCGTTTAACAAGTACCTACACTACATTACATAATCCTACATCTCACAAGTCATGCTATGCTGTACGTGATATAGCACGAATCCAAGGACGAGATAGACCTGTCTAGAGTTGCAAATATGGTTCTCGGTGAAATCGCAACTAGTCCTCGGTTACAAACATCACGAAATAGCTGAGAGCCAGAGGTCGACCATATGTGAGACTATCACACAAACCTATCGTGACCATGGCATCAAGGAACCGTCAAGGCAAGTGTGTACAACGGTCTGTATCCCGGACAAGTCGCGAGAACTCCAGCGATACCGAAGCCGAGTCCACTGCAAGTGGTCCCGCCTTCAAAAGAAGACAGGCCAGCCTCTATGACGCTGTTGCAGGTTCGTGCAGCATTCTCATTAATCCTGTCAACGACAAACCATACTCATCACATATCCAGGCCGTGTAACCACGACACGACCACTTCACTCGTATGACCCCCAAAGGTCCAGCGTAAAGTATTCCAAAAGGAACGATCCTAACTCGCACCGGAACCCCGTCCTTTCACCCGAAGAGGTGCTCTTCAGGCGCGCAGGTGCTCCCATCCGCTACGCAGAGAAGGACATATACCACGCTCACGAGGATCTGCCTGAAGGTGGGCGAAATATCCTTCCCGACAGTGACCTGCTGAAGACTATCCACAGCTACGCTAGCCACTTCTACGAAGACCTGCCCGCAAACAAGCAGGCCATTCGTAGCGAGACCGGAGAGGGCATCAGCGAGAGAAGTATGGACGAGACGGCCCTCCTGGCTTTCGGTATATTACTCGAGGAAGCCGGGCGCGAAGCTTTGGGTCAGAAAGGAGACCTAGTTTTCACGGAGGGTGTGGTAGAGGAAGGGGAAGAGGAAGATGGGGCGCCACAAGTCGATGATGAAGATGCCGAGGTATTTGGATTTCTAGATGGCACTAGATACGAAGCACGAGGACGTTTGAAGCGGCCATGACAATGACGATGAATTCGACAGGCAAATACAAAGCGGTGGTTCAGCCACCTCCCTACGCGGGGTTTGATGCCAATGTGTTTCACATTTCGCACAGACGTCGCGTCAAAACTGGTGGAATTCTCCATTTTGCATGTGCGTATTATCGGCACTAGTATAATATAACAATCAAGGGCCCGCTCCTTGGCCATTTCAAGACTGCTCCGAGGCGGAGAAACTCTAAATACGTCCCAATCACACCACGATAATGTCCCAAAGTGTCGCTGATCTTCGCATGCGACAAGAAAATTGTCATCTGCCTTTCGTTGCAATCAAGAAACGAGGGCGTTTTGCCCATTGCGCACGGTCATTAACGGATGAACTTGGGGGGTTTGATGAACCACGCCCAAAAATAAGCGTCAGCATGCTTCTGGAAGAGGAAGCTGCCTTGTCTGACTTTGTCGTGAAGCGAAGTTCGGGGTCTGTCTTGGAACAGCCCTCCTTCGGGATATTGATTCCCCGGCTCTATCCACCCTTAATATGCCCAGCTTAATCTCCTCCTGTGGTGTATCGGTATATCAGAGGTAGCGAAGCTTTATGACCATCCCCCACGACAGGCATCTAGGATCGTAGAGGGGTCATCTGATAAAATGTCCACATATCCCTACGCTGGTATGTATGTTGAAACCATAGCAATCTATTATAACTTAGCAATCTAACTGCATTTAGTGATGGGCTCAGCAACGCCATGCGCATTGAGGCAGTCGGCGCAGAGCATGTCCAAGGATTTTCAAGCCTCCTTCCTACACTACACAGCTATGAAGCACGTTTTCTTGTTTGCACTATGAGGATGTCAAATTGTATCGTATGTTTCAGAGGAAAAGGTGCCACTCATAGCCGTGTTTAAATTTGTCTTGGAACTTGGGATTATCGAAAACTAGTGTTGGTTTACCTTGTAGCCCATCGCAAATATTCCCTGTACTGCTCATACAGGGGGTGTCGGTATGCCTGTTGAACTTCGAGTGTCATAAAAATACATAAATAAATAAACTAAGCCCCTAAACACCTGAAATAGCCCTCTCCTCTAGATTTGAACAAGTTCCACCCAGGATTTGGGGTTTGGAAACTGCTGAGTAGAGCAAAAACGATGGTGTACAGAGGGGACGATGGGGAAAAACAATGAGGCAGTCAGGACAGAAAGGCATGGTCTGCTTGTGTCGATCTTACTGCCCAAAGGCTAACTGCCAGGGACCCTGGGAGTTCAAGCCAGCCCGACCAAACATGGTCCTTTTTCGGGTCAGCAAATCCTCTCTTGCAATTGGTGCCCAAAACCAGCTCATCATGAAGCTGGAATTCATGGTTTTCTCGAATAGGGTAGACCGTATACTTCTAGTGAAAAAAAAAAAGCATGGCATGTATAGGAGATCGAGTGAGTTAATTATACCAGATTGGTGTGCAACTTCCGAGCACCTACCTAGTAAGGGAGAGAGACACTGTGTCTGAATAGCTTTGGGGCGTAAAGTAGCACATATGATTTGGTAGGTAGGTAGGTTGGCTGGTTAGATGAGATGCGGATGGGCATATGTCTTTCTGGCCATCGAAATGGCCGAATTGCCTAAAATAAGGCTAGATCACCACTACATGGAATAGACAAAGGTATTCTGTATATAGTATCAGCAGTAGGTAGGATAGTTACATGTAGGGCTCGCGCAATAACAAAGAGTCATTTACACCCCCATACTTGAGACATCAGTAATCACGCCTTTTCCTTCAGCTCTTATTTCATCTAGCCGTTGGAAGCCGCTAATAAGTAGTTGATCATAGGCTAAGGAGGTTAGCATCTTCTCCGTATTGCGTAGATCCGTTCGTACGTGCAGAGCCGACTCGAACAACGCGGTTATTGAAGGTAGAAGCGGCCGGAGACGGAGTCTTTTCGTCCTCCTTCATACATCACTCTGCCGCGCGTCCACGTGCTGCTGAACTGTTGTATTGGCCTGCTGTGATGAATACTACACTCTGTACGGCGCAGCAACATCAGATCATTAGTCCCTCACCCTCCAATGCCCGGGATCCCGTATTGGACAACCCTACTTTAATAAGGACGAACCAGTACGGTTACGTTGGACTTTTGTACAAGTGGGTAATAATTCAAAGACTGAGTAGTTATTACAGCTTCCGTGACTTGAAAGAGAAGGTGAACCTACCAAGTTCGTGACCATACAGCACAAAATTAGGTGGCTAGAACTCACCCTGATTCCCGTCGTTTTGTATAACACGATAAGATCATTCCTGTGGATCGAACAACCCAGTTGGTATTTTGTAGCGAACGTTACGCGTCGCGAACTTTAGGGATCTTATGCAATACTCGTCTACATTTTTATAATATGTCCGTGCCTTCACTGATATGCAAGTAACTAGCTTGGCCCTGCAACAAGTGATAGGAAGCGTTGGTGCCGTTAGACCTGCTGTGCCTCGTGGCCATCTTCTCTCTTCACTTCCTCTTCTTGAAAGGTGATGTTGTCTTTAAAGTAATCTTGCTTTTTTTTTATTTTATTTTTTTGTATAGACTCTTCCAGTTTACGGTTCATATTCTGTAAATAATATGAATAGAGACGAATATGAAATACTTAGTTAGTTGTACTTGTCCTTTTCCTTGTTTAGTTCGCTTCTAACCACGGTATACCTACAATACATTGCAATCTTGTTTATGGTTAGGTACATCTGTACAATCAGCGATACCTCTGATGAGCTATGGAATACATAGAACTGACTTTGTGATACATCAACTCGTGATATTTGCTTTTGGCTTGACTTAGGCAATACATACTTAGATACTGTAACGTGGTTTGTAAGGCAAATGTTGAGTACTTAAATTCTGTAACAAACGAACGCCTCTTGCTGCAGTTTCTGCAGATCTAATTGCCCTATGTAAGCATCAAACTCAGCTGCTCATAGGTCTGAATTGGACAGGCGATCCTAGGCTTTGTATGCAAGCACACTGGAATCGGCACCTGGCTTCTGTAACTTCGTGCGGAATTTCACCCGCTAGTGGGAAAAGCATTGGTGGACGTGCTTCAAGATCCGCATTCTGGCATGGATGGCGTGGACTCTAATGCAACGTGCTGAGGTGAAACACCCATGCTATCTACATTATCACGATACGGAAGATGGGTTGGCCTCGCGATGACTGCATGTTTGGACGAGTAAGGGTTGTTGTATGGCCTGCTTGACCCTCACCCCTCCATTTCTATCTGTAAGAATGCGGTGGTGATCAATATTCAGCCACCCAACAACTCATGAACGGCTAGGAAGTACAGGATATCTTTTCTAGAGCTGTCTCGAACAAGCCTGGAACAGTCCTTCTCCCCAACAATTTTCTTACTACCAAGAGTTATGAAACCTCATTGGCAATCGTGTCGTACTCTTCAGCTCTCCACATGAACTCAATGGATCGATTCCTTCAAGCACATCGTGTATACTACCTGCTCAACCTCCGGGCATGACACACCAGAAAGCTCTCAGTCCGCTGTAGATGGCTGAACGGGGGGCGATAGGTAGTGGTGGGATTTCAGGCGGCGCGAACAATCTCCTGAGTGGCGTGTCAATGCTGACCTGAACTAACGGATAATCAGTTGTCCGTCACAATCAATGATGCAAAGCCAAACGAAAGATCGCCAATATCGCCGACAAGTTAGACCTCCCTATGTCTGTCTTCTGTCCGCTTTATATATTGTTGATCAACTATCGGAAGATACATCAACCTAGCACAAGCAATGCAGTCATATTCTCATCAAGCCAGGGTGAAGGCCCCGGATACTAGCAAGTGATCTAAAGTGAGACCATTATGCAGGTGACGGTCCGTTGAAGATGAGTTGTGACAGGTCACACCAAGCCAACGTCGGGTTGCAACCCCAGCATCTGAAGACAATCTAAATCGAAAACCCTCGGCTATCGGAAACCAGAAAAGTAGTTCACTTGAAACCGACCTGTCGTAGCTGATGGGCTGGGGCATCACCAGCGGTCCGGGAGTGATCAAGATCGGGCGGTATATGCTGGCTAGGTATTACGGCGTCCGGGGGTTAATTGGGTCATGTAGACACTCCAAACCAACTCTTCGAGCACACAAGCAGCACAGGTAAGCCAATCTCATGAGCAAGAGAAGCATGATGGCCGCGCCATCGCCCATCCAGCTAATTCTGTGGCGTACACACTTACTCGACTCGACTCGACTAGTAGTAGCGCATGGCATCTCATCAATGTACGTCGAGTTTGGTAGAGCCATAGTGCATTTCGGCATGGGAAGTCCACAACGGCGCCGTGGTCACGGGACACGCATCGAGTATGCAGTAAGCATCAGCGGACCGCACGTCAGGGAAGACCTTTGGTCGGTTTGGACCAATCTCAGCCCATCTGCAGTTGACAAATTGGTCAGGCGCTCGCTAGCATGGGCCACAGGCCCGCCTCTTCACAGACGCCACCCCGGCCGACCCGTATGCCTGGTTACCGACACTGGGTTGACTCAGACGAATGATATATCCAAGCTCTAACTCGCTGGATAAATTAGGTGGTATTGCTTGACGCAACGTCGCCATTGTCCCGCACAGACACATATGTATGTAGACCATGATTGTACGTATAGGCATTCGGCGTATGTATGTAGACACTATGTGATACACGCGTTCAAGCGGGTATGAGTAGGTAGGGTGGTATTGAAAGTGGGATGGAGAATGACTGGTGTATAAACAGCGAGAATAAAAAACAAACTTCAGAAACATTCAAAGAAAAGCATAAGAGAAAAACAGCCCCCAACCGTTCGACTGGTTTACTTGCAGTAGATTCGCTGGATCGTGTCCAATCCCAATCCAGCGTCACCTGAAAACAACGGCTCGGGGCCTTAGTGAAAGCCGAGCAATGGTCTTCAAGGGGAAAGCCAGTATCACACTCAATGTGGACGACAGAACCGTCTCTCGCGAAGTCTTGGATGACATCTCTTTTCACATGTACACGACACCAGCCATGAAGGA